ATAACGCAGGAGAGACGCGCATAATTTTAAGATGATTTGGTTTGGTTTTTCTTGTATAATTATTTTCGATTCAGCGAAACGATGTGGGCTGAATTATTCACTTCATGAATGACTAGTGAACAATGATCATGAGAGATACGAGACCAATTTTTGCATCTTGTTCGAAGAGAATTAACCTAAATATGGATCAGTTTAAAATAGTTTAGCCGGACTATTTTAGGATAAAAGGCAAGCAAGTGCGATATCGATGAAAAAAACTCGGACGCTTTTACCAAAGCATTTTACCGCGTAGTATAAACAAAACATCATTCAACGTTTTTCTTCGAAAATAGCCACGTATTTCAAAGAGCACTTTAGATACTGGTTATAGGATGTTCTACTCGATATCCTAATAATAATCATAAATATGAACACGTTACCTAGTTGTATTATGTACGATAGTTGCAGTTTAGCTGGGCTGTAGATCATAAAGGTCGCTATTTCTAAATGCGCTGAATGTTACGAACGAGGTCTAGAGTATTTCATTCTAATTACTATTTAGACCTCTAAAAGAAGAAAACCATTCTTAAACAAACGTCAAGCGACTGGAGGGGCTCGACCAAGTATCATAAGTCACACACTCGTCGATTACTAGTTCTAAATAAGTACCAAATTTGCACAAGCAGATGATGTCAGATGTAAATATCATATTTGAAATAGAGAACAATTCGCAATACTACGTTCTCTTCGTTCCAAAAAAAAAAAAAAAAAAAAAGGAATGATAGATTTTGATAAAACTCTCGAAATTTTTGGTCAGTGTTAAGTGAAGCTGAAAACTACTAGTCAAATTTATTTAATGACGTTTAGCTCGCTTTTGAAAAACTGCCTCTCCGCGTTTAAGTACAACAATCAAATAATGGACAATGCAATAAACATCATTAACAATGCACTTTCAAGAGAAAATTTGCATTCCGTCTCATAATGAGCTATGAATGATCCTTGACTGAACTTGAAGCCTTACAGCCGTTAAACATTCTTAACAGTACACATGTTACCATTTCAAGCTTTCTGTTTCATTAGCAATAAAAAAACGAAGAGAAAAAGCGAAAATGAAATTCAAATAACCTTCAAGAAAATTTAGTAGCTTAAGGGTATTGTGCAGTCCGCAAAGACAAGACGTCCTCTTCCGGTTCTTATTTTCCTCGTCTCTGTTTGGTCACGCGTAAAGGCGGGAGTTTGCTCTCTTGTTACTCGAGGGAGGGGGGTTATGTGAAAATGGGCCCAGTAAATGTTTTATTTCCCGCACCTTTCTAAGTCTTTCATATCTCTTGTACCTTCTTTTATGCAGCAATGAGCGGTCCATTGAGCCAGTGGATAGCCCTAGAGCACCGTAAGTGTAGGCGTTGACAGTTTATATTAAATTTTCAACGAGTGTTATGCTGAAGATATGGGAGTAGTAATAAGAATTTGTAACTAATAAGAAATGGAAATACTCATCGCAAGAATACGGAATTGTCAAATTCTGACTGAAGATCAATTGCTCAAAACACAATAGAGCTAACCAACGGTTTGTGCCACTTGATTTTGAAGCTTTTACGGACATTTACTTTGTTTTATTTGGGCTTCTTCATTTGGCCAGACTTTTGACTACCATCGATACCTCGCGCTCGAAAAGCGTAAACAAACTTTAAATCAAAAACCTCTATTAGCGCTCAGTCGCATCCGACTACCGGCCCTTGGTTTATAAAATCCAAAATTTACACAAACTCTGCAAATGAAACTGTTACCACAATACAGCTTTTCTATAAGTTCGCTTACTTTAGCCTAATATTTCACAGATTGAGATGTTTACTCTTCCCATTCGACTCATGATCATTCGCTGGGCTATTTTCATCAGTTCACCCGTTTCAAGTTGAGCGGCAACTCATGATTTCACCTTCAGGCTTTATTTTTATTTTTTTTTTTAGGGTAGACCCGGTGATAACTCAGCCTAAACCAGAAAATACAGTCAACGAGAATTATACTGCAACACCGTATGTATCGTCCTTTGTTTCCCTCAGTCTTCCAATTTCCTTTCTTATGATTTGATTCTCTTTGAACAGGGAAAAACCGGTTGTAATCCAGCCAAAACCAATAAAACCAGTTAACAACAACAACAAACCGTAAGTATTAACAGATCTAGACTACCTTGTAACAGCTTTGGAATCAAGCCTTTTACAGTCACTAATATCATGTTTGTGAGCCACTATGGCAGCAGTAAACCACCGCGACAAATTCCGAAAAGATAAAGCAATGGTTTGGTTTTTTTTTTCTCTTTTTTGAGTCACCATCGGTGTTCATCCAAGAATACAGTCTTAACCAATTTACATTGTCAAGCGCAATTTTGTTTTAATTTCGAACAAAACAAAGTTGGAAAAGGTGACAGGTTTCAAAGGCTATCATAAGGTCTTTTTTGGACCTAATCGTGCGCAACGTTCAGTGACATTTCAATTATGCTGATCTATCAGACCTCTAGACACCTCTCGTCAAGTTATTCAGCCAAAATGTTTGAGCGTCAAAAACAAAACTAATTGTGCACAGTAAGGGACCTTGAACTTCCACTAAACCAAAATTGCGACGCCAGTTTCGTGATCGCGGCTTTTCTAACATTTCACCTCTACTTAATATGAACAGAGCTACTTCTTCTCTTCATAGGAAGCCTAACGCTGTCCTGACACATGGAAATTTAAGAGAACGAGGTTTGAAAGGCTTGGTTTATTTCATAAGATTTATTCAGACTCCGAGGGTTCAATAGGTAACGCACAAGATGCGCTCATTTATTTTCAAACCCTGCATTTGATAGCATTATTTTCCTTTTAACATACCGAGTTTGGTACATAATTGCCATTGAGTGCCTTTTGAATTTTGGCGTTTTATCGCTCTCGTCAGCCTCTATCTTAAAGTATTCAAACTGGGTGTTCTGCATTGAGATGGCGACGCCTTTTCAAACAACAAATACGTAAAAAATGGAAATAAGCTTTAAACATAAATGTGAAAGGGTTAGAGATTGTTATATATGATTCTACGCCCGTATTATATACGTTTCTGTCACCCATTCAATATATTAAATGAACTTAGGAGCAACTTTGAGCTGGGCTTGAGTCGTATTCTCGCGTTAAGATTTCAAGATAGATTTGCAAGTTAGATTTCACTTTGATTTAATTAGTTTGTTCGAGAATATATCAGGAAACCCTGTGACGTTTCGCGAATAAAAAGCGCATCGTAGCAAGTGACTGAAATCTTGAATTTTTGTCGGATTCCATTGTCATAGAACACTAACATATCGTAGAATTAGCTTACAAATCTGAGTTCATTTTACAGCCTGAAAGTTCGTATTTTGGGGTTCAATAACTCGCATATGCCTGTAACTTTAAATATTCAAACTGGATGTTCTGCTCTGATACTTCACATACTTTTGAATAACAAGCACGTAAACAAATGGGTGAAAGCTTCCAAAGGAAAGTCGATACCTGACATAATTATAAGTTGAAGTCGAGGTTAAGCTCACAAAATGTTTATCAAGGTTAAGGAAAAGAATATCTTAAGCACATGAAAGTGTTGTATGGTGGGCCGTTCACCTATCTGGGTTAGATAAGTAGATTCTAGAATTTCTTATCACACAGGTGGTGTGCATATCGATTAATGAACTTCGGCAAGTCGGCTTTAATTTTGTGTCACGTGTCGAAAGGCGACTCTTTGTGAAAAAGCCCTCTAAAGAACTGAACAGACCTACTGAGCCTGATCTAGGCGAGTGGTAATCATTTAAAAAGCTTCTTTTTTTTTTTTTTAAGTCGCCTTTTGGCAGGTACTCCGCCACTCCGGGAAAACCGATAATCCTTAAGCGAATAACCACAGATGAAAATATTAAGGCGGCCGATTATTTAAAGTGCTGTTTGCAAGCGAAAGGTGTAAATCGCTCCACGAGTTCGGCGTCTCTGATTATTGAACATCCAGGACAAAGAATTCCTCATGCTTAAACAACATTTCTCAGGTATTTTTTTCCGGATTTCGACTAGTTCAGTCGTTTCTTTCGTCCTAAAATGGTGCTTTGTGAAGTCTGGACTGTGCCATAAGCCTCTACCATCACTCAAAAACAGATATGTTAAAGTATTAACCTTCTTTTTATCACTCATTGATCCGATACAAATGAGAAGCACGACTAAGTTTGTGACAAAATATTGCAAAGAGTTTATAATCTCTTGGTTTTTAGCATAAAGCTTAATAACTATTCTGAAAAAAGAATTGATGGTAGAATTTCCACGAGACTACTAAAACTCGCAGATATCAAAATTTAAAAGCACTGGGATTTATTTCCTTTCGTTTTTTGAAGCAAAGATAGAGAACGATATGGAAATAAATACCTTTATTGCAAATATTAAGTTTTAAACAATATCAGTTTCTCTAAAGTTTTTCTGACTCCGCAAGAAAGAGAGCCTCGAAAAACGAGGCACTCTTGATTTGTAAATACCAATTTGGCTTCTAAATTTCTTCTCTAAGAGAGTGAGACTGAAAAGAAGCGATATTAACTCGTATGTTTTGCCGACCCGCCGATAAATTAAATCTGTGTAAGCTAAACGATAAGGATTCAACCGAGATTGCTTTATCTCTGACAGTTTTCATCTCAAGCCATAGGACACGGGGATCATTTGACAGCGATTCTGATTTCAACCCAATAAAATGCCAGTGTTTTATCAGTAATCCTCACTTCCAACTTTTCTGAGTTAACGTAGTTTTCTGTAAAAAGGTTCAGTGGGGGCTTTTGATTTTATTTCTGGTTTCTTCTGACTGATACGCTTGTCTAGTCTCATCACCTGCTCACTGGAGAGTGTATTGATAGAGTAAAGAGAAATTATATATTAATCGCAATCGAAAGTTAAAAGTCTAACCAAATGGTCCAGGCAGATTGAGGCCAAAGTAATTATTCGATATAAATCTTCAAAAAGGGCAAATGATATATATTTGGTTCCCACTATTACCTTTCAGCCAATCAGTTGAAGGCAGAGAAAGTGGATTTGCATAAACCTGAAAACAGAAAGGCTCACAAGACTGACGAATATGAGATCAAAAAACTGATTCTCCGAAGAGGGCAGGCGTTTGACGTCACAGTAACGTTTAACAGAGAGTTCTCACCTCAGGCTGATGTTATCATACTGCAATTTGTCACTGGTAATGTTGTCGACTGACCTGGAAATATCTAGATTTTTCATACCTAGTATTTAGTTTTCAGCAATAAGTAGCCTTGCTTATAGACAAACGCAACTCGAAAACCTTTTGTACTGTGAGGGAAAGTAACAATGTTAGTAAAAAGTTGTTTTCTTTAATCTTTTAAGTTTTTGTGAACTTCTACTTTTTCTCAATTAGTATAGGTAACAACATGATTTTGAGTGCAATTAGGTGTTAATAAGCACGAGTAAATTTTTCAAAGACAACAAAACTGCACGAGCCCGTAGGGCGTGCAAGTGTAGTTTGTAGTCTTTGAAAAGTTTACAAGTGCTTATTACACCAATTTTCAGGCGAAATCATGTCATTACTTGTTAATAATGTACCTGAAAAAGCATCACAGAAAGTCAAGATAGACGAAACTTTGAAAGCGTGCGGGCGCTATTTGTAATTTGCACCCGTGTTACAACTTTGCACTCGTGCTACATGAGAATGCACTCGACTTCAGCCAATCAGAAACGCGTAATTTTTTCAGGTATATTAATTGACCAATATCTAGGTGTGTTGACTCACTCTTGGTCAATAACGCATTTATAACACAACCATAGGTGATAATCCTCAGGAAAACAAAGGAGCTATTATGAACTGATGGTGGAGACAAAATCAAAAGATTCCTCTGGGGACGTGTCGCTATATCGATACAAACATGAAGAAGAACAGATTTGCATCTTATTCAATGCGTGGTGTCAAGGTAACTAAAATTCTTTGCAATTTATGAAACTAAAAATCACAGAGCAACTCACACTAGAAAAACAGAAAAAAAAATTATATAACGAAAGCCATTACGAGCCAGTTTTTGGGAATCATTACAAAGTCCGAATAGAAAGAACAGCAGTAGTGAGTAAAATAGCAAGGTGTTTCACACTGAAGTAGAGGAAATAAGAGGGTCTCAATGAGGTGCTGGCTTTTACGGCTAACGGTTATAAAAATTTTGGCCATCTTACGACTTACGGTTAACGTCAATTCATTGTTATCACCAAAATTTTTTTTTAGTTCGGTTACCTTTCTTACGCCTAACGGCTAAAATTTGTCAATTTGTACGCCTAACGGTTAAATTTTGTCAATTTGTACGCCTAAAGCTTAAATTTTGTCAATTTCAGGTAGGCCTAACGGTTAAAGTATTTGACCGTTTACGGTTATCAGTTAACCCCATTGAAACCCTTAAATAAAGTATCGGACAATCGCACTTTATTAGAGGAATATTTGCCGATCTTGACAATAAAATTAAACTTTTTATTCTCACTATTTTCTTTTTGAGAAATCGCTCAGATAAGTGTTTATTTGCATGCGCTTTGAACATAAATGGAGGGAATGTAAATTTCCTCACATCTGTTAGGATGTGCAATGATAATGATATTATTTTTGCAGATGATGTGGTGTACATGGAGAAGAATGACGATCTTGAATTGGATCCTGATGAATATGTTCTAAGGGAAAGTGGCTCTATTTGGAAAGGAAGCTGGAAGAAGTTTTTCGGATTTCAATGGAACTTCGGACAGGTCAGTAACAATATGTCAAACACTTCAAGTTTATTTCAAATTTGGTGTAAAAAGAATGTGGCTGGGATGGAAGGGGGGGGGGGTAGCTTTACATTAAATGCGACTTTTACGGAGCACCTAGTAAATAAATTTGTCACCCAGCTTGTTTAAAAGAAAAGAACAATATCTTTCTCTTCGATGTGTCTTCTATGACAAGTTGCCTTGATGCGTAATTCAGCAGCCGTGTTTAGTTTAACCGAATCAAACGTGTTACCTCAGTAGAGGTCGCATTGTGCTTTGATTTTCTTTCATGGTTTTCCTCTTCTTCTTTCACGTTTAGTTTGATGATGCAGCTTTAAATTCGGCTTTGTTCCTGTTGAAGAAGGCCGGCCTCTCCGTTACCGCGATGTCCAATGTTATTCATGTGGTTAGGAAAATGACACACATGGTGGGAGTTTCATACATGTAGTTATCATTACAATCACGTTCAATGATCTTGTTGTGCGCCATGCAACTCCTGCATTGAGGACGCGATTTCTCGTCACTTTAAACAAGGACCAGAGAGCATGTTTTAATGATAAATTTTCCCATGAACAAAGACAGCAGAAATATTTCGAGCTCTGTTTTTTGACATCTCTTAATCCGGTCCTGTTAACAAGAAGACATTGTTCATTATCTGAAAAAAGTCAAATAATACTGCAGTTGTTTCTGGAGAGGTCGTTTTTCACCCTCCCTCGAAGTGATCGGTGAAACCAAAACGTATCTCTCAAATTTTGGAAGCAGTTCGCGGAAAAAATAGTCGGGCTAGCTAACGGGAGGCGTGTATATCGTGTGCGTGAAGACTCGATAGATTCAGCTTTGAGATCTTCCTTCGTATCATCACAGGTAAACTCAACCCTCTTGAAGGGCAATTGGGGTGATCCGGAAGATTTTGAAGACGGAACTGCACCCTGGGAATGGAGTGGGAGTATTGCAATTCTGGAGAAGTTTTGGAAAGAGAAAGATATAGTTAAATATGGCCAATGCTGGGTGTTTTCTGGAATCCTAACATCATGTACGTAAGCTGCAGCATTTTGAATGTAAACTTTTCACAGTTAATGATTTAGCCTGTGTACGAATCAGATGAGAGCTACAAACGCATCTGGGAAAAAGGAAATTCTGCGAACAGGCATCATCTGTGATGATTCATTTCCGTCTTGTGGACGCAGAACTGTCTGAACTAAATTTCATAACCCTTTACGTCCCAGAAGTACTTCACATGAGGCCTTTTGTCGCCTTACATACTCTGTGTCACATATTAAGTGTAATAATATGCACAATTATCTGCTGAAGGGTACTTCATGACACTAAATTATCTGGAATAACTTACAATTAAAAGGTGTACTAATAAGAGGAGACAATTTAAAATCAAATCAAGAGAGCTAAACACCATCATTTCATGATAATTATAGTTAGCAGAATATCGTATTCCATGATAATGCTCCACCCTCTGATATGCGTAATAGACAGACGCAAATTTATTAGGACAAACATAAGTATCTTAACTGAGATGGCAGAGTCATCTGAATTTATGTAGCTTCAATGTGTTTTAGTGCTCCGAGCGTTAGGAATACCGACCAGAAGTGTCACAAACTTTGAGTCTGCGCACGACACAGACAGAAGCTTGACGATTGATTACCACTTTGATGCGGATGGACGACCCGATACAAGCAAAAATAAAGATTCCGTATGGTAGGCACGGTGAATTGTAAAAAACTATCTAAATCACTATCAAGGGAGACTAAGAAACGACGATGGCGACGTCGTGGACAACGTTAGCTAAAAATGTACCTATATTTTACCCACAAATTTCGCAATACTCTAAAGTCGTTTAGACAAAATTTGGTTTTGCTTTGTTGATTTACAGAGGACGCAAAGAAATTTAAAAGATTTACAACGCACGTAAACAGTCATTGTTCTGCTCTTTAAATCTTTTGTTTAGTGACATTCCCGTTGCCGTTGCCGTCGTGGTTTTCATAGACTCCCTACTATTATTATCATTGTACTTTAAAATACTGACAAAGTTTGCCGTCGAAATAAGTGGAGCCGGAGTTTATTTTGACTGCTGTAGCATGAAGCGATTTGGAGTAATGCTTATTCCTCCTACAGGGGTTGCTAGTCCATCGCAAGCTTACTTCCAGCATTTTGTCAGGATGCTCTGTCAATAAGTGAGTACTCATTTACACTCGAGCTCATGATCAAGAGTGGAGAGTAGAGTGTCTTGCCAAAGATCACAACACTGATTGACCTTGCCCGGTCTTGAACCCGCCCTGCTCGCTTAGCGCTCAGGGTGCTAACCATCAGGTCAACATGTCTGCCACATCGCTGTATCTAAGCCTTAGCTAATTGTTGAATAAGTGCGCATTGATTTTACAGGAACTATCACGTGTGGAACGAGTGTTGGTTCAAACGCGTTGATCTTCCTGATGGTCATGATGGCTGGCAAGCGATAGACGGGACACCTCAGGAAGAAAGTGGAGGTAAGGCAAAAGGAAAAAAAAAATGGAAAAAATTTTTTTTCCCAAGCATTTTTTTTTTCCTGTCATTTCGCAAATGCCTTTCTCACGCATATTTCTCGTTGTTTTGTTTCGTAATAAGCCATGTTTTATCGTCGCGAGCGTCTTTTGTCTCCAAAATTGTCTTGCATTTTTCATCGGGAACTTAGTCAATGGGTCCCTGTTGTTTCCTTTGCAAAGCAATTTACTCCTATTGTTCTATGATTTGTTTACTACGACCCAAAGTATTTGAGATTCGGTTGGAGAGGTCATATAGTAATATTTCTTTCCCTCTTGATAGAAAAGCCCCAAATTAACGGAAGACATGTTTCCTAAACAAAAACTCTAATCTTAGGATGTGTTTTGGTTTTTAAGACACTCGTACAATTGAAAGGCATTGTAGAGCCTCTATGAGAAATTTGGTCTCGTCTATTGATCTTCTCTCGAGTAATAAAAACCTTCCTTCATGTCTGTGTAGGCTTTTACCAGTGTGGACCTGCCTCAGTTAATGCCATTAAGAATGGAGAGGTATACCTCAACTATGACACTGGCTTCATCTTCGCCGAAGTGAACGCTGACAAAGTTTATTGGGAGGTCCCGTTCTTATTTAGCGGAGAAATGAGAGCTATTCAAACTGACAAGATGGTTATTGGCAAGAACATCAGTACTCTAAAGCCTGGCACGAATGGAGAAAGACAAGATATTACACGTCGCTACAAACATCCAGAAGGTATTCTCAGTAACATGCAAGTTTGGCCGTAGAATCTATAAAGAACACTTCACGTGTCACATTTAAGTGACCTCTGTTCGCCATATGTTTGTACGAAAGCTAGAAAAACTCGCGGCTAACTTGCAAACTTCCCAGGGTTTCCCTTGAGACGAATTGAATAGAAAACCAAACTAAGTGTTCTTTCGTTATTTGACTTGTTCTATTGAGCTGTTAATAAGCTAGAAGGAAGTTTATCAGTTGTGCTATGTGAGGTCATCTATAATTTTACGTGATTATAGTACGAATTTGAATTAGCGGAAATATAATCAGACAAGATAATTTGACCCAAAACGTTTCCTGCTTCGTTACACCTTCCTTCTTCTCCAAGGAGAGGAAAAATGGACTTATAAACAACGAAGGTTCGATATTTTGGCCTCCAGGAAGAGCAACAGAATAAGGAAAAAGAAAAAAATTATATCAGCATATTGCACTCCCGTTCACTTCGAGTGAATTTTTTTTTTTCTAATCATTGGTTATAAATCTGTAATAGGTTCAGAGAAGGAGAGGAGTGTAGTGGAATTTGTGAACAGATTTAGCTCCAAAGCTGACCTCGAAATATACGAGACCGCCGTAAAAGATGTCACAAAAAGGCTTGAAATAGCCGATGAAGTGAAATTTGGAGAAGACTTCAAGTCTACTGCTTTTGCTAAGAACGAATCCAACGAGAGGAGAACAGTCACAAGCTATCTTACAGCCATTTTGGTGTTTTATACTGGTAAAGCCGCTCGTACTCTAAAGGAAGCTAAGAACACTGTCGTTCTTGAACCAGGGGAAGGTAATTTAGTGAAAATTTCAGAGATTGCTTTTATAGAACCTTTTTTTTAGCTCAAGGAATAAAGAAGACTTGAAACACTTGTGCATAGCCTGAGGATGATGCATATAGCAACGAAAAGTCGTGTTCTGAGTAAGGCATGGTTATTTATCGTAATACGTTTATCTGCAGAAAAAGGTGCAACATTGGAAATTTCAACCGCTGAATTGATAGGTAAGTCAGCAGCAGAGGCCAGCATCAAAGTGTTCCTGAAAGGAACCGTCGAAGAAACAGATCAGCGATTTGCCATTCAGGACGTGGTGGAATTCAAGAAACCTGGGCTGAACTTAACGGTAAAATGGGTAGTCTTAGAAATTTGTTTATCCGTCGCAGTTTAAACCCGTATGTAAATATCCATCTGCTGTACAGATATGAATGAAATATCAAAATTTCTCCATGGAATTTTTTTCATTTTTTGAAGTGAAGTAACTTAATTAAATTAAGACCGGTGTGAGACAAGCGTGTGTGAGTTCGTCTCTCCTTTCAATTTGACCATCGACTGGGTCATAAGACAGGCAACAAAGAGAAACAAATAGAATAAGGTTGTCCCTTTTCAGCACGCTTAACGATATGGACTTTGTGCTGATAACGTAGCCATGTTCTCGCACACGCATGGTCAGATGTAGAACAAAGCCACACAGCTCAACATGTATGCGAATAAAGTGGGTCTCAAGATCAGCCTGAAGGAAACTGAAGTCATGACTCTCGGTGTATGTGTCCAATCCATCACCTATTACGACTGACGATCAAGAAATCAAGCGTACGAAATCCTTCACCTCCTTGGGAAGTGTGATAAAGAGCTATGGTGAAATAAACAGCAATATCCAGAACCGATTGAACAAGGCAAAAGGGACCTTTAATCGAAGGAAAGACCTCGGAAAGTTAGCGCAGTACAACATGAAAACAAAGATGCGAATTTACAATTTGTGTCCTGTCAACCTTGCTTATAAGGCTCAGGGTATGACATACGACGGAGGCCGATTTTTGAAAGGTTGTCGATATTTCACACGATATGTCTCCGAGTAATCTCCCGTATATTTTGGCCAAGAACTATCTCCAAAAATGAGCTACTGGATCTTAAAGATATGAAAACCAAACTCAAAAACGACGATGGAGATGGATCGGGCATATCCTTCGGAGAGAAACCGACAGCATTGCAAAAGTGGCCATCCACTGGACACCAGAGGGAAAGCGGAGAGAGGCCGACCTGAAAAACTTTGCAGCGGACAGAAGACGAGGGGGAAATCTAGAAGTGGGCCCGGTATAGAGAAGAATGGAAAGAATTTTTTGGCTGCCCTATGCGCTAAGAGGCGATACGGGCATAAAACTAAGGCAGACCGCTGTGTAACTTCGTTTCCCTCGGCAAGAAGAAAATCATCCAAAAGATGGAACTGTAAGTCATCTGCAGTGGGGATCACTTACTGTAAAAGCGCCATGGGAGCAAAATTTTGTCATGGACATCCCAAACAAAGCGACCAAGTCGATGGTTTTCTTAGCATTTCTAAGTGTCTAATTCACTCTCCATCTCCTTTTCCAGCCATTTAAACAATAGATGCAATAATATGCAATAAGTGCGTAGGGCGAGTGCAATGCTCTGTTAAATTCAAACCTCAGGATATGCTGCCTAACAGATAATATCGTAAGAGTCTGCGGAGGTCATTTAAAGCGCTGTATTACCTTACAATTGTTTTTTGCCATTTTTAGGCTTCTTCAACGTCTCCGAAGTTAAATGAAAAAGTGACTGTGACGGTATCTATACACAACCCTCTTCCGATTGACCTGACGAAAGGAAAGTTTCACTTTGAGAGCCGTTTGAAACCAAAGACTCTGATAATTCCTTGCAAGTAAGATATTCTAGATTTAATGAATAATGGAAAAATGTCATATATCATTCACACAATGCACTGCAAAGCTACAATGATGGTGACATGGTCTTTTCATTTTAAGGATAGCGGAAAAGAAAAAAGGAAAAAAAAAGTTGAGAAAGAAACACATGTGCATGTGCTCAGACGCCTGTACTGGCAGGACTCAGCCAAAGTCTTATTTCATAAAATTTTCAAATTCATTTAGAACATGTAAATTCATATGCAAACGCTAACCCTTTCACATAGTCTTGAACATTCTTTTGAATTAGCTCTTGAGGCTGCATGTCTTTGAAAAATTTGCACTCACACGGGCGCTTGGGAGCCTTAATGTCTATTTTTCGTTGAACCGACCCCGAATTTTAAGCTCAAGATCAACAAACTATTTGCTTTGTTTCTTTTACACTTTAGCGGACCCGTGCGTGCCAACGAGACAAAAGAGGTAACTGCGACCTTCCAAGCGGCGGAAAGACCTGGATATCGTAACTTGACGGTCACCTTTAATTCACAAGAGATTACAGGAGTGTCAGGAAATATCTTTTTTTATGTTGAGGAATAGAAAGAGTGCCTTTTGATCGTGCGTCACACAGAAACAAATTTAACTTTTTATTGCCACAAGTGAAAGCAAGAAATTGAGTCCAGTACATGTAACCGTCCTCAACACCTTCGTGGGAAAACGCGTGGATGAAAAACGTGATTCGCTAGAATGTTTTAGGTGATAAGGGTGAGACCTTGGTGCGAGCATGTGTCAGACCGAACATAAGCTAGTCACAAAACAAAACCCAGGTTGGTGTTAAAACGATTTCAAACCTCAATCGAAAACCACCAAGATATAATTGTAAGTGAAATTAACAGTTATTGTAATTTTCTTGTTTCCTTGTGCGCAAACATACAAATTTTGTTAAAATTATAAAGTCTCTAAACATTAGCATATGTACAAGCAGTCAAGATACATAATTTTTGTTAACGCTCTTGTAAGCGTTTCGATCTCGAGATTGGACGCTCTTCATATTGAGCGACCTTGAATTTTTAATGATTCAAGCTATATCCCAACTTAAAATTATATGACACTTGTCAATGTGACATTAAAGAGCGATATTTTAATACAAGTTGTCTTCTGTGAGTTGTGACTAATTAGTAACACCTTCGACCACGCTTTTGTTTGACTTCGCCTTTAAAAACGCAAAGCATACTCTTCGCACCTTTCAAATTATCTCCGTAAGTTCACCGATACCATTGGAGATGAGGAGCTCACGAGAGTGTAAATGTCGTTCTGTCTTGCGCCATTTGGCGTCTTTTACAGCTTTTGCTCCTTGAACTACTCGCTGCTCCAAAAAATGACAATAATTTTGATCGAAATGCGAGATTCTCCTCTGCGGGTTTCTTTAGTGAATTATGCATTCAAAGAAACAATTTTTCTGTGCTAGTTGTGCTCTGACGTTTGTTCAAGAGGAGTTTTCAACTGACTTTTTCCAAACCTGGAGTCCAGTTTTAACCGTATAACCTTAATACTAATCATTGCCGTGAAATGAGCTCTCTTTTTCCAAATCTTTTTTCGATTTAAGTTTTCGTCCCTTTGTTTTCTGTTCCTTGTAATCCGTGCTTTCAGTTCATTACCTCTTCTCCGTTTCATGTTTCACCGTTCGATGTTCCTCCATTCCATGTTCCACTTCTCCCATTCCGTGTTTTATTTTTCCTTTTTCAGTCAACCGAGGAAAGCACACAATTTGAATAAAGAAACAATAAAACACAAAAGTGAGTACTAATGAACCATGAAAATCTCGATAGTGGTTCACACTTGGCTTATGTTAACCTAGTCAGATTTGCTTGACAACAGATTTACACCAAAGTCTCCTTTCGTTCAAAAAGAAGAACGCTATAAAAAAATACCAGTCTTTTATGGCTCAACCAGAGGAACAAGCCGGTTGTTTTCGGCTTAGGTACGTATGTTTTTCTGTAGCATTTTCTCTTAAGTTGCTCAGACAAATGAATGAATATCCAGCTTTTTCGCCATTTCTATATAATTATCTCAAATCAAGATTCCTGAATAAACCTCTCGAAGGTTCATACTAACGATCGTTTTTAGACTTGTTTGACAAGTCAAACGTATCCACCTCGATTACGGTGAAATCTACTTTTGCGTTACTGAAGATAACAGTATGGTTGAGTCGGGAGCCGGGTTTGATTCTTTCAATTAAAAAGAACCGAACATCAACCACACCGTTTTAGTGGCTTTTAAGGACTAAATTGAACGACGGGATAAATGAAATAATGACATCAAACTTAGCGAAAGATAACGTTTGAGTTTTCGGCAAAGGGATTGTTTATTTGCATGATTGTTTATTTACATTTAGCATAGCTTAGCAACATCTTACCGACCCAACTTTGCGTGAAGGACAGATCGTTTTAAGCTCAATCATTTTTTTTCGGTTTTCCCACTGTCATTGGAGTTTAATGAACTACAAAATACTCCGCCAGGATTTGCCAATTTGTTACATGAACTGAAAAGTGCTTTGGGGATTTAAATTAGGGGCTTTTGAAGACAGTAATTGATTAATCCTAACTTGTCTTCGTTGAAGCACTGAACCGAAAACCGAGTGATGATAAGTTCGAATCGTATGCAACGCAAACAGCTTGGATTTTAAAATTTTGTCTCATTGATTCTGCTTTTTATTTAAATATGCATACAGTGTTATGTTTATCTCCGCGCAAATGATGAGTAGACAGATTCTTTTAACCCTCTTTGCTCGGATGAGAAATGTTCCTTCGCTTTAATCAGTTTCATGTAACAAAACAATGATACTTAAAATACACATCTGAGAATTGTCTTACGAGTTAATAGTCGAATGATACTTCCCCTATTTAGATTTAGTTTTGCATATCATTTAATCTAACCGCGATTGCTGTTAATATTTCTGTTTGAGACAAGTTTGCGAGTCAACATGGCTGACATCTTTCATTCCTAAGACGCACGTTTGTGCTAAATTCATTTTATCCACTGTTCAATAGCCGCCCTTGAAGCGTATCTGTTTAGGAAGATTCAATTAGGATAGTTTATTGTAGATAGCTCAGTGACTGAATCTTAAAAATTCATTTGTTATGACTGAATTCTTGACAACAGGGATTTATTGGGATTTCAAAGAAAAATGTAGAAAACTCATTTATCTATATGGGTTGTAGATAAATGAATAAATAATCAGATTATTGAATGGCAGGTCTCTTACAGTGGGCTCAAGCCTTGGTGCTTGGTCTTTAATTCTGGATAGGACTGTAAATAATAATACACCTCAGGCTACCTTCATTTTATCGATTTTGCACCGAAGCAAGATAAAAAGCGTTGGATGATACCGCGATTGAAAGAAAAAATTTTGCTTCAAAATATTTTACAACGCACGAATGAAAACAACGTTAATGAAATAATCATAATTATGAACATTATCACGATTATAATAACAATAATTTTCATACATGTCATTTTAAGCCAAGGGCACTCCACGGATCTTACCAAACTGTCTTAGAAAAAAGCGAACTCTGCTAAGTTAGGTTATTTTCATGTGTTCTGTTGCGAGAACAATTGAAAAGGACTGGAAATGTTGATAATAGAGTCTTGATGCGTTCTGGGTGAGCAGTTGTGACAGTTAGTCAAGTGTGACACTTTTGTAGTAGCGAGCGGTGTGTGTTTGCGTTACTTAGGATTAGTATTTTTGAGTTGTTTTGCAGATTTCGTCACAACTTTTTGAAAGCCATTGAAAAAGAATCACTTTCAGCTGATACACTGCAGTTCTTTTAACTCACTTTTAGCGTTAAAAAAAGCTTCCACATAATTTCTCAACTCAAGTTTGCATTCTTCTGATTCACTTAAAAATTACAGGAAGAGGCGAGGAAAAAGAGTTGAACCTGAAGGAGCCCACAATTTAAGGTACTACACTTTATGGTTTGTTTGTTTGTTTGAACCTAGGGGTAAATGTGATCGTGTAGAGTGATCCCTTAAGTAAGGGTGGTCCTGAAAAGGAGAGTTGACAGAAACTAAAGGAACTTAGCTCTAAAGACAAATGCATATATTTTTCGACGATTGAACTAACTTGTGACAAGTTTGGTTCGTGAAAACTGATTGGCCAGTTTGTTCGCGATGTTCTCCGCAGTCACACTCAGGTAGCATTTGTCTGTTGCGAAAGGTTATTATTATTTTTTAACACAGCGGTCAAACATAGGGGATGCACAAGGGGTAAAGTTTTACCAGCCGCGTGAAAATTTCTCGGGAAACACTACAAAAAAAACTGAAAAAAAAAATTAAAAAAACCTAGGAAACAACTACTACAGGATTACCTTTAAGGTGATTCTGTATAAGGAATACAGGTTTGTAATTGGAGGACATTCCTCATTCGTATAAGTAAAAAATTGTTGATGTGAATATCAATTGTCTTTTCTAATCAACTCCTCTCTCACTTTACTATCTTCTTCATCTTTTTGCGGATAGAAACGAACAAAATGGACCCCCGTCAAATGGATCGCAGCCCACGGAGTAAGCTCTGCTTATTATTGGTAGCTTCTGTTCATTGTACAATTTTAATTCGTTAATTGCACAGTAGTCTGTTTCATCTGTTGGTGCATCATTAAACGGTTAGTTTCGCATTGGAGAAGTCTTAAAGGAATAACAGACATGTCACACTACAACTAAAGAGCTAAAAAGTTGGTTAAAACGTGCAACGTGCAATCACTGAATCACTTGACCCTTAGGAGTGATTTGCATCTAATTTATCTCACACCTGCATTACACATTATGATGAATAAAGGAAATTATCACCCACTAAAGAATTAACTCTTGATTGTTAAACAAATTCACCTTTCCAACACCTTAGGGAATGTAGAGAGAACAGTATAGAGAATATGCATACTTATTTTAGGATGTAAAGGGTTAAAAAAAAACTTGACATGTCCCCTCAATGTCAGTAACATGATTAGCCTAGGACCCTTTTCCTGGAAAATCCCTCTTTAGCCACTGCATATTTTCTACCGTTTTCTAAGGGATCAGTAATTATTTATCACCTCGGGAGATTTTTTGGGGGGATGGTATTATTTTCATGAAGAGAAGAGGGTGGATTAGTTTTCGCTAACAGAGGATAAAGGACCATGGAAAATTGACTTTCAATTAGTGGGGATTATTAGAATACTACAGAGCTTAAAGGAATGGGGGGGGGGGTGTGTGGAAATCTCCGACCCCCATCCCCTCCCAGACGATAAATAATGACCAGTTCCTCATTCAGTAAAAACAAATCTGATTGTCAAGTGAGCAGCGGATGGCGATGTAATTCTATTTTGTTTCGATAGCTGATTTATCGTTACATTCGCTATGCAACAATTAAAGTTGTAAGAACTGACAGAAGCCCACAGTGGGCGCAGATAGTGGTTTTTAAACAGTCGTGACTCTTGTTTTGGTCTATTTGTTTGATTCAGGCCATTGGTAACGGAAGAAAATCCGGATGAATCCCAAAATTCCTTGTAAGTGGTAAAAAATAAACAGGTTGAAACAGGCTTGACAGGTTTCAAGAGGACTAGCCTGATCTGAAATAGTCTTGTATGATGAGGACTTTAGTTGAACAGCAGGAAACTTACTCACTTGATGCTAAACTTCGTGGTATTTTTTGTGTAAGAATGAGAAGTATTTAAAAGATTACATATCTCATCGTTTATCAGTTTTGTGACTGTCGACTAAAATGAACTGAGTTTCCTTGCAACAATTTTTGAAGTTCCTTGCTACGAGCAGGGCATAAATTACGAGATTATTTCATGCATAATGGTGCTAACGTAATCATGTACCATTGTTCTCAATCATTTCATATTTTTTTGTTAAATTTGGATATGATAGAGAGAATTCAAACAACAGCTCCAGCTCTGGTCTGGGAGAGGGACTGGACGGTAGGATCAATCTGATATCTGATAGAGATTTCCGAGAGAGAAATGATGCCTTAAGGATTGACAGTGGAAATGACAAGCAAGGTACAGGATTGAGGATTGAGAGATTTTCTGTTCGGTAATTTGAAGGATTTAAGGATTTTTATTGATTCAAAGTTAGAGTAAGGCTTGTGATGACCCTCCTCTGTGTACTTATGGGTCTGTATCCCAAAGCGAAGTTAACAAGTTTCTTTATCAGACCCCTTTGTCGCAGGACTGAAAGGAGACGGGAAAAACTGGTCTTTTGTCAAACAGCGTTGATAAAATACCAGTACCGAGATGTTATGTGGGAGAATTTTTATGGATGAACAAACTTATCAGACTATTTATGTGATTCAAATAATAGTTCAGACTATTTATGTGATTCAAATACGAAGTTCGCAATTTTATTTTCTCATCACTTGACTCTGCCACCTCTTTACTCTTCGCTGTTTTTTTCCCGACAGGGGCAGACTCCCAGTTAAAACCTGTGACAGTTGATTTTCACCACGAAGAAAACAGGACAGCTCATAAAACTGATGACTACGAGATACCACAATTGATAGTCAGACGGGGAAAGGAGTTTGACTTCACTGTGACGTTTAACAGAGACTATCACCCGGAAGTTGACGTCATAGTTGTACAGTTTGTTACAGGTAAAGCATTTTCAATGTGTATTCTAGCTTCTGTTTGATTGATCACATTTAAATGCTTATGACTTAATCAGCGATCGTTGTTCACCCTCTCTCAAGAAATAATATCGCTTTTCTTTTGATTAATAATGGTAATAGGACTGAGTGGAGCCCAATTCAGTCTGTAATCATATTTTGTGAATTACGAGTATGATTACAGAAAGAATTGGACGACACGAAGTCCTGTCACCAATTAATCAAAACTATGACAAAATTCGAGAAAGAAACTATTCATCGATCATACGTTTTCATTAAGAAAAACAACAGATAACTCAAATCGGGTTGGTGATAACCAATCACGTTCGAGAATTTTGTTACGGTTTTGATTAAGCAGTTTATCATTAACGTAGCTATTTCACGTATTTCTGAATATTATTTGCGCCTCTTCAGGAAAACGACCCCAGGAAAGTAAAGGATCGATCATACGGGTGTCAATTCAAGACCGCCTCACCGCAAATCAGTGGGGAATGCAGGTCAAGGAAGCCAGTGGAAACACAGTCCATCTGTCAATCATGTCATCAGCAAAATCCATTACTGGTCGATATGACGTACTCATCGAGACAAACAGCACAGCCTCATCTGGAGATGACTCCTTCTTTCGACACAAAGTCGAGGAACAGATTTGTGTACTCTTTAATCCTTGGTGTTCGGGTGATTTTTTCTTCATTTCAGTTTATAGCGTCATTTGAAGTAGTTAACTCTATTCTGGTGCTTTGGATTCCAAACTTCCGAACTCTTACCGAACATTACTCCTGCTCAAAGAAAGTTTGTTCCGACGAAAGTTATAGTTAGAAACCCAGAACTGAATCTCACCTTTAATGAAGCAACTAGCTAGCTTGCACATGCTATAGGTAAATTCTGCTCAATAGATTTGATAGAAGGATATGAAATTACGCAGCTTAAAATTCTCCCATGATTAAAGAATAAAAGGGCGAAGCTTTGGTGAGAACAGTTGATTCCCGGCGCTTCGTTTTGTGTATGTTCATTAAATGGTTATTTTTCGCACGGGTATAAGTGCACGAAGAACCCCTGTAGATTCCCCGTAGATAGCTCAGTTCTTTTAGTATGTTTAGCTTTTTAAAGAGCAATAGCTTCCTACAGTTATTTCAACTTTTTGAGATTTTGATGAGACTTTATTGGATACCAAACTTTACTTTCTTTTTCATATGGTAGACGATACAGTCTTCATGGAAAATAATGAACATCATAATGAATATGTCATGGAGGATTTTGGCTACATATGGAGAGGGATTTCCGGGCAGTTCAAAAAAATTCCTTGGGCATTCGGTCAGGTAAGAATTAATATCACTTCTCACCATCCCACATTGCAGGTGTCATATGAAGAAGAGTAAATAAGTCTTAGCTGGCTAACGCCAAAATGGTAAATATGGACAGGCACATGGCGGGTGAGATTTGTAAATAACCTGTTTTGGTTGGTTGAAAAAGTATTGACAAACTAAGTGCTACTGCCGATGACATTGACTATTATATTTAGTCTATTATTGCCTCGTATGTTATTCTATGGCATATGTTTTTAAGCATTTTTTTTTAGTTTGAGGATGTTGCCTTAAACTGTGCATTGTGGCTGTTGGATAAAGCTGAGCTTTCCTGTATCGCGCGATCCAGTCCAATCCATGTTGTGCGTACAATATCAGCAATGGTGAGTCAAAATGCTTGCCTCAGTGCACGCTTTAATACTTACTTAGTAACTAAGTTATTACTTAACCTCATGACCGTTAAAGAAAATTAGATAAATAAATGTGGATGATGTCTTCCCCAGGTCAACTCAAACGACAAGGACGGTGGGATTTTGTCTGGACGTTGGTCCAATACATTCCCTGAAGGAACAACACCACCGCTGGCCTGGACTGGAAGCACTGCCATCCTGGAAGAGTTCTGGAGAACGAAAAAGACTGTTCGATACGGACAATGCTGGGTGTTCTCTGGACTAGTAACAGCATGTAAGAGAATTTTACAGTGATGTATAATAAATACTTCGGCATTCTTTCTGTAATTACTCTAGCATTCGTCAGATCTCCTCGCTTTGCTCGGCTTGCAGTAGGGAGTTAAAGAAAATCCCGACGGCAACGGCAACGGCAACGCTTCTGAGCAAAAGGTGTAATAAGCAGAAAAATGACTGTGTACGTGCGTCATAAATCGTTGTAAATTTCTTTGTGTACTCTGCGAAACAACAACATGAAATGACCACCTTGTGCGTTGTCTGGAGAACGTGAACGGCGACGGCTAATTTTTTAAATTTCTATTTCTGATTTATGCCATGTACCATACGATTGACAACGAGAAACAAACTATACGACTTTAGAGTATCGCGAGATTCGTAGGTAAAATATAAATTCATTTTGTAACCGACGTTTTCCATGGTGTCGCCGTCGCCGTCGCCGTCGTCGTCGCCGTTTGTCAACTCCCTAATAAACAAGAACTAAACTCGTCTCCGAAATGAAGCGGGTGGTGGGGGTGGCGGCTAGGGGCTGTGATTGGTACAGATTATGACTACCATAGGCAAGAAAATGTAAGACCCTTAGTTCCCCTCTGCACTTGAAAGTAAAACCCACACAACTGAAAGCGAAAAAAACTTATAAATACTTGAGAGATATCGTTTTATACATGTACTTCTTCAAGAAAATTGAACATGGTGTCGGGCGTTGGAAGTTAAGGTTTAGCAGATAAAAACAATTAAGGCTCAATTAAGCCAGAACGTATTATATGATATCAGGCATGGGGCCATAGTAAACATATTTTTGTTTACTTTATTGTTTCAGTACTGAGGGCGCTAGGAATCCCAACTCGAAGCGTGACGAATTTTGATTCCGCTCACGACTGTGATGGCAGCATGACGATCGATTATCATTTTGACGAGGAGGGAGATCTCATCCCTCACATGAACGACTCAGTGTGGTATGTGCTGCTTCTGGTTGTAAGCGTAGTAACCGACTTCTATTTAAGTTTTTGGTTTCGTGGTTAGATTGGAGCGTGGGAGAAAAAAAAGAAAAGGAATATTGAGTTCATAGATGTTAAAGTAGCGTGCCCTTTCTAGGAACGAGTGAGTGTATAGATAGGTTACTCTGAAGACCAGAGATACATCTATAGTCTAGAATATAAGCGTTGTTCTTATGGTAACCAAAAACTTCAGCAACGCGCAGTTGTATCTTTGAAGAGATTATAGTGTTCTTGGACAGTTCAATGTTTATTCCAAATACCTCACTCGGTCCCACAATCATAGGCCGGTTACAGCTAACTATTACTGAAACTTGACCAAATGCTCCTGGTAACCTGGAAGTTGCTAACCAATATCCCATCCAGGAAGAGTGGCGATACCTTTAATCTCTTCATGCTATGGAAACCTGGAGACAGTGATACGCTTGATTAGCAATGCAAACAGTGCTTTATACCTCCTCCAGTCGAGATCAAGAATCTCTCAAATCGGTAGTATCTATCATACACACCGAATACTGATCTGGTATGCATGCAGTAACTCCTCAAATCGATTTCCTTTTTTTTTTCATCAATCAGGAACTACCATGTGTGGAACGAATCATGGTTCAAGCGCCCAGACTTGCCAGACGGTCATGATGGATGGCAGGTGCATGATGCCACACCCCAAGAGACAAGTGAAGGTAAGGCAGTAAAGGAACTTTACCACTAACTTTACGCCTGGCTCTCGATTGCTTCACCGCGGAGTCATAAAGGACCCGTTGGTTGACCTAAGCCGTATGTCAGGTTCTTAATTCGACATTGTTGATCCTTGCATCGCACCGAACGCTAGTCATGAACAAATAATCAGAGATTATGGTATTATCGAGCTCTCTGTACTCGAAATTGGAGGGTCCTATATTTGGATGTTTCTAAAAATTTCAAAATTGTTTCTTTGTCCCACGCCTGAAACAAACGATAAAATTTTTATTTGTAGACTTCTATAGTAGTGGGCGTGGTTATTAAACTCTTTTGATGCATGTAACCTCCCAGCTTCGGTTTTAAAGCCAAATTTCATTATTGTTTTTACGATTGCTTACAAAGCTTTATCTTAGATAACAGTATCCGATGACTTTTCGATGAAATGCACATAAGTTCATTGCGTAGATTTCACGTATATTTGCAATTTACTCTTTAGTTGAATGTTGGACAATTTAAAATGTTTTCATGTGGTTTGTCTTAACGGTCAACCTTGAAATAACGTGGTATTAGAACCCAGACTCTTAACCGATTGGGGGCACAACAGTTGGCGATGTACAAAGCGCAGATTTAAGAGAGTGCTGGGAGGAGGATTTGATATAAATCTCAGGCTCAGAGCCACCTCGCCATGCCCTTAATTCCCGCCAAAAAATATGATAACTCCTTTTTTCGAAAGTGAGTGCTTATGCTTCAAAGTTATATTCTTCATGAGACTGATTTACTTCATCTGTTTTAGGTGTCTTTCGCTGTGGTCCTGCATCATTAAAAGCGGTTAAAAAAGGAGAAGTGTACCTTCCTTACGACACTGCCTTTGTGTTCGCTGAGGTAAATGGCGATCGTGTTTACTGGAATGTCAAGAAATCTGATGGTTCAATGAAAGCTTTTTCCGTGGACAAGAAGTATGTTGGAAACTCGATTAGCACGAAGGCTGTCGGATCCGAAGAAAGAGAGGACATCACCCATGATTATAAATATCCTGAAGGTTGGTCTTCTTTTCCTGCCTATTAGGCACAAAAAAGAAATGTAGGAAGAAAGGCAGACAGACTTTCATTGAGCCAGTGAGTCAGTCAGTCAGTGAACCACTCAGTCACAAATGTCGGTCATTCATTCAAGACAGCCGCTGGATTTGTCGGTCACACATGTAGCACGAAATGTGCTAGCCAGTCTGATTTTAAGTACTTGAGGAATTTTAACACCCATGTGATTATAACAGGTTCTGAAGAAGAGAGGAATGCTGTCAAATATGCCTTCCAGTTTAGCAGCCGCACCGAACACGAAATTTACCAATATCAAAGCGAGAATGTTGAATTTCGTCTCGATGTGCGGAAAACTGTGTACATGGGCAACAGTTTTGACGTCGCCGTTGTCGTGGAAAACAAGTCAGAAAATACGAGAAACATAAAGGTTAACTTTACAGCTGTCTTAAGTCATTACACTGATGTTCCTGCTAAGAAACTGAAAACATACAAGCTTCAGTTCCTATTAAACTCTAAAGCAGGTAAGTTTTCACGGACTGTAGAAGTACGCAAAGATGTGAAAGACGTGAAAATAATTTTTCATAACTGTGGGACGAAGTTCAACCCACAGTTTAACCGATCGGATGCTTGGAAGTATTTCTGAGCTACAGGAAACTCTTGGAGAGTTCGAGTATTGGACAGGGTTAGTTATGTGACATGCAAGCTACATACTGCCTGAATGAGCAATGCCGAATCGAAATATGCATGAGCCAAGGAAACAAAAATATAATTACATTGCTATCCTGGAGCCTCCAAGCAAAGTCCTACAATAATGAAGCTTATCGTCTTAGCTTACAAATTCACTACCATTTCTATTGATAACTTGGGTGGGTGCGGGTAATTTTTGTCGGGGCAGAGTTCATGCCACAGCAGCTCAAGAAAAAATACTGGTCCCCCATTTTATATTCTATACTCGTGTGGAGTGAGAGTTCGACGAAGAAGCAAACATGTCTCCACGACCGATAACTTTCCGTACAAGTAAACATTTCAATTTTCTCTCATCAGAGAAACGTTTAGAGTTGAAAATTGAACCCAAAGATTACATCACCAAGACAGGAGCGGATGTCACCATTAAGTTGTACGTTAAGGGTTTAGTAGAAGAGACAGGTCAGTCCTTTGCTGCTCAGGATGTGGTGGAGCTCACCAAACCCGCACTGGAAGTTACGGTGGGTTATCAACACTGCAAGGATTTGGCTGCGGGTTAATTCCTTTTAGTCCTAATGCCATTTCCATCGAAGAATTTGGATTCTCGCTCAGTAGTCTCAACTAATGTTGAGTTTCGAAGGTATTACACGTTTAATTTTGTTTCTTCACTTAGGCATCGTCATCGCAAGTGAAGATTGGTGAAGAGGTTGAGGTAACCGCGTCATTCACGAACCCTTTGCCAATACCCCTAACAAAAGGACAATTCCATCTGGAAGCCACTCGTATGAAACCCAAGTCACTTGTGGTCGACTGCAAGTAAGTAACAGCCATTCGGCAGAAGTTATGTCCGCGTGTAATTTGAAAACACGCACCCATAGGCACTTAGAGCAGGTTGGAGTGTAAAAGTAAGAATTTGATTTCCATAATCATGATGACTTAACACATGGGCCAACTCCACAATATCACCAGAGTCCTGGTTTTTCAACCTTGGGTGACTAGCAGCAGTGCGATCCCTCTCCGAGGAATGCTAGTCCATAGCTGGCAGGTCGCTGCGCTACTTTGTTTAGGCTAGCAAGCCGCACCGGTATTCGTGTCATTAATAGAAAGAGGGATGTGGGAAAACTATTCCCAAGTGGCCAGCGCAATGACCTCAACCAAAACTTGAATCGCAGCTCATCGCGGAAGATTTACTAAAATAATTGAACGAACTTTACCAATAGCCAAATAAATGAACAAATAGAATTTCGAGCAGTCTGCAAACGCAGCCTCCCCATATCTTATCTCCCAGGAAGTGATCTTGCTCATTAGACTTCTTAAAATGCATGCGGGGTGTGGGTTCCCTATTGTTAACTTAACTGAATTTAAGTTGACTTTAGAAAATTGTTCCTAATTCATAGGGGCCCTGTGGGTTCTAAGGAAGAAGCCAAGATCACTGCCAAGTTCACAGCAGCCAGAAAAGGAAAGCATCACATCGCTGTCAGCTTCCAGTCTAACGAACTCACTGATGTTCATGGCGAGTGTACTGTTTCTGAACCAGAAGCACGTTAAATTTTACATCTTCAAGGCGTTTGATGCCGATGGTTACAAAATTATTCGAGAAAAAATAAAAACCGTCCGCAAAGAAGAGCAAATTACTAAATAGACGTAGGAGGCTCATCTGTACCTTTATAAAACACAGCGACCCATAAGTGTATAAGCTCATCTTCACCATCACACCCTCATGTTAACTTGAGCTATTTTATTCCAGACATTAAATGCTTACATTAATTTTATCCTCATAAAAAATCAAATTCCCTTCTTATTTGGAGTTGTGATAATTTGTTATTTTGACTCGAATACGTAATCTTTGTACCAGCAGTCTTAACAGGGACATTTCACGTCGGCCATGAAGCCAAATAAAATTATATCAATAACGACGATTTCTTTTATTTCTTTCATTAACTAATGTATCAACCCAATCATCCTGGACTAAAACTTCATTATGTCTAATCTGATGATAATGGTAATGACGATGACGACGATAATTGCGATGATGATGACGATGATGACGTATTGCGAGCTTTTCAAGCTCTTCAGTAAATGAAACAGCGTCAGCTTAAAAATAATTAATCTAAAACGCGAAAGATAATTTACTACGTCTGTTTGTGAGCTGAACATCTATCTGCAACTACCTAATCGCGGTTTTACCCCCATTGCAGGTCTGCTTACACCAAAGTTCAAAGTTGGCGTCTTAACTATTAAGTTGCATGTTTCCGATACTACTTTAATCCGTGAGCTAAAACGTTACTACACACCTATTTGTCTGACGTGAGGTTGAATTCCGATCCTTAAAATTTTATTACTACTCCTCACAATATACACAGTAAATCTTAAAATAATAGTTGAAATATATACAAAAAAGCTAACAGATGGAGAGAAACTAAGTACAAAGCAAGGGCTGCCTTTCGGAATCCACGGGGCCTGCCCAAGGAGAGAGAAGATCTGCATATGAAACAAAAATAACTTTTCGTTTCGTGTAGTTCATGTCTTAACGTGTAAGTGGCAACCGGAAAGTTTCGAAATCAACGCAATTGGATCTAAAAACTTTGGTAAATTGAGTTATCAAATTCGTGGTTTAGTTCATGTCTTTTTTCCTTCCTTTCGTTTTCTGAATTCAAATATCACGTAGGCCAATAATAAGTGGCTGCCGGAAAGTTCCTAACTCAACACAGTTGGATGTAAAAACTTCGGCAAATTTGTTAGACTCAAGACCTTCAAATAAGTAGGTGTTGCCACCCCTATATCAATTACATTAAAAGGCAAAAACACGTGGGTGAATCATGACCCAGAGTACATACCCTCGTTTAAAATAGCGTCCTAATTGGCTTGTAAAAGAGCGGGATTGGCGACCTGTAAATCAAGCCACAGAAAATACTCTCGTTAGTCAAGAAACGATGAACTTTTAAGTGGAGAGCGACCTTGACTAATTCCAGGAGTTAGAATTTTGAAGCCAGGCAGAATCAAGGTTGGCTTTCTACGATGATTATAAACGCACGCACAGAGCCACTTACTGACATATGGTGAAGGGTAATGGTGTTTTGTAAGAGATTCCTTTGAAGGGCTTCCAACTTCTTCGATTTGCAGGGAAACCTTGAAACAAGAACAAGGAAATGTAATAGAGAATGGGAAAACAGAGCATGATCCATGATATGAAACTATAGCAATAAACACGACACCTGATCTCCACGACAAGCCCGAAAGAAAAAGCTTTCTTACCTCTCCTTCGCGACATTTAGCTTCGTATAACTCTTCCATCTCTTGTAACCTGCACAAAGATAAACAAAACATAGCCTTAACAATGAGTTCACACTGACGTTTTAAGTCATAATTACAGTCAATTTTCCTTAGCAAAGTTGATAGCAAAGATGATGAGTATATTAGCAAGAATTCATGTAAATGTTTGAACAATGAAACTAGTCAAAGGAAACATTTGCCACTGCTCAAAGCAGACGAGGAGAAGCGTGTCGTACCGATCTCTGAGTTGCTCTATGGTTTCCAAAGCTCCTTCCTCGTCAACAGGCATATCGATAGTCACATTCTGAAAAAAAGGGGGTGAATTCATAAAATCCAACATTTCAAATGGTCAACACTTGTGTTAAAAGGCGGACGTTTGCCTTGAATGTTATCATTGTTGCGCATTTTACCCCACTTTAAAATCTCTTGAACAGACTGGCTTTGACTAAAAGTCAATAGAAAAATTGACTAGTTAAAAAGTAACCGACGACCAATTATTTCAAATTAAGAGGGAATATTAAACTAAGCGAATGGACTTCAACAGTTGCGCGCTTTTACTTTAACTTGTGATAAAATCTTCGTTTCAACTTTGTCTCATTCCACATCTTCCCTTCTCCCACAATCCTTTCCCCTTCTTTGCCTCCCTTAACCTCTTCCTGTATTTTTCATTCTCCCCGTCACATTATTCATTTTTTGAATCTTCTGTCGCTCAAGCAGGCATTCTCTCCCCCACCCCCCCTCCCCCCCTCCGTATTCAATATATCAAGATCATGGCTTCCTGGTCTTCATTATCAGCCGTCTCCAGGCCGCAATTCCCCCGACACTGAAGATGGGACGTGCATACGCCTGGCACTTAAATGCCCCATGGGATCTCGGTTTACCGCTCATTAGTTTAAGTGCGTTCTGACGTATCTACAGTTTGGCCACAATGTTTTTCTTCTAGCGCATATCGATCAATTAGTGTTCAGACTTACCTGGTTTCTAAGTTCTCCAAGCTGTCTCAAAGCCTCCTCTTTCTCCGCTCTTGCAGCATCGAGATCATTTCGCCAGCCTTTTCCAATGTGTTCAAACTGGATTTTAGCTTTGGTAAGCGCCGACTGCTTTTCAATTAACGACTGTTGAAGATCTCTATTTTGATGAAGAGTTTCTTCAGTTTTTTGAGTTAGGTTTTCTTTCTCGCCTAGAGACTTCTCAAGTTCTCCTCTAAGAGCCTCCGTCACTTCATGAAACTTCGTATACAATTTGTCTTTTTCCATTCTACAGTCCTGACATTCCTTTCTGAGCCAGTTTATCTCGTTCTTCAACTCACCCACAATGTCATCCCCATCGGTAAGATCGTCCCCAGACCTCTGAACGTTTTCTTCCGTCACAACAGAGGTGTCTCTGAGTTTGGCAACTAGTAATTCTTTGTCTTTAACTAGAGTCTCGACTTCTACTCTTTGGTTGTGAATAAATCTCTCTTTTTCGAGATTTTGCTGCCGACTCTGCTCAAGGTCCAGCTTTAAGGACGATAGGATTTGATCATAGTCCTTTTTCAATTTCACTCGTAAATTCTCCTTCCCTTTCATTGTCATGTACAAGTCTTGGCGAAGTTTGTTGTTACCATTTTCCAGTAATTCATAGTTGGCTTGGAGCTCCTCGTATAACTTTTCTTCGTCAGACTTATTCTGCACTCCATTTCTAAACTGACTTAGATCTTCGTTAAGTTTGTCTATGATTTGACGCTTTTCAGCGAGTTCGCCTTGTAGCTGTTCCTTCTGCAACATAAAAATAAAAACATAGCTCAAAGGACAGTGTTATTTCCCCCAGCAATCGTTACTAATAGACATTACAATCTAGTACACGAACCTCTTTTGCATTATCCTCCTTCAAGGCCGTAAACTGCTCTCGAAGGTTTTCAAAATCTTCGGTTTTGGCGTCGAGGTTATTTTGTAGTTCCCGCCTCATTGCTTCTTCTCGAACAACAACTTGGTTAACGTCTCTGTTAAATTTCTCGGCAGCGTTCGCAAGGTCGGTCGTTAACTTTTCAATTTGGAGCTGCAGTTCTTGAATTTGTTTCTCTTTTTCTTCCAGCTCTCCTGTACAAAACACCAAAAACAATATAGGACTGTAAATTACCGTTAAATTGTTCACCGAAGCCATTTTCTATATCTGATGTCTTCTGTTCTGAACCCAAGCAAATAAACATTTCAGTATTCGCTAAATGAAAGAAGAACACAGCAAGGTTTCCTAGGTTTGTCTGACAATGACACTACAAAATGACGACACAATGATTACTGTTGAATAATTAAAAGGTGTTTACTGAGCGGAAACTACTGGAAAGTAATTTAAATTATTTAACAGGTTTCTCAGTCAACGTGACAGTACCTACAAGAATCGCCTACACCATTACAAAGCTCGCACGTGTACGGCTTACAATAAGAATCCTTCAAAAGTATTAGAACACAAGACGCGTTTCCGCATGAGATAATTCGACCACGTGATCACTCTCACGTATTTGTGCTGATCATTCTTTATTTAATCCCTAATTTTAAGACAAATGAGGCCTCACTACCTCTGAAAATTCACCAATTTATATAGGATAGATAGGTCTCTTTCTAGACAAGTGGCTTAACCTAACATCGAGACGGTAGCTTTAAGTAGAACAGCCTGATTTATCCAAATTGAAAATAAAATATCGCAGAATTGATGTTCACCTTCTCTGTCCTGCAAAACTTCGTCAAGTCCCATAATTCTGTCGTCTAACTCTTCCTTTTCCTCTTTAAGGTGTTCGATGATTTCCTGTAATTTCCCACTATCTTTCTCAGACGATTGGAGATCCATTTCTCTTGTACCCACGCCAGCATCTCTGACATATCTCTCTGACAACACTGAAGACTTGTCGAGTTGCTTTAGTTTTAGCTGGAATTCAGACGCGATCTCATCAGCCGTTACTTTGCCTTGTAAAGCCCGCTGCAAATCCTCACTAAGACCTGACACGATGTGACTAAAGTCTGCTCTTAGCTTATTTATATCTTCTTGTTCTCGCTCCAGCTCTTGTACCTGTGTTTTCAAGTGTTCAGTTTGAGCGTAGGCTGAGGTAAGTGCTTCCTCTAAGTTGTTCAAATGGTTTTGTTGTTCAGCTATGACAGTGTCGTAACGATCTTTCAACTGACTCTTTTCTTCTGTATTCAGACCTTTCTGGTTAAACAACTTGGCTTCGAGATCTGCAATTTGCTGGTCTTTCGCATCAAGCAAAGGCTGTTGTTCTTGAAGAAGATGCTCCAGTTGCAGCTTAGCCTGTTGCAGTTCTTTTTCGGCTTTTACCTTTTGCAATTGAACTTGCTCTAAAACTGCTTTTACATTCTGATTTTCTGCTCTGTTTTCGGAAAATTTTTGGTCGATTTCCTGTCTTTCCTCCTCCAAAGACTGAAACTGCTCCCCGAGAGTAGAAATCTCAGCATCTCTCTCCAATATACGTTTTTCATAATACTCCACCAGGCTACTGGTCTCTTCCTTCTCTGATAGTAACTTTTGTACTCTCGCTTTGAGCTCTTCAACAATTCCTTCCTTTTCTCTAACAAAAGTGTCCAACTCGATTCTTAATTCCTGAGCTGCCCTTTCACACTCTAATTTTTCTTGACGTACTTTGCTCAGCTCGGCTATGAGTTCTTCGCTGCTTCCCACATCACCCGTTTTTGGTTTGCCTTCTTTCTCTTTGTTTTTTCTTGTCATCGCTCTAACCTTAGCCTTCAAACGTTCGTTGACCGACTTGACCGTCTCCAGTTCAGAATTCGCCTTAGACAACTCATCCTTAACTTTTTGAACATCGTTAGGGTCAGAGGCGACAGTCTGCGAAGGGGGTGAAGTTAACAAGGGTTGTGTCTCACACACTGCGGACTGAATTGGCTCGTTCTCTAGAGTCTGGATAACAACCCTGGAAACAATCTCTTCCTGATCACCGTCCTTTTCCCCTCTTTCTATTTCATCTTTTGGTGTTTCCCTTACTTGTAGCGTGGCCTCAAGACGTCTTAATCTATCTTCTAAATCCAACTTTTCACTGTTAACAGACTGCAAAACGTCCCTGAGGTTGAAGACCTCTGACTGAGCATTCTCTAGCCTTTCGTGCATGTTTATTGCCTCTGTGTCCGTCGCCTCCACAGCCACATCTCCATGACTCGTTTCAGACTTTTCTAATTCTTTCTGCAGTCGTTTCAGTTGAACCTGAAATTCATGCGCTATTTGATCAGCTGCCCCTTTTTCTTCCAGAGCACGTTGGAGATCCTCGTGAAGCCCTGACACTATATGATCAAAGTTAGCTTTGAGTATAGCTATATCTTCTCTTTCTCTCTTTAATTCTCCTACCTCGCCTTTTAATTGCTCCAGCTCTTTGTTGGCGGACAAAAGTTCTCGTTCTAGTCTATCAGCATGACTCTGTATTTCAAAAATTACTCCGTCATGCTGGACCCTTGTAGCCTCTAGTTCTGTTTTGTAATTTTCTGTTGTGTCCTGAAGGCGATTCTCAAGCGTTGTAATCACACTTTCCTTCCTTGTCAGGTTTTCAGCCACTCGTTCGAGCTCCCGCTTCAAATCATTGCAATCATCTTCGATCTCAGTTTTCTGTGAGATTACATCTTGTTGTTGAACGTACAAGTTGTCATTTTCTTCCTTCAGTTGCTGAACTCTCCTCCAAGCTTCGTCGTTATGACTTTGAAGGTGTCCAATGTTATCTCTCATCTCTTGCAGGTCGCCATCTTTCGCCACAATTCTATTCTCATACTGTTCAATCAAACCATTGCTCTTCCCTCTGTCCGCTACCAGCTGTTCGATCTTATTTTTCAACTCGTTGACGATGCTCTCCTTTTGTCTTACAAATGAATCCAATTCAATTCGTAGTTCTTGACATGCCTTTTCGCTTTCAAGCTTCTCTTGACGGACCTGTTCAAGCTCGGCTTGTAAATCATCACGCGAACTGGTTTCTTCATCTCTAGAATCGGTCTTTGCTTTTTCCTTTTTCAGCAGGGTTCTAAGCTTCGCCTTCAACTTGTCGTTAACTCCTTTGATCTTCTTCATTTCATTCCTCAGGTTTTCCAGTTCTATTTCGATCTCACTATTTGAAGTGGTGGTGACTTGGTTATCAACCGAAGACTGCAAAATCACTTCTTCCACTGCCTTTTCGCGGCCTTCCTTTTCAGAAAGCTTCCAGTTTACTTCACTGCTCGAAAGAGGTTCTTTGATATTTGTCTCTTGGATGGAGAACTCTCTGATCTTATCTTGCAAGTCATCTCTTTCTTTGCTCGTTATGTCGAGAGTAGCTCTTAAGTCGGAAACCTCACGCCGTGTTGCCTCAAGCATCTCGGCATTTTTGTTGTTTTCTTGCGTCAGAAGGTTACTATCAGCAGAAACTACCGGCGACGACTTCTTCAAATTTTCTAACTGAACCTGGAACTCGTGAGCTATTTCATCTGCTGCTGCTCTCCCATCAAGAGCATGCTGAAGATCCTCACGAAGTCCTGAAATTATGTGGTCGAAGTTGCTTTGCAGCCTGTTTATATCCTGTTTTTCTTGGTCAGCAACAGACAGTTTAGCGTTTAGTTGGTCAATCTGGGAGTGTGCCTGCATAAGTTCCTCTTCTAGTCCTTCCCCCTCCTGCAGTCGTTTCTCAAGCTCCGACTGAACTTGTCGCAGATTATCTTTGATTTCGTTGTTACGGGCATCAAGCACTTGAATTCGTTCTTGCAGCGCCTTCTCATTAGCTTGCAACTGGAAAATACTTTCGTCGGTTTTTGTCTGCTTTTCATCCATTACAACTTGGAGCTCGTTAATCTGACGATCTTTCTCTTCAATAACGGGAAAAGAGTCTTGAACAACCTGCTCTAACTCAGATTTAGTGTTCAACAATTCTTTTTCGATATCATCTTTTTGTTCTGTGACCATGTGAATATTTTCCTCCAGTTCATTGTTTTTCTCTCTTAGTTCCGTGATTAATTGTTCCGATTGTCTTTCTTTCTCAGACAAGAGATCTTCGTGTTGCCTCTTAATTTCTTCAATAAATTCTTGATGCTCTTGCTCAGTGCGTTCCAAATGAGTCTCAAGTTCTGAGATTCTTTGGTTTCTTTCGGTAAGAAGCAACTGCTTACTCTCCAACTCCAGCTTTGCGTCTGCTGCAAAGTCTACTGAAGACCGTAGTTCGGAATTTAATCTAGTAAGCTCCTCCATCGTTTTATTCAGTTCCTCGTTGTCTAGAAGCAGAGGTTCAATTTGTTCGGTCAAATCGCGGACTCTGGAATCTTTTTCTAACAACCGTTTTTCATAGTCTCGGATTTCATTGATAGCTGCTTCGTTTTCCTGCAAAGCAACCTCCAATTTTGATCTGAGAGAAGCAACAATGGTATCTTTCTCTTTGACAAAGTCATCAAGCTCCTCTCGAAGCTCTTGCTCCTTTCTTTCGCTCTCGAGTTTAGCAGCTCGAGTCCTTTCAAGTTCGGCTCTCACTTCACTGTCTTCTTCTCTTGGATCTGATCTGGTTCTTTTCCTTTTTGACAACGCCTTCAGTTTGTCATCTAAGCTTTTATTGAGCACAGAAGCTTTTTTCAATTCATTTTGCAACCAAACAACGTCATTTGACAGGCCGGACAACTCTCCTTCCATCTCCTCCACTCCGTCCTTGGTATCCACCTCAAGTTCATTAGTTTTTGTCTCATCGTTACCTTGTTTGCCAGCATCTAAACTTTTATAAAGTTCCTCTTTTTCTTTATGCAATAACTCCAGAGCTTCCTTTAACTTTAATAGTTCTTCTTGAGCAGCTTTGAGCTGGATATCTTCGTATGACCTCTCCGCCCCTGGGGTTTCAATGGCAGCATCCCTCACCCCAACACCACTCTGATCTGTTGAGGATTCGCTTCTTCTAAGCTGGACTTGGAACTCGTGCGCAATTTGATCAGCGGCTGCTTTTTCATCTAATGCCTGTTGAAGATCTTCACGAAGGCCAGACACAATGTGATCAAAGTCGACTTTGAGCTTAGTCAGTTCTTCCAAAGACTGATTTGCTTCGTTAAGCTGGCCCGTAAGCAGCTCTATTTCCTCCCTGGCATTGGTGATGTCTCGCTGCAGAATTTCCACTTCAGCATCTTTTTTACTAAGAACTCGTTCATATTCGTCTTTACAGTGCTCAAGTTCCCGCACATACGTAAGCTTTTCTTGCTCGAGGGATTTCTCAAGAGTTAGTATATTGGTATCTCTCTCTCCGCAGAGGGTTTGATGACGATTTTTCAGCTCCTGTATCTCATCATCTCGTTGTGCTACGAGTTTCTCCAGTTTCTCCTTAAGGTTTTCCTGTCGCCTTTGCTCATCTAAAAGCTGCTGAACCTTTGCTTTTAAATCTCCAATGACAGCATCTTTGTGGCGCATGATTACGTCTATTTCTTCTCGTACTTCGTAAGCCGTTTTTTCTAAGTTCAGTTTCTCTTGGCGAACTTTTTCAATTTCTTCTCTAAGCTCATTTGAATCTGATTCGCTGAGCGATTCGGACTTCACCTTCTCCCTTTTCACGTACACTCGTAGTTTTGCTTTAAGTTTCTCATTCATGGCCTTTACTTTGGAAAGTTCCGCTTGGATATCCGAGAGCTGACTTGTAACTTCTTCAAGTTCTCCTTTGCTGGCAGAAGTCTGAACCGGATAGTGCTCTAACGGAATGGACTCTTGAATCTCTACACGAGTTGATTCCACTTCCTCTGGCGGTACGACATCTCCAACAGTGAGAACAGGTTCATCGAAGGAAGTGCCAACAGCTCCTAACAACGTGCTCGAGGCTTCAGCTGTAGTTGGAGCTTCGGTTATCGCGACTTTGGTAGTTTCGACTTCTCTTTGCAGCTGTTCGTTCACTTCTTTCAACTTCACAAGCTCGTCTCCAGCAGCTTTAAGCTGATGTTCGAGTTTCACCTTCATGTCTTCCACAGCCTCTAGCTCCTGTTCCAGTTTGGCAATATTCATGTCCTTATCTTTAAGATGTTCAACAGCCTCGCTAAGTTGTTGAACTTCGTCCAGAAGGAGTTGTTTCTCCTGCTGCTGATTAGCCTCTTCCTCTTTCAACATCGCCATTTCCTCTGCACGAGCTTTAGCCTCTGTTCTAAGTTGTTCGATGAGTTTCTCAGCCTCATCTCTTTGAGAATTGAGTGCATCCATACTCGAGGTGAAGTCTGCGTCTACAAAAAAATAAAAATGTAGTAAAAAAGTGAATCCACTTTATGAAAGCAGTAAAAAAGGAAAGGAAGTGACACACCTTGAAGCAACGATGATATTAAGTACTTTAGCTCAGAGGATTAGTATGCGCAATAAAATTATTTCGAGGGCGATTCAGCGTTAATAAGTACGGGTGAATTCTTCAAAGACAACAAAATTTCCTGAGTCGTAGGGCGAATGCAATTTTCAAGCACTTGTTTATACCAAATTGCACAAGAAATTATGCTACTACTTATTAATAAGTTACAAAAACTACGGGATTTGTTTTCGAACATTCAGCTTTAATTTACAGTATTGTAACAGAGATTCGAAAAACCGTAAGAATATGATATTCTCACTTTTAAAGCATTAAAAAAATATCTTAGTACGAATGGTGTCTTTTTTCAGTGATAATCTTACTCCATGAACTTAGAGCATCCATTATGTTTATTAAATACCATTAATAATTAAAGAATTGACGTTAATTTCATCACTAAACAATCGGCAAGTAGTTTACATTAGTATACAGATAGTTACGATTAGAAATCAAAGTACTTCCTACGGCTATTAACTAATCAAATATCATATTTATAAAAGGGCGAAGGCCAAGTCAGATAAGTAGGTTATTCACTGTGTTTGATGTGCAAGCTGAAACAAAAGACTGTCATAAGGTACATGTATGAGTGGCTCGCAAGTAGAGATAACGTACAACCAACTAGAATTAGGATTGTCAAAAAAGACATGTAAACTCGCAACTAAGCGAAAGGCAGGCAGAGGACAAACAAAAGTGCGCAGAAACAAAAATAAAGCAACTCACCTCGTAGAAAATTAAAGGATTTATTCTCTAGTAGGTTTTCAAGTTGAGTAAGCAAGATATCGAGCTCACTTCAAATTTTCACTACAATGAACGACGAACAATCTCATGGCAAAAAGCGTGGTGCACATTGGAAAGCGATGGTACACCAAGATCGCTTAGCAACGTCCGAATGAAATCAATACAAATCAAAGAAACGATATTTTACGTGACAAAGTCGCGATCAAGGTATAGCCTCAAAGCAAAGGGCAAAGTCGAATTTTAAGATAAAAATTATAGAATACTTGTCTCATAATCACACAACAGTCAAATATTTCAACACGTGGAAAGGAGTGGCACGAGATCAGAAAGAGGCAAACGCTATTGAAAATAACCACATAACGAAATAACCTTCCGTTGCACACTGCAATTTTGTTTAAAATTGAGGTTGAATAAAGGTTGAACAGACAAAATAGGGTCCACTACCGCCAGAAAAATTCATGGCTGGTAGTTTCACAAGGCTATCACGATCAACCAAATGAGGCTTCACCGACAAAAAAAAACCAAACTCCAGATTCACTGAATTAAAAATAAAATGAAGACTTTGAACTCATAATTTCTACAAAAGCGAAGGAAGAAATGAAAAACGATAGGTAAGAAGAGTAAAAAGGAAATGCTACCGCGAACTACTGTGTTGAAAAGAAGCCCGGCAAACAAAGTTCAGGCTTCTACGGGATTCGAACCAGTGCCTTCCAGATACTAGTTTGGCGCCACCATCAGCCACATACGAAGCCACACTTTGAGAGGGATGCAAAGTTTAGAGATTTCTTCCTTCCCGTGGGGGAATTTAATATTGGCCTTAAATTAGGAATAACAGATTGGGTAGTCAAAATCGAAATTCTTCATCACAGCTTACATGACGTATTGCTGGCACTTATCTAATGGGAACTAGGTTTCTGAATGAACCTTCCAAAGGTGATGAGCAGTTCATATCAGTGCATCAGCTCTCAGTGATAGTAAATTACATCAGGCACATGGGATCTTACGCTATGGCAAACTGAAATTCGTGTAAATCAATCTCACAACTTTTACCAACCTCGTTCATCAAGCTCTTTCTGAAGCTGCTCCTGCTTCTTTTCCATTTCGTTCTTCGTGTTTTCTGATTGCTTTTTGAGATTATTCATCTCATCCTCAGTGTTGTGCAATTCATTTTCCAGCGCTTCTCGTCTCTCCTCCAAGTTTCTACTATGCTCTTGGGCGGCCTCAAGCCTCTTGTTCACATCCTTAAGTGCTTTGGCGTGAGAAGACTAACGCAAAAGAAAGTTTCCTCACATAAGTAACAATAATGGGTCTGCGATGATCCTTTGCATTTATCTATACTCTCCATACACATACACTCATCACATAACTATTTGTACATGTTACTGCACTAGTATTCATTGTTACCATCAGTTTGAAAGCAAGTTTACATGTCAAAGAAAAAGGTCTCAAACAATCGTGCCAGCCCGACTGAGAGGTTTCAGCGCTGGACTGGTTATCTGGTTTTCTCGGATTGAAGCTTTCACCCTGCTAGCCACTGGATTTGTTCTCAGTTTATCCGTGTTCAGAGCCTTGGTTATGTACGGTACATAGCCTACGAGTCTGCCTTCTACCAGAGCGAATTTTGATCAATGTGTGCTCCCTGAAAATATGAGTTGCAAATAACGTGCATGGTGGTTGACATAGTGTCTGCGTTCAATTACCAACTCGTTTGGTTGATTTGTGTCACTCCAAGTAATTATGAAAGGTTTTTAAAAATATCATTACCTCTAGTTGCTGAATTTCGGCGTCCTTCTCTGTAATAGCATGCTGCCATTTAGTCATTTCTTCTTTCTTTGCTGTTCGTTCTTCCTTCAACCTTTTTTTAAGGTTGGCAATAAGTTTATTCCTGTCTGTAATTGACTTCTCAAATTCATCCTGACCTACACTGGCCTGAAGACGAGAATCTAATTCAATTTTTTCTTGATCACGCTTCTCTATCTCAAGTTTGAGATTCTGCAGCTCCAAGAGTGTTTCCTGCCAGTTCAGGTCTTTCTGTCCACTTTCATTCTCCATTTCAACGACTTTGTTTTTAAGCATCTCCACTTCCTCATCTTTAGTTTTGGAATTTTCTCTTTGCTGATCCAAGGCAGCCGAGAGTTGTTCTGTTGTTTGTGTCTGAAGTTCTAGTTGAGATTGAATTTCCTGCAAAGCTTCTTCCTTCTCTTTCTGGGCATTGGCTGACTTGAGCCTGAACTCAGCCGTTATTTTCTTGTTAAGGTCAATTTTCTCGCGTATTTTGTCTTTCAACTTGGCAATCACTTCATCCTTGTGACTTTTGACGTCTTCCAATTTCTTTGCAAGTTGCTCCTCAATTTGAGACTTTTCAAGTTCTTTTGCTTCAGAAATTTCCTCAACTCTCTTGCTGACAGTTTCTTCGAAGTTGATCTTCATCCGTGTAAGTTCCTCTTCAGCTTGACGCAGTTTGTCTTCGTTCTCATTCACGTTATCCCCTTGAAGTTCCTCTTTAACTTTGTTTGCATCGACTAAATCTTGCCTCAACCTGTGCAATTCATTTTCTTGTTCCTCAAACTCTTCCTTAAAGTTTTGCAGTTCTGCTGTTACCCACTCATGCTGCACCGTCAACTCATTCATGGCTGCCTTTGTATTATTAAGTTCCGCCTCGATAGCGCCCCTTACATCTGTGACCTCTTTCACCTCTGACACAATGTCCGTCAGTTCAGCCTCCAGGTTACATTTTTCCTTTTCGAGCTGTTCAATTTGATTGATCAGTTGTCTTTCTCGCGACAAGGCTTTTGCAACTTCATCGGATGGTGATCCCAGCAAGAATTCTCTTTCGGGCGCTGCATTCAGAAGACCTACATCCACTGGAGTTACTTGCTCCACCTGAGGTTCCCTGACGCTTCGCAACTCTTTGAGTTCCTTTTTACGATCAAGAAGCTCCTGCTTTGTGCTCCCTAGTTCTGTAGCATAGCGCTGTTGCTCAGCTGTTACTGCTTCCAACTTCTCATTTACGTCATGAATATCTGACTCTAACGAAGCCTTAACAGCCAACACTTCGCTTAGTTTACCGTTGGTCTCTTCCAACTCTGTCATTACAATATCCCTCTCTCTATAAAGAGCATTGAGAGAGGACTTCATTTCTTCAAGCGTAGTAACCAGCTCCTCAGCGCGTGATTTGGCTGTTTTAAGTTCTTCCAAATTCTCACTACGTTCCTTGTTTAATTCAATCAATGCTTTTTCTTGATCTTGACATAGCTTTTTCATCCCGCTCAATTCGTTAATAGTATCTTCCAACTCGTCATGTTCCCTTTCCATCAACACCTCTGTGTCTTCTTTTCCTTGACGCTCATTCTCGAGCATTGCTTTTGCCTCAGAAATATCTCGCTCGAGGTTAATTACACGTTCTTCTTTCAGGGCAAGTTCTCTGGAGGTGTTGTCTGAGGTAACCAGTAAGGAATTCAATTCCAGCTCAGCAGCACCCAATCTGTCCTTAACGTCGAACAACTCTGACTCCAAGGCTGTCTTTACGTGAGACACTTGGCTTAACTCTGAAGCAACGTCGCTAAGATCTTCCTGCAAGTGGGCAATTTTTAGCTCGGCTTGTTCTAGAGATTCTTTTAGTTTACTTTCCTGTACACACATATCATGCAGTCTACTGTTCGTATTTAACACAGCTTCTTCGCTTGATTGTAATCTTTCCCTTAGTTCATCGGCCTCCTGTTCTTTCAGAGGTAATGACTCCTGAAAATGTTTCAATTTTTCTTGCAGGTCCAAAAACTCTGTTTCCTTAGCAAATAATTCGTTTTTTAACGACTCTTCTTTCTGTGATGTAACAAGCTCTTCTTTAACAATTTTTTGCATTCCATTTAATTCAATCTGCAAGGCGTTTATCTGGTTATCTTTCACGTCTATGTCACTTCTGGCTCTTCCAACTTCAGCTTTGACAGAATCAAACTCTGACAACAAAGCATTATGACTCTCTGTCATCTCAGAGAGCTTTTGCTGCAAAGAATTCTTTTCAGCTGAAATATCTCCAAGCTTCTCTTCTAAGCTTTCTTTTTCCTCCTCAAAAGCATTCCATCGTTTTTGTAAAGCGTCTTCATTTCCCAGCAATTTAGCTTGATATTCTCCAACCGTTTTCTTGGTAAGAGACAGATCTTCAGATAATTCAAACAGTTCTCTGTCTTTGGCTGAGAGCTTCTCTTGTAATTCTTCGTTCTTTCTTAACTCCAAATGTTTTAGATCTTCTTGAGAAGATTTATTAATTTCCTCCACAACGGTTTTTAAATGATCTATGACCTCTCTAAGATCGCTGACTTCTTTCACTTTATAATCAAGTTGCTTCTTCATCTCATCCAAATTAGTCTTGAAGCTTTCATTTTCTGACTGAACTAAAGACATCTCTTCTCTACCATCATGAAGAGAGGTCTCCATCGATACCTTTTCTGATTCTACTTCATTTAGGCGAGAGACAAATTCTTCACGTTCAGTTATCAGCTGCTTCTTTTCCTGTTCTAGAGAATCTAATGCTTCTCGAAGCTCAGTAATATTTGATGCCAAGTTTTCATTTTCACTACTAGCCAACTGAAGAGCCTCTTCCACTTTCCCAATCTTAGTTTCCAATTCCTGTACCTCTGCGTTTTTAGCGTGAAGTTGATTCTTGTGTTCAATCAGCTGCGCTAAACAAGTTTCCATGGCTCCTTTTTCTTCCAAGAAAATCCCCTTCTCCTTCCTCAGCTCTTCCAATTCCTCTTTGTGACTATCGTTCTCAGCAGATACTGTTTCATAAGATTTCTTCAAAGCCTGCGCCTTCTTCTTCAAAGCAGTAAACTTGCTATCTCTGGCTGTCAGCTGACTCCTCAGATCCTCAAGTTGCGCATTCGTCTCGCTCAAGCTAGCGTCCAGGTTTTCAACACTTGTGTTCTTCTCCTGTAAAGTAGTCTGCAGCACAAAGAGCTCCTCTTCTTTACTAGCAAGACACTCGCGTAAATCATTCATTCCGGCATGCATCCCGTCATATTTAGCTCCAAATTCAATGCTCTGATTATCTAAACTTGATTTCAACGAGTTCACTTCATCCTCTTTTTCGGCAATTCTCTGCCGCAAATCATTTACCAAAGAATTCGTTTCAGTCCAACGGTCCTCTAGTTCCCCAATGCTGGCATTTTGGTCGACAAAACTAGTCTGCATCTGGCTAAGTTCTGCATCTTTAACCTTAAGTTCTTCCATCAACTGATTCACTTGAGACGAATTTTCAGCATCGTTCTTCTGTGACTGTTCTAAATAAGAAGCTTGCTTGTCTACCATAGTTTTCAATTCTTTCATTTCAGCCTCCTTACTCTCGAGCAAATCCCGTAATTCTCTTTCTTGAGCCACCAATTTATCAAAGTTCACATTCAATTGCTCAAGAGTGGACGCTTTTTCGTCTGAGCTTGACTGTAACACATCTACCTCTTTACTTTTAGCCTGAAGGGATTGCTGAAGTTCGATCACCTTCAAACTTGATTCCTCAACTGTTGTATTAAGCTGATTATAATTGGATTTCTGCTCTTCAAATTTGGCACCAAGGGTTTTAAACTCGTCATCCTTATGTTTAATAATTTCGTAAAGCTCTTTGATTTTTGAAGTAGCCTCGTCATAACTTCTGTTTAGCTCACTAAGACTTGATATATTCTCTTGGCGTTCAGCTCTCAGAGCCGCATTCTCGTTCTCTCTAAGTACGATTGTCTCCTCCAGTCCACCCATGTCATTTATGTATCGAGATTCAAGCTCGCTAAATCGCGCTTTTTCCTCTTCATAGCTGGCTCGAAGCGTCTTGATTTCATCTTCTTTAGCAGATAAAGAATTAGTGAATTCCTGTAACTGAGCGCTTTGTTCCGTCAAACGAGATGTCAGTTCATTAAAATTTGATCCTTGGTCTTCTATACTTGCTTTTAGAACATTCAGCTCTGTCTCCTTTGCTGCGAGTAGATCATGTAGCTCTTTCATCTGGGAGCTAGCATCAGTGAAACTTGAATTTAGTTCTTCATACTCCAAGCCTAGAGTTTCAAGATCTTTTTTAAGTGAACCTATATTCTCATCTTTTTTGGTTACTGCTTCTTCAAGATCCCTCACCTGGCTTTCTGCAATTTGTAAGCTATAACTCAGCTGTTGATTATTACTGTTCTGCTCTTCCAGTTCGCTTTCAAGTTTTGCTACACCTTTCTCTTTTGTAATCAAAAGTTCTTGTATTTGCTCAAGTCTTGTGTGTTTTTCACCCAAATTTTCCTGAAGTGATTTGACCTCTTGATTTTTTTCCCTCAAGTAACTTTGTAGCTGCTTTATCTGTCCGTCACATTCCGCGGAGCTTTGGTTCAATTGCTCATTTAGCAAATGTTGTGCTTCCGATGCAGTTTGCAGTGTTTTCAATTCCATATCCTTTGCAACGCAGTTCTCTTCAAGCTCTCTTACCTTCAAAGCTGATTCTTCGCATTTTGTGTTCAGTTCCGCGTATGCCATTTCTTGTTCTTTTAATTTGGAATTAAGATTGCCGATCTCGTTTTCTTTGACGTCGAGCATCTCTTTTATGTTTTTAAGTTGCGAAGTAGTGTTTGAAAGATCGTCAGTAAGCTTGTTAAAAGCAAGAATGCGCTCCTGTAGTGTTTGTTGCAGAACACCTAGTTCAGTATCCTTTACCTGAAGGCTTTCCTCAAGCCCTTTCACTTGGGAGCTGGTTTCCATAAAACTGGCACTTAAAACTTCAAAACTGCTGTCTTTCTCTTCAAATGTCGTTCTGAGCTGAGCAAGTTCATCTTCCTTTCTAGCAATAGTTTCTTGAAGAGTTTGGATTTCTCCAATCTGCCCGCCTTGCTTGGACTGCATTGACTCCAGTTCAGCCATTTGGTGGTCTTTGCTTTCTTGCAGCTTTGTTGCCTCCGCCTCCTTGTTCGCTAACAACCCTTGCAATTCGTTGAGCGTTGTACAGACATCTGTGTAACTTTCCCTAAGCTGATCCAGGCTCAGCTCTTGATCACCTAATTCCTTCTTCAGCCTGGCAAGCTCAGCATCTTTTATGGCCAGCTCTTCCTGAAGTTGCTGCACCTGAGAGCTTGTTTCACTAAAGCTTGCGTTCAGCAACTCAAAACCAGAGCTATTTTCCATCAATGCTACCTGAAGATTTTGAATGTCCTTATCTTTGTCTTCCAAAGCTTTCCTCTGATACTCTTGACCAGTTTGGAGTTGGAGCTCAAGCGATTTTATAGCGTCTTGCTTTTCCTGAATTTCCAGTTTGAGGTTTTCCATCTGTTGGGATTGTTTAGTGCACTGTTCCTGATGCTGTTCAAGTTGGCTTGCAAGTCCTAGAGGTAACAAACATTTTGTAAAGCTGACTCACAGGTTAATTATCTCTTGTTTATATAAACTTTAACGTCTGAATAAATTCAACAGGTTCAGCGAGGATAGGGCTCAACCACTGTAACCCAAGCTTAATTAAGAGAAGTTAGCTCTTGAGAGAAGTACGTTTACCTGTTGTTTTTTCCTTCTCCTTCGCTAAAAACTCTCTCAACGAATCGACTTCTGCTTGCAACTCGTTCTGGAAGATAAATAATTTCTTGTTAGATTGAACCGTTTGTGCAACATCAAAATTTCCAATGGCAATTTTGAATCTAGCTTTTCTAGGTACACTCTCCCCAAGACCACTGACTCGTGACTAGCAGGAGAGTGGCTTGTTGTAATTTTTCTCTTTCGAAGTTCAAGGAAGGATCTCATAAACTATTTTCTTAAAAGTTCTAAAATTCTGTAAATGCTTTTTTTCTATTCATTCTAAACAACTGATTATACAGTGGCATTACCAATTCTTCAGTGCATAGGTGCTATTAATTGTGCTACCTACCAGAACTACCAGTTGTCTACTTACTTTCCAAAGATATCATTATGATGTTACGTATTTATGTTATGAATAGAATGGATTTTACAAGTTAATATTTATTTTTAACTCTGTAATAACCTGAAGTATACACGCATTTCGATTGGATCTCGCTCTTGATCTATTGGAGGACAGAAACCCAAACGTCATCCTGTAGTTGACGTCACCATTAAAAAAAGAAATTTTCTTCTTTATTATATAAAACAAATAGATTTATTTCGTTTAGCCGTACTTCTGTTCAGTAATACATGTAAGTAACAGCGAACGTCAAAACGAGTTAAGAACATCAGTGAGACAATCGATTGTGACCACATTTTAATTAAAAAAAAAACCATCACAGCCGTGACATCCATTTTCTTTCTAGCTATTGTTTACTTTTTTAATAGCCAACATATTTTTTTTCGTTTTCAGATCACAGTATGTTGGACGATAATTGTTCCTGGTGGTATCTGTACTTAATGGTGGAAATCGTCCCACTTGTTACTTATTTCAAATTAATGATAACTTAATCGAGTCATCATATTGGAACGCCTTTCAAGTGACTCCAAATATTGGACCTATCACGGCAAGTTCGATTTCCATAATTCTGTTAGTTAGGTTCCAGTCCTTAGCAATCTTTAAGGGGAAGGAAGAACTTCCTTCATCACAACCATCACCATCACAATCGCAGTAGTATATCAATAGTAATGACTTTCTATATAATTCAATCATAACCTGGAGATTATGCGGAAACTAATCTAAAATGTAAGGGCTTGACAATTTCCACAGAATAAGACCGAGTTCTGCTAGTGGACGGCCTTACTCTTGTAAAAGTTTTCTGGCGATTAAGACGACTTTGCAGAAGTTAGCGAGTTTTTTCAACCGTCTTATTTGTCTCAAAAGTTTTTTTTTAAATAATGGGAAGGCTTATCAACCCATCTATGAAAAATTTGTGCGTGTACACAATTATTAAATTTTTAATTGAGCTCGAATCTTTATTTTGTTATCTAAATAATTAATTTAATCCGATATTTACTCTAGAAAAAGACGAATTTGTTCATCTCATCTGTAACATTCATGAGAAATACTTCTATTTGTTGGACTTTGCCACAAAAGTTTCTTCTAATAATGGGAAGACTTATCAATCCATCTGTGGAAAAGTTATTTGGGTACACAACTATTAAAGTTTTAATTGAGCACGAATCTGTCGTTTGTTATCTATTTAGTTAATTTACCCCGATATTTATTCTTAAAAAAGACGAGTTTGTTCACCTCATCCATAAGGTATACTTCTTTTTCTTGGAGCATTGTTTTAAACAGATGAAGATTCTGTTGTTGCTGAGCCACTTTAGACTCCAGGTACGATATGTGTTCATCTTTGTCAAACAGCTGAAAAGTGGGATGTCTGGAATCAGAATTTTCCAAGTTTTCTAGGTTTCTAACTACACGAAGAGGATTTCATTGAGAAAATGAAGAGCTGCTAATGTTTAATTATCATGGTGGTGCGTATTACTCGAACACGTTTGAAAAATGTTTCCTACTGGGTATTCGTGTTGTATAGAAAAGATACGGTACAGTGACATTGATACGATACATTGGAATTGTTTACATGGTGTTAATTATAAAATTAAAGATGATTTCTCAGCGTTGCAGCGTTTAGAGTTACATGGTTCCCATCATGCATCCCGTTTCACAATACTTTTCATCATTTCACTTATTCAGAAAAATATCTAGTTTTCTGATTAACGATCCTACAACAAGACAAGTTTATACGTTAAATCACGGTCAGTCCACATTCAAAGTTGCCAGCCTTCAAACTCCCACAAGTTATTAACTCGTAACACAAGAGCACAAAATTTATGAGAATTGATCAATTTATCAACGCTATCTAATAATACACTAAACTCTCTATAGCAACTTATGAGTAGATGTAAAGGAACCTAAGAGGGAGAATTACTAAATAAAATCACTAGTCTAGGAGGGTTTGCAACTAACACATTAGGTTTGCTCCTTTAAAATGACCCAAATAATAGTATTACTAGATGTATTTTGCCTAACTTTTACATGGGCATCAACACTTAAGAATGATGGCTGTTGACAAGTCATTATAACTGTTACGCATGGACAGTAAAGGTCTCTGAAAATATACATCGACAATGGACTTTCCTCTCTTCCTCCCCCTACTTTCTTAAAAAAATCTGCATCAATTTAAGGAATATCACTTACTCCGTTCAAACATATAATTATAATAAATGCCAAAAAACCTGTGTGAGTCAAAATAGGTAGCTGTTTTCTTTACTCTTTCATTCTCGGGATTTAATAAGGAAGTAATTTCCACAAACAACAACATTTTATTTCTTTAACAATGAACAGAAGGGCGATAAGAAAGAAAAGTAACAGCGAGGGATACCGTTTGATTTAACATAAAATTTTCAAAACTATAATCCTCAGAAATGTATGGCAGATATAATGGAGAATTGATATTGAGATCAGAGGAGCGTATAGGTTAAAGACTACACATAGAACCTGTTCATTGGCATGGCTGCAAATAAATTTTTTTTGTTAGCTCCAGAAATGTTTTCTTTCCCCGCACAAAACCTACCTTTTGCTCAATTGGAGCTTGCTTCAATTGTTCTGTCAGGTTCACTACTGCAGATTGCTCCCGTTCCAAGGTAGATCTGGAGAGCAGAAAGTATAGAAGTTGTATGAAATAATTATATCATTTGACTACAGGTTATGATCGTCCTGTACGAATTGCATTACGTGCACGTCTTCAAAATATATTATTTCTGCATCCCATATTCAAAATGTATTATTTTCCATATTTAAATCCAAAGTACATGCACCTAACCTTAGTCTGGTACACGATTTGTCATGATTTTACTGCTGCAGTATTGTTTTTTGCCTTGCAAGAAATGCTTGTTGATTGTTTGGTGGCAATCAATAGTACAGAAAGCACTTCTGGTCACCATCCCTGTTGCAACAATTCAAAAGTTGAAGAGTTCTTAGTTCTAGTCAAGGTTTTAGGAGGAAGAGTAAGGCCTGGTAGACACAAACTAATGTACGTCAATTCACATCACATTCACTTATACTCTGGTAACCAAAGAAGGGCAATGACTCAGAGTTGACCTCTGACAAGTCACCTACAGTGACACCCATGAAGAAACACATGTTTGGAGGAGGTTAAAGAAATCAAGACTGATAAGACCAGAGGAGGCATCAAGATTAGTTTGTAGGAGCTTGGGGTTAGTAAGTAAGTGGATAAAACCATCAGCTGAGCTTTTAACTACTGATAGGAGATTCTCATTTATCCTCTTTTTACTGTGAATGCTATGCAGACTGCAGTTGAACCTCTGAAAAGCCCAGCTTTGCAAATAGGTAATATCAACATTTATTACAGGAATTACACTCAGTACCTAAGTGTTTCATTTTCTTCCTGAAGAGCTTCAATGTGCATCATCAGAGACTCCTCTGCCATGTGCTTAGCAAGTTCAGCATCCTCATCTGAACTGATTTCCTCAGTCTTTTTCTGTTGGCGTTCTTTCTCTGCTTCCAGCATTTCCTCCAGTTCTTCCACTTTGCTTTGCAAGGAATCACGTTCCTTTAAAAAGAAAGGCAACAATATAGCATAAACATGATTTGATCAGAAGGGCTAGGTCCACTCCATGAACTTACTGGGAGGATAACAGATCTAAAGTCTGTTTAAAACTCATGGGTGAAGACAGGCTCTGTAAGAGCTCCTGACCATGTCCATGCATGCATGCATGCATGCATATACATGAACAAAATGTGCATCTCTTACAGCTGTAAAACAACAGATCACCATGTCTTCAGCCATGGTTTCATAACACACAAACCAATCTGACATAACACTCTAGTAACCACATCATTAGCAATGATAATAGCAACAATATACTGTAATCACCATACCTTGGTGATGAGGTCAAGTCTTCTTTCCATACAGTATCTTTCCTCTTCCAGTATTTTCATAACATTAATGGAACCTGACTCTTCTGTGTTTGAGCCAATGATAGTAGACACTGTACCACTACCCTCTAATTCTTCCTCAGGGACATCATCTTCCTCTAACAAATCAGAACAGTTTTAGTTTTCACACCAAAAAAATTTTCAATACTTCCTTGTTGTTCGGTTATTAGGGATTATATAAAGTGTGGATTCATGAAAACATGACACTACTGAGAGAGGGGGGTCTCTTAGATTTTTAAGACTTATCAGTTAATTCCTGTTGATTATTAAGAGGAGCAGTGTGTCTGTTTACATAAAATGTGATGAAACTTTGTTCCAGGAACACCTGAAATTCCAATCTAAAAATAGCCCAGGGTAGGTTTGATGGTAACATCCCTTGATTTAAGTATAACAATGTTTTTAATATTTAAAAAGAAATTTGGAAACATTTCAGAAATTATTACAATAGTAATAATTATCTCAGCATTCAAGATATCATAATAGGCATTACAACATTGTCATGCCATTTACTAAATTATTTACTACTAATCTGAAAAATACACATCTGGGATTGCAGAAGGACACATGCACATGCGAAAATAGAAGGTTTCAAAGTAAAAGTCAAAATTAATTATCAAACAGAAAAATACATTGCCCTTAAAAAGTAAAGACTTAGAAACTTTCTATAAGAATGGACTAAAAACTTTCCACTCCAATCTTGGATGTTTCTCTCTTTCACTTTGCATTAGTAATAATTACAATTATTCTATTGGTTTCCCCAATAGAAACTGTGTTTTACCTCATTGTAATAGGAAGACTCTAGAGTAATTTAAATGTCTTATCATTATTAATAGAATTAATATTGTTTTAGAACAACTGTAATGTTATTTTTGTTTAAAATGCTCACAACAGCAATTGTGCAGCTGTTGTTGCCAAACCTCCTTGTCACTGTGTAGTAATTTTAATTATGTCAGTCTGTAATTTAGATTTGAAATATGATAATAAAAAAAAAAACTGCCTGAAATTGGGCTAAGAAATGGTTCCTTGAGGAGGGCAAAGTGTGTGTTATAGTGAAGGTTTAAAAATTTCCTTACCAACATCTGGAGAAGATTTCTTCTCTAAAGCAGTCAGTTTTCCTTTCTTATCTGTTGTCCTGACAAACTCTTCCAGTGCTTGCTCCAACTCTACTCGTTTGGAATCAGCAGCCTCTCGCTCTTCTTCAATCTGTGTTATCTTCATCTGTATGGCTAACTTTTCTTCTCTCTCACGTAACAGATGCAGTTCAACCTTAAAGACACAGCAGTGTGAATGTTGTGATTAAAATGACCTCCAAATGAAAATTATTGATCACACCAAATGTGATACATGTATGTCTAATTTAATGCAATACTTAACCGAGGTGCATTGCATAGAAATCAAAGTGCTGTACAAGTATCTTGAATTGTTTTCATATTGACATTGTTTGCAAAAAACCTTTGAAGCAATAGTGAATAAGAGAAACCACAATATCAAATGTGCATCTCTACAAGTGCCTACAAAAACAGAGGAAATCAACGGGAGTTTCTTCATAGTAAAACTAAAGCTCTAAGAAGGCTGAATACTGTTGTTGACTGATCAAAATGCTGGGCTTGTGGGCTGGATATCCTGAGTTCAAGGTAAAGGTGAGTACCATTCATGCCTCTAATGGATCTGTCCCAAGCCAAGGGTTGCCCAGCTGTTTTGGTAGTTTACAAGAAAAGAATTTGTTTCATTTTTTGCTATCACTGCCCTTGAAAAACCATTCGGAGAGTGGACAATTAACTGCTTATTTATCTATTCATTCATTGCATATAATTATATTTTATATTTTCTCATCAGAGTATTATTAAACATTGTACATAAACAAATTCTACCTCTTGCTTATCCTTGGAAAGTTTTTCCTTTTCATTCTGAACACTTGTCAGCTTGGCTTTTGCTTGAAGCTTCAACTTGCCCATCCTTGTACTTAAATCATGCAATTCCTTCTCCTTAGCCTCAATCTTGGTCTTTGCTAAAGCAAGTTCTTCAGAAATGTTTCTGTTCTGTTCAAGAGCTGCCTGCAGCTTTGCATCAAGGACCTTTTCACTATCTCTAAAAGCTTCCATTTCATTTCTAAATTGTTGTTCCTTCTCTGCATCAAGAAGTAAAAGTCTTTCAGTGACATTTTCTTTGGACTCTAGACCAGCTAAACTTTCCTTTAAGGATGCAATTGTTTTCTCCAAGTCTTGATTTTCTTTAGCCTGTGATGCAAGCTTCAATGCTTTTTCACTTAACTCAGTTTCATGCTTCTCTTTAATGTCTTCAATCTCTTGATCCTTGGCATGAACTGCTTCTTGCAAAACTTTTACCTCCAATGTTTTATCATCAACTAACTTTTTAAGTGAATCAATGCTATTTTGTTGGTCAACTACATCCTTTTCCAGTTCATGAATCCTCTCAGATTTGCTGTTGATGGTCTCTTCGCGTTCTTTAACCTTTTCTTCTAGTAAAGCCACTATTTTATCAGTATGAGGGGGTGGCAAAGGCCCCTCACTACTCAAGTTTTTTTCTTGCATGGCTCTTTTAAGAACTTGAACAGCTTCATCTTTGGACTGTAAAAAAAGAAAACTAAACCAAATGAGAACATTTTTAGAGTTAGGACAACACCAACGGCAGTGTTCAAGATACTTGATGAGGTATTTTTTACTCAATTGACCTCAGATCCCATCTAATCACAAAGTTACATCATTCTGTAGAATAAAATCTCATATTCCATTTAAAAAACAACACAATTTCAAGTAAGGAAACATAAACCCAATCTTTACTTGTTCTAAACTTTTTCCCAGCTTGCTGTCATTCAGGTAAACTTTTTCCCACCTTGCTGTAGTACAGGTAAATATCTGAAATCTTTTATCACAGTGGTTTGTTCTAAACTACAGTGTACATTCCACAAAACATGTAGATAGAAACTCTTGAGAATTTGAAACATATGAGCTACATTACAACTGTAAATTTGTAAACTGTATGTAACCCCTTTTGTCCATGTGAATATGGTAGACAGTACGTTATTTGGAACAACTTAGGAATTCTTATTTCACCTCTATGATGCGTGTCTTCTCCTCCAGTTGTTCACGAAGGTCATGTTCAGTTGTCTTGTATACTTGCTCAGCTTCTTCAAACTCAGCTGCAAGAGCATTTTCCTTTTCTTGAACATGGTGCTGCAGATTAACAACAGCCTGCTTGTGCTCTTCTTCTATTTCTTGAATGTGTTGCAATAAAGCTGCCTTCTCTTGCTCTATCTGCAAATGTACAATAGAAAAATAAACTGTGATTGGAGAGCTAGTGCTGGTGTGTCAAGCATGCTTTACACTCCTGAGCAGCAAATTCCATGGTAGTACCAAAATGTAACAGCATACCGTGAGAGGTCATCAAGTTTATTAATCAACACCATAAAGCGGCATGTACAACAGATAATTATACTTTGGCATAACAACCAATTCAAAGCCTTGTTTTTATAGGCATATAAATACACCAACATAATTGCATAGTGTATGAATATTTCATTACTGCAGCTTACGTAGGTGTAGTTTGAAGATGCATCTGTCAGACCTGCCATTATACAATGAGGACAGACATTTTGTCTGTAAATTATCTACGCGTTTCTACAGTATATTTCTTTATAGCTGTGAAAAGTGAGCTAGTTTAAACAAAAAATTTTACTCACACCATACACAAACTTTATGTGCGCATTTAACAACCATCCAAGTGCTTTACACCCCAAATTACAAACATATGCACACTCTGTATAGGTACTTGTCTGAAGCAAGGCCTTTTCACATGCCACTAACACTTTCATGGGGATTCAATTAACTTATATACCATTATCTGAGTCAAGTATGTTACATTTTACCTTTTCTGCTGAAGCAATCAGTTCACTCTTCTCTTCCAATTCCTTCTTAAGCGCACGTACTTCATTCTTAGCTTTCTCAGTCTCATCCACAGATTGCTCAAGCTTACCACTCATTGCTTCAAGCTGCTCTCGTAATGTGGAAACAAGCTCATCAGCACCACTGTCCAGGTTCTTCATGGCTTTCAACTGATCAATAACCTGATCTCGGCTATCTAACAGCCGTTTCTGTGCATCAAGTCGGTCCATGAGTCCTTCAATTGTCTTGTTACGATCCTCTAACAGTTGTTTACATTCCTCAAGCTTTAGTTGGAAACCTTCAGCTGCTCTGATCTTGACAGCCAACTCACTCATTACTTTCTCTTCATTGTCTCGTCCCTGCTGTTCCAGTTGTCTGACCATGTTCTCACTTTCCTCCAATTGATTCTGTAAGGACAGTATGGTGTTGTCTTTTTTGGACAGCAAATCTTTGATTTGTTGGATGCTACCCATTTTGGTTGGATTCTCCTACAAAAAGGAAGGCTGGTAATCAATATTCTTGCAATAATACTCAATATACAGGTATTTTGTAGCACCCATGTGATACTCCACACTTGCAGGCAGTGGGTAACAAGTACTACTTTAAATAAATTAAATTAATGTCCCATCCTTGATTCTCTAGAAATCTGAGAACAGACAGTTGTTTCACATTTCTGAAGAATTTTCACAAAATTTTCTATTCCTGTTTTGGGTTTTTCAAGAGGAAAGTATTGAAGATTGACTCTGAATTGGTACTTCCACCTTGCCATAGACTGGTACTATACACTTTATATAATATTATTCAAGAAAAGAAGAAATATGCAAAGAGAAAGAAAAGCATAAAGCTTTTGGATAAAAGAATATGTAGAACAAAGTTTCTCATAATGACTCTACACATGATTTACAACAGACAATACACATTGCCCTGTATTAGTGCCTGTCCCTGAAAGTTTAGTTTCATCTTCAGAAGAGATCTCTGAGTAACAGTCAAACATATTTCAAGACAAAAGGGATAAATTTTTAAATAGACTGCGGTGCTGCATAGGTGCACAATATTTAAAAACAATTTGGTTTTGTCTGGTATAACTTAACAAAAATTTCCCCCTTCACCTGCAACATCAAGTGTGCTCAGCGGTACCAGGTGTTGTGGCTGACAGCCCTAACTGGCAGCCATGCTGGCACTTTTAACTGGCTAATTTACATCATTAGCTCATTTAATAAAATATATTTCAAGGTTGGGCATTTTAGGTGAAACCACACTTAACTAGTAGAAAGAAAGTAAAACTAAAGGAAATAAAAGCAAGCTTACTGGATCTTGTATCTCTGTGAAAAGTTCACCAGCATCTAAGGATGGTCCTGCTCTTACACTTTCTCTCAGTTGGACAAGTTCCTCCTGAATGAAATAATTAATGGTAAGTTAAGGAAACATTTTCATTGAACATATTAATTAGTGCATAAAATCTACTTATGCTTAGCAAGCAGTGATAAAGAGTACTATAATTAGAAAACCCAAGATTTGTTGCAAGACTGTCACTTGTTTAATTTGTTCATGACATGGCATTAGCCCAAATTCAATATCTGACCAAAGACACAGGATAAGCCTAAAATACTCTTTTTTTTTCTCACATTTACATGTATAGAAGCCAAATCAAAACATTGTCAAAATTTCAGCAAAGGATGCCTTCGCTAAATGAGGTGGCATTTAAAAGATGTTGCATGCAGGCATTTACTCTACTTTCAAGTTTCCAAGGTGACTCGCTGTTCTGTAACCACTTTAGTAATGTCTATGCATAGTTTTCTCCTTTTCAGACCATAATGCTTAAAATTTACTGTATGCAGTACCTCTTACTACTGCCAGAAATTGTTTTTCCTGACATGCTTAAAATAAGTGTGAACACTGAATGCATGGTTTATTCTATTACATCCTGTGTCTGATGCCCTTCATCTCTATTTAAGAGGTGGAGAGGACACAGAGGCAGACTCACACTGCAATGACTCTTTATTTCAGGGAGGGGGTAAGATGTAAATCAAAGAAAGATAAACTTGAATTAACTTATAAAGATCTCCTGAGAGTTAACACTTTTCAAGGATTTGACTGAATAAAAAAACCTCTGATGACAGTCTACTGTTATGATAAAAAACAGGTTGCTCAAAATTTAAAACAGTTACTAAATTTATTTTGGCAAACACCATGACAATCAAAAATGTTTATTAAGCAGGATTTAATGGTATGCTGCTGCACTACATATATAAGGATCATTTTGGTAAATTCACGACGTAAATCAATTGGAACAAAGATTTTGTCCATTCCAACAAAGCTCTATCGGATCGACAAATCTCACCATTTGCAAACCAGGCCCGTTTGGTCGAAGGTAGGATAACACTATCCAGTGGATAAATCTCTATCCGGTGTGTAACTCTACACGTTTTGCTATCACTTATCCGCAGGATAGCGATTTATCCAATGGATAGCGTTATCCGCCATTTTACAACTGAGCCTTGGAAACCAATAACTTGTGTAACTTCGCAAGTAATCATAACGATTTAGAAAATATATAGTTGAATATTGCAGGGACTGATGAAGCCCTTGCAACGATCTTAAGCCAGTTTAAACAAAATATCCAAATCTATACGAGATATATCCCAGGTTTGTCATAATTTCGCGCGAATTTGCAGGTAAACACTAAATGTAGCAGCACCTCCTTTAGTCGTAACAACTTCTGGAATTCACGATTTATCTCTTCGTTCCTCTTCTCCGATTCACCCAATGCTCTCCTAAGCTCTGAGATAACGTCTTCATCCTTTAATACGAAGAAATACAAGTTAATAAGTCCCATGTTCAGATAAATCAACCCTTATCATCGATCCGAGTCGAATGAATGAATAACCTTTCTATGATGAGCCGGCGAAGTTTCTGCTGATGCCTCCAGGTCCTCGGCTGGATCTTCGCCCAGAGACTCCTCCAGCTTCTCCTGCATGGCTTGTGCCATGGAGGAGATTCTCCCCCACATCTTGGATGTCCTAACCTGTTCCTAGGACGAACAGTTAATAGATTGTAGGGGATGGAAATTGTAGTTAACAGTTCTCATCAGCTGTACCTTGTTAATGACTCGTTCGACTCTTACACATACACGTCAGCCAAAGGCTTGGTCGCTAAGTTTTAACCCAGACTTCCTTAGGTCGCAGACTGCACGGCCCAAGAAGATTTCATTGCTCTCTCACTAAGTCGTTCCTCGCGACCTTAAGCCTGTCTTGAAAAAAGAAAAGCAATGAAAACATTTTCTCCGCAATGAGCTTCTAGTGTGATTGCGTGTAACTCTCACATGAATGTCTCTGGAAAGTTTCGTTTCATGCAAAGTAGGTGATACCTTTCCCAATTTCCCTGAGAGATCGCTACTATCTCCCAGTGGCAGAATCAAGCTTATTTGTTTTCGCTTGCAGATTACCCAATCTCACTTCGAACCATCCTGGCCGCATAACATGCAAGACAAATCCAATAGGGTTGCGAAGAGAAAAAGGAAATGACATTGGGCGCACATTCTCGCCTGGAATGAATGCTTCTCCTCTGCTAATAGATATTCTTCAAAGCGAAAGTTTCAAAATTAACCACAATCTCAAGAGCAAGGGATAATCAACGAATATGCTTCGTAACGAGTTTTTGTTGTACTGCAGTATATAGAGAAGTGTCAAGGGAGAGGCCCAAAATATTCTTTTGGGACGCTGTTCAGTTTTATGAAGGCGAACTGGTGAAGGCGGAAATGTTCATGAGGCTTTTTAAAGCCTTATGAACATTCCCATTTCCGCCTAAAAATCCTGAAGTCTCCTGCTTTACAGAAAATGTGTCTCCTTAGTAAATATTTAGATATTAAATTTCAGTAAAAAAATAGGACTCTTTGCTCTTGATTTCTGTGTGTGATGGTTGATTCGGGCGTCTCGATCTTTAACTATCACTTATGGAATCTTGTAAGATGTGCCCATTTTGAAGGATGATGAACATTTAAAAATTATGAACGAAGAGAAAGGGGAAAAGGTTTCGTTAAGTTAACACGAGAATACTTCACCACATTTATTTGGATAAACCAAGTCTTTAATATTTTTATTCCAAAACATCACTCGTTTGGGTCAGATAGCATTTACTTTAATAAAAACCGCCGCACCAAATGTGAGAATTGAGTCAAATTTGATCGCAATGGTTGAATGGAAAAAAGAACGTTTGTGTCTAAAAAAATGACAATTGTCTAATCGCCTAAAAAATCCTAACAGATTTGCATGTGATTTAAGTTAAGTCACATTGATGACACATTCTCCTCGTACTCCAGCCAGCTGGTCCGACTGGAAACTGACAACAACAGTTCGCTTGCGGCTTCGGGTGACGGTAAATGTGGCGATTGCTTTAGCTTCCTTCTTAGGTGCCACAGAATCTCTAACAAAGGAAAATAGCACGAATGAATAAACAAGCAAATAGCAAACAGGGGTAAAAGAAATAAACGTTATGGTGTAGCCAAATGTAAAGAAAAAGGAAATAGTTATAAATAGCACGAATGAATAAACAAGCAAATAGCAAACAGGGGTAAAAGAAAGAAACGTTATGGTGTAGCCAAATGTAAAGAAAAAGGAAATAGTTATAAGTGCGGCATACATGGTAGGGGTTTTACAAAATCAGTAATTATAAAAATACGTTTTCGGAATAGATATCGAAAAGGAATCATCACCAACAATCTTGGCTTTCAGTTCATAAGTAGTCAGCTTTGCAATTATGACATCATGAACACGGTTTTCTCGTAAAATGGCTTTGAATAAAAAGGTTTGATTTTTCAAATCTGTAAATCACCTTCTTCCCGAACAATTTTCCTTTTACTCGCCTCGAACTCTAAAGTACTGACGTTTGTATCCCACTGGCAATACACTTTGATGTCTCCTTCAAGTTCTTGTCAATACAAAAACCCTTCAAATTATGCGCCGATCAATTCGGAACTTCAACATCCCCATTTTCCTCTAGCAACCCACAGGCATATGAGCGGCGTCATCCATGCCCGGGGGAGGGGGGGGGAGGGAAATTTGAACCTTGTCTAGGTGGGGTGCATTTGAACTGGATGTGTCAAGTCTGTCCAGCGTAATGCACGTGTTTTAATTGCGAATTTAAAGGGTGAAGAGCCTATTTTCGGGAGTGAATGGCTTAGAAAGACAATTTTGTGCGTCGTAGAATGATGCTTACAAGCAAAAAACTCAACAACAGCACCAAAAGCTAAAATGTGATTTTGCTGATCACACAAGGAATCGTTCAATTTTGGATGGGGCATTTGAACATAATTTTGATCCGGCCCCGGGCGAGAGGGGCGAGAGGCAGGAATTTGAACGAGCCAATCTTGAAAGGTTCAAATGCCCGAGGGCATTACTCACATGTTAATACTCACATGTTAATGACCCTCGACCTTGGTGACAATCCAGCTCCTTCCAACTGAAAGTGTCCATTCTCCAAAGGGACTGGCAAAAGATTTTTGAAGGAAGCTGTCACTTCCACCTCATCCCACCTCTTCACAGAATTAGGAGATGCCTGCACATGGAGTAACACATATAAACAATGATTATCTGAGCTTAAAAACGTTGAGGACAGCGGTGTATGAAATCGGCGATTGGATTAAGATTTTTGTTAGCTCGATTGTGGAGAGGCACACTTTTCAGACTGAGGACATGAGCTATTCAAGATTAAATATGTCAGTGGTATAAGATTTAAAGGATGACTTTGGTACAATCCGTGCACTTTGAAAATTTCATCTAAATTTTCTTACTTGAAACATACAATCCGTTTCCATAGTATAGCCTCCCTTTGCCCATTTTAGATAGTCTCAATGGAGTGATGGCATTCACGACTAACAGTTACAATTTGTCAATTTTTACGACTAACGGTTAAATTTTCTCGCCGTATTACGGCTCAGACGGTTAATCCTATTTAGACCTACATTTTAGCTTATCATTCAATATCTTTTTTCATATATCTCACCTAAATAAAAACACTAGGTCATGTTCTTCAAATTCAAGTTACTCATATACGGTGCAAAAAAGTCACCCCTCGTGTTGTGATGTAAGATGGGGTGAACTTTTTTGTATGTTAACTTATTTCTTTTAAGATCTTTTTACCTGCTGTAAATTGATGACAAAAAATAAATTTATCCAAAATATTTTGTGATATTTTAATCAATATATCAGACATCGATGCTTCATAATAACAAACCCTAGAAGAGCATCCCAATTTGTTTTACTTCACTCACGTTTGTGAACAATTTTCATCAGTTGTTATTCATTTCAAAAGGAAACGCCGTAAGGAGTACTGTAATGGGTTCTAGGCCTTTATTGGATAATCTATCTAGTAGGTACAAGACTGGACCTGAATCAAGTTTGAACGATCAGTCTCATACCTTGACTGCTAGTTTGGGTTTCCTAAGCTCCACCACATCCTGTTTGCCAAAGGACTGGCCTGTTTCTTGCACTTTACCCTTGATATACAGTTTGACGTTGCCATCTGCCGCAATCTTACCCATGTAATCTCCACTTGCAATCTTCAGGATCACTACTTTCTCTAAAACAGAGAGACAAAGTTCATGTTTTATATGGCGTAAACAAGTAACTTAGACCTCGCTTAAAATTGCAATGTAGTCATCAACTGTACCTTTATTTGGGCCAATTTCAATTGCTTCCATTTTTCTTTTCAATGGTTTTGCTGGAATTCCGGTGTAGAACGCCATGACGGAAGTGATGTTCACTTTAACATTTCGCTGCTCGTAGGATTTGTTAAGCGCGACAACTTTGACGTCGAAGCTGTCACCGATAGCAATGTTATCCAGAACTTCAAGGCTGAATTCCACATCCTCTTTGTCAGCATTGTAAATTTCGTACTCTCTTCTAGTACTAAATTTATAGGCAAACTCGACAGCTTTTCTTTCTTGTTGAGAGCCTACCAAAATCAAGGAAGATCGTGGTGACAACGTGAATAAACTTCAATTTGAAATGCGCGACCAGAATTCCCACCCATTATCTTACCGAGCTCGTTAGATGGTCGTTTTCTTTTCTATTCAAAATGGGTGCTATTTTCCCATTTTCTCTAAAATGAATTTTTTTGATTGACACATACGGTTTCCAGTTCTTCTTGTTGTCATAATTTTACGACAAATTTAAAGCTACAAAGCTGCAATATACTCCTTAGGTGCTATTTCTGAGATTTCTGTTTGTCTTTTTCTTTGTTTGTTTGTTTTCTCTAACAAATGTAAAAAAGGTGTAAAGGATTACAGACTCATTTAAACGCAATTGACTTCCCTCTTTATAAAGGAAACTTATACTGTATAATAATGACACAAGCTGGCTTGTCTCTTGTGCCAGTGATTCGCCAACGAGAAACACCCCATTGGAAACTCCTCCCTATACAGCCCCGTGAATGTGTCGTAAAATCCAAACATAGTCATATGACTACAACACTAACCCTCAGGATGTTTGTAGCCTGAAGTGACGTCCAACCTGTGGCGGCCTTCACCAGGTTCCTTGGTGCTGATAAACTTGCCAATGCTGTGAGTATCCACATAACTAGCCTTCATCGAGCCGTCGTCGTCATCTACATCCCAGTACACGCGATCGCCATTCACCTCGGCAAAAACAAAGCCTGTGTCATAAGGGAGATACACCTCGCCGTTCTTAACTGCGTTTACGGAGGCTGGACCGCAACGGAAAACGCCTGTCACAGAGTGAGAAGGGAGAAATTAACTCCCATCGATCAATCTGGGAATTGCAGTAGTATAAATTAACCCAGAATGCCCAGAAAAAGTCTCGTTTAACGTGGGATTTTTCAGACTTTGCATCAACCTACTAGGGAGAAATCCCGTGAAAGCGGTTTAAGAAGAATAACAGGAAAAGGGTAAGAACATTTTTTTCGCCTTGTAGCCAAAGGGATTTACGTAGGCTTACCGTTTTTCTTTAACGCCGTGCTAAATTTTTTGTAGTATGGGCATAAGCAAAACATACAAGACCTCAAAGTAACTGCGCCCCTATAGCATGAGTTTTACGCGCGTGTTTAAAAAAGGGCTAAGTTTGGTGTCAGGAAGGCCTTCTCCTGAAGAGTATATTCACTATATCAGCTACACTTTCCTAGATAGGCGATTTTGTAATAAATTTATTCTTACATGAGAATTTCCTGCCAAAACTGCAAGTCCCCACGATGTGATCCTCTTGCAGGAAATAAGTTTGAATCAAACTCCAAAATTCGAATTCCCTCTTAAATGGGTCAGTGACAATTTACTGAAGGCAGCATCCATTCGAAGGCTTCATACTGAATACCTTACTGCAGATTATCAGAGAACAAGGAAGAAATTCTTAATAGCTAATCGTTTTTCAGGACGGTTCTCAAAGAACCTATACCTAAATTCACTGGCAAGTCCAGTGTAAATATTGACTCTAGCAATGAACATCTCTTCAAAGAAGCAATAAGGTATAAGTTAAGTTACAGAAGGGTTCCCATACCGATCGAGGCCTGGAATGATAACAAAAACCCTTAAATACCTTCACTTGTCTCTTGGGGTGTGGCATCGTGCGCCTGCCATCCATCGTGACCATCTGGTAAATCAGGTCGCTTGAACCATGATTCGTTCCACACATGGAAATTCCTAAAATAAGAAATTTTATACGATTTTTTCTCCTATTATAATTCATTACTTGTTTCAAGCTACAGCCAGACAGATTGACAACTCTTTCACGGATATTTAGCGAGAAAAATTCGTAGAACAATTGATTTGTAAGCAGGCGACCGTGGGTCGAAGGCATTGTGGTGCCCCAACAACGGACACAATGACGAACCAAGCCAGAGCTCGAACCCAGACCTCTCGATTTAAGCTTGTACTCATTAGTACTCAAAAGTACCGTGGAAGGCAAACATTTATCGTGAAAAAAACTAAATCCGCTTCCTGCCATGCACCTTTGTACAGAATTCAATACCAACTCATTACTGGGAAGCTTACATTGCGAGATAAGATCGTCTACTTTAGAGTCAAGATGTAAAAATTGCCCAATTTTTCCACCTACCAGATGGAATCATTGAGCTCATCCAACGGATTGCCTTCCTCATCATGATGAAAGTCGATAGTCATGCTACTGTCAGTGTCATGCGCGGATTCAAAGTTTGTGACACTACGGGTGGGTAATCCCAACGCTCGAAGCACTGAAAATGCAAGAATAAAACAAACTTGTGTTAAAGAGAGAAGCACCTACAAAATAAATAACATACTTAAGTAAAATTCCTCTCCAACTCGAATACAACCATTTAGGCTTGTGTGGCTCTTCAAAGTGTGTCTCGTAAAATTCAGCTAGAATTTTTAACTTCGTCATTTCAATCTACGTCAGTCTTCTCCATTCTCTACAATCTTTGGTCCCGGTCGTTTTTGATGTTGATGTTGCTATTGTTTTTCCTCTTTGTCCTTCCTCTTCTCTCTTTGGCAAACTAAATTAAACTGCAGATACCCATTTCTGCTTAAACGAGTTCCATTGATGAAAAGATTTTAAAAAGTTTTCTTAAAAAAGAAAAACAGGGTATGCACATTAGAAGTAATTTTCTTTGAAAAAAAAAAATGAACAAATTTCAACATTGAAAATTCCAGGGTCAGATATTTGATTCATTAGCAACACACAGACCTTCAGCGCGCCAAGATACAATATAACGCCCCATGACACCTCGACTCCCAGAAGTGATTGGCATGTAAATTCTCCCTATAATATCCATGTATTACTCGGCAAACAGGTAATGAGAATACTTAAAGTTCATTAACAGCTGGAAATTTTACCGTAGGCTAACACCAAATTCTCCTAACTAATTAACAAGGAAATGTTAAGCAGCTAGTGAGGAGAGTTTATCATTAGATCAGTCTTGGAAATTAAGGGAATAACCTGCGCAACTGGTTTAATAAGTCTAATAAGTGTACATCCTTTCATTCTATCGTCAAACTAACTTCTTTTCATAGAAAAAAACAAAACATCCAGAATCCTGCTCAACCTACATGTAGTGACCAGTCCCGAGAACACCCAGCATTGGCCATACTTTACATAAAACTTCTTTTTCATGAATTTTTCCAGAATGGCTGTACTTCCGGTCCAAGCGGTTGGTGGAGTGCAGTTCTTGGGGTAAGTCTCAGTCCATCGTCCGAATAAAATTCCACCATCACTGTCATTGTAGTTTGCCTTCAAAATAAACCACGACACCATCAGATTTCGACCTAATATTTATGCTTTTGACTTGGTTTTTAGAGCAAAAGGTGCGATAATTTAGGATAATTTTTTACTTTCCAAAACGGCAGCAAAATATTTATTCAGTATATAGACTTGTTTTACGTTGCCATCAAAGGTTAAGTCAGATTGGTTAAAAAAAATGCGAGGAAACATTAAATAATGACTTCACTTGCATTTAAAACACTCCAGGCATAAGGATACATTAAGAACAAAAAGGATGATCGAGCATAGAGAAGATATTCACGAGTTGCAAATGACCGTAAGCTGCAAAATTTTGACTGGAATAAAAAGATTAATGGACAAACTAACAAAGTTACTTGACCTTTTAACTCCTGACATCTCGATATTCTCCTTATTGTCTGCTGTACATTTATTATGATGTTAGTTTGAAGAATTAAGTATTGGATCAACTACTAATCTCCTTATTTATATTTTTCTTTATTGTCATCGCTTGTCTGCTTAACATTAAATCAATAGTGTGGGGATGAATCTTGTCTTGGTCCCTCATAGGAGTGAATAGTCTATAACATGCCTTCAACTCAATGATTTGAGCATCGTATGATGTATTTTAAATATTACTATGGAAATTATTGACCACACCTTCTGGAAAACCGACCAGGTAGCTCTGAAACCATTTAAGTATTTACAAAGTAACCGCCGTACTAGCTAGCCTCTTACGCAGACGTTTTTAGGCTCGTCACGTCACGCAATCATTCCTTACCACCATGGAATGATTGCGTGACGTGACGAGCCTAGTATTTGCGTAGGAGGCTACCGCTGTACTAACCATTGCGGAAATGATTCGTGAAATGTGGATTGGACTGGATCTTGCAGTTGCGGAAAGTCCCCCTTTGTTCAGCAACCATAATGCACATTCTAGTGAGATGTCTTCAAACTGGAAAAAGAAATATCGAGGCTTAGTCCTTTCTCAGAAACAAACTATTTACTTGTCATAAGGACAGCAGAGTACATGTAAATGAAAACACGAGTTAATAGCAATTAGGCAAAAAAAATCAATAACAAAAATAAAAATCACTTAAGAATAGTTGTAAACTAATCGAGCGGAGGGCTGACATAAATGTCTTTATTTATATTGGACTGTCATATTGTTAAGAATAAACAAATAAATAAAGAGATAAATAGATAAGCTGGTTAATCATTAACGATGTATCTATTCATGTAAAGACACACTTCTTTTGGGAAAAGAGGGGAAAAAAGAGGAAATAAAAAATTAAAGAGAGGAAAAAGAGAATTGAAGTAAATTGAATTTTTTTCACCTGACCGAACGTCCAAGGAAGTCCTTCGTTCCATTTTGCAGAACCCACCCAGATGTATCCAAAGTCATTTAACACATATTCCTCACGATCAGCTTCACTCTCCATGTACACGGAGTCCTCTGTCAAAAAAATGATGACAAGAAGATGGGATGGGAAACCACTAGCAGCAAATTCATAATTACAATTACTTATTGCACCGAAATAGCGGAGCAGAAATTAACCGTTATTTCAACAAAAGTGGGAGCAGCGAGCCAATTTTACTTACAGAGAAGATGAACAAACACGTGGACATTAGAGATAAAAATAAACTTAGAAGTGAGGCAAAAAGAAAACGAAAGAGGGAGCAAAAAGAAAGAGACAAAGAAAGAAGCAACGATAAAAATAAAAAAAGGAACAAAAAGACAAAAAAATAAACAAAGATTTCGGTACTTTTGTATTTCACTTTACATTCAGTATGCGTGTTATATTTACCTTTGCACCAGGCATTAAACAAGACGCAGACTTTGTCGTCATCCTTGTATCTAAACACTGATTTCTTGTCATCGGCCATTTTTGTCTCCACGAATACTTCATACTGACCAATAAGAGCCTTAGCAGAAGGCATAACAGTCAGATGAAGAGTTTTTCCACTTATCTGCTTTATTTTCATTCCCCACGTGACAGGGTTGAGGATCTCATGTATAGCGACTCGGACAATGGAGCCCTTGCTTTCTTGAGGACGACTACCTAAAGATGCCATTAATACAAGAAATCAGACCGAAAATGAGTAACGGTAAGGCTAACGGTTTACCCCATTGAGATCTTACGTTCAATTTAGGGTGGTTTTTTCCACGGTTTGTCTACCTCGTTCACTTTACAGTAAGAGTAAAATCCGCAATCCTTGGCAACTGATTTAAAAATGAAAATAAAAACACCATAATGTGCATGAAGTTCCTTTAATTACCAACCTATCACAAACTGCAGTACAACAATATCAGTGTCAGGTATGTATTCTCTGTTAAAGGTAACAGTGACGTCAAATATCTGTCCCCTTCTGATGATCAACTGTTCTGCCTCGTAGTCATCCGTTTTGTGGGCAAGTCTGTTGTCCGTTATGTGGAAATCCACTTCCTCTGGCTTCAACTGGGATGCTAAGAGACAATATTTTGTAAGCATCAATTTCTATACTGTTAAGAGGTATAGCCGCTATCTTGTCGGTGGTGAAAGGGTGTCTGTTTCAAGACGACTTAACTCTAAGCATGCATAATAGGGCGAAGAACGGCGAACTGTGCCACGCGAAAAAAATGAAAAACAAGAGCAGAATTTTTTACAATTTTTTGTAGGTTATGAGGAATAACAGTCATCTGCTAACATCTATAAGTTGTTACCTATCCTGGATTACCTAGGTGCAGCTAGACTTCGTTGAGCAGCCTCGCTCCCAGATCTCTGCGCGGTGCGTTAACATCGATTTTTTTTCTCGCGTGACGGAATTCTCTAAAATGGAGGGACTGCTCGTAGCCTTGGGTTCAAAAACTCGCATAGGAAATGTTTAAACTGCTGGTTTTTTATTTTTACCTTCAAGTTTTTTTTATTACGTTACCTTGCAGCTGTTGATTTCCTTCTGCACTGTTAAACGAAAACCGATATCAACAGCTGATAATACTATTACGACTTAAGCAGCCTCCGTTACAAATTAGATCCGAAAAACAAGAAGAAGCTCTGTCAATCAATTGTTAACCCGACTACATAAAGCACGTCAGTCAGTTATTAGTCCTCATACTGTCAAGGTTTCGGTTTGTATGTAAAAAATTTCAAAAATGTTCGGCATACATCAGCAGAATTCTAATTCTAAAGATTGCCGTGCAAACCATTTTTTGCCTACCTGGTGGCTTCTTCTTGTCGACCCTTAAAGCTTTGTTCAAAGCCTTGAACTTTTCGTCACTTGTCAGCTTTGTCCTTCCCTCCAAACCCTCACCCATTTTGGCCTTAGCGTGGCTTCTCGAGTCCCTACAAATTAAAATGCGCTCTATAGTAAATGTGTGGAGTAAATCCAGGGGTAATTCATTTTGATTTAAGTTAGTGCAGGGAATACTTCTAATATCAAGGGGGGTTAGTTTGTAAAGAAACTGTTTGTGGTGCTGCGTTCGTAGCCGGATAGGGTGTGGAGTGGGGTATTTAAAAGATAATTTGGCATTATCATCGTAGTTGACACTGAATTGGCCACCATGAGGAGATTCTAAAGAGAGTATACGGAACACTCGAAACGCCAGCTTTAGAATATCTTTATGGTGGCCTATTCACATCATCAACCCAGTTGATAAACCAAATTACCTTGCATTTTGATCAGTCTTTTGCTACTTCTTAAAGAGCGTACTTGTTCATCCGCAATTGCTTCTGTCCACAGTGAAAGTATAGTATTAGTGCTGATGACGCGTATTTAAATTCGTGGAAAAAATAATTCAAAATAACATTGATCAGCATCAAAGCAAGGCAAAGGGATATAAATGTTCCTATTCTGTGAAGCAGTACTACTGTGTAGTTTTTTTGTCGTCTATATTTTATTCGCTGTATTGAGAGCCATTTTTGTTTATGCCTTGCTTGCGTTTATAGATTAAAGAACAAACAAACAATTGATCGAACAAAATTAATCTGACAAAAGTCAAGGACATTAAAACTAGAGGATGTAACTTACGGCAAGTCTTGTACAAGTTCTTGGTCATTTTTTCGTCGCTTGGGTCTGTGAAAGGAGGGAAAATGAGATCGCTCAGTACAAAACGCAGACTGCAGATTAGAGACTGCGAACTGAGAACAAGATGCAGTCTAGGTACAAAATGCGGACTGCATATTGAGTACAAAATGCAGACTGAGAACTTTAACTGTAAGTGGTAACATGTTATCTGACAACTTACTAAGTGTCACGCAATCGCTTTCCGCGATCATCTTTCACGATCATTTGCACTTTTGTGGAATTTTGTAACACACTGAGTTTTACATATTAATATTTGCCTAGACCAAACAGATGAGAGATTAAACCAAAACTGTGCCATTTTTGCCAGTCAATCAGTGCAATCAATCACAAAACCATTCGCTGTGCTGGAGAATTGATTGCAGTGGAGAAAAAATCCCAAAGGACGCATTTAGAATTTAGATCTTTAACGCTTTGTAAATGATATTTGTTAACATATTTATAGTATGTTGATTACGTGTTGTGAGTACCCAAGTTCCGCAGAATCAACATGTGCCAACGTTTAGACAGCCTACACTATCGATGCAGTGGCGGCATATACAGACAGACCAAATTTCGTGTGACTCGATTCGAGATTTTTCTTTTTCCGTGAACACCACGGGAATGCTGACGCTCGTCACGCTAGCTAATTCCAGATTGATGCTCTAATAACCGTTTATTAGTTAATCCAAGGACAGAAGATTAAAAATTTTTGACTCCTTAAAACATGATAAATTAAAAAACTTCCCTTTAACTTTACCAAAAGGTTTCCCGCAAAATCCATTGACTTGCATGACTCGGTGTTAGTTCTGAAGCAATGCTGACAAACACTGTCCCGCGTGGGCGAGACAAAAATACAAAAAAACAACCGTATTCAAATCGCTTTTGTTCCACGGGTCAATATTTGGTTAAAATCTTTGTTTACTGCAGTATTCGAGTTCTTTCTTTAATTTCTTCTCTTATGCGCGCGCATTTTTCTTATCCAAAGCTCTCTATTAAAATTGATTGATGCTGTAAATATGCAAAGAAGGATAATTGCAAGCGACCGAAGCGCCTCTATTTCTCTATTATTTGTCTACAGGTTCAATAGACAAGGCTTATCGTCTGTCTGGTCGAACGAAGGAAGCCATGCTGTTGCAGCGAAGTCACCTTAAAATAGCGCGCCGAAAAATCGCACGCAAGATTTCCAACTGTCAATAGACGGAAACCTGTGAAAGAATGTGCTAATTCGCCTGCGAGTCAACATAGCAAACAAGATATGATGACTCACCAGCGAGTCAACAAGAGCAATCAAGCGGGTATGGGGAAACGAAAGGAAATTTCGAGAGCGTGAAAAAATCTCTCCACACGTCTTCGCACGATAAACACCAAGCAATGTTTACCGCACATGAGAGAAGTCAGAAGAAAAAATATGAACTTTTGTGATTACATCAGAAGGAAAATAACATAAAAAAGTCCATCTTGAGGAGTCTCTTCTTTTGCATTATAATGCAATTGCTCTGTTTACTTACTCCGGAGTTGTTGCTGGAGATCGTGCGCGACGGGACGTCGATCCCGATGTTGAAGTTGTTCCGTGTGCTGCAGTTGTTCTGCGAGTTCTCGGCATTTTACCGATGGCTAGTAGAACTGGTTGATGATAAGAACGGTAACTTGAAGCCGTTTGCGTTGTGTGAGCCGAAGGCGCGGCTGGTATTAACTTGTTGTGTCTGAAATCTAAAATTATAATGTGACCCGTAAAGTGATTGGCTGACATTACACGCGCGATATCCACGTGTACTCAAAGAGCATCGCATTTGTAATTATGATGATTTAAGAAAACACGTAACCCCTCCTCTCTCGGGGTTGAAATTCATTAATCAGCGGTTAAAAACTTTTCAGCACTTTGTACTTCAGCAATGCATTATCTCAACGCACTTCATTGCTTATTCTCCGCATTTTAATTCTTGTCGGAGTAAAGTTTCCTTATTGTTTCTAGCGAAGACGAAGGCATAATGACTCAACTTTTTTTTTAACTTTATAGACTTTGCATTTTCAAACGTTAAGAATTCTGCAATATTAGGCAGTTGTAGCTCGTTTATAATTCACGCATGGGCGATTCTTTGTTTGACAGATCGAGAGTCCTAAACCATGAGTAAATTTACTTCAAGGATTTACAAATAAGGTTTTTTATTTGTTTAATTATCCTCCTTAGTTTCTCTCTTTTTTTTTTAACATCCTTTATCATAGAATCACACTTCCAGGGCATCACCTTCTATTCATTCTAATTTTTATCCAAGGAGCCTAATTAAAATTAATTTTCGATAAGATTTAACTCTTGCACAGCGTTTCATTTCAGAAACTACCTGTGTTCCTCCTTTGTCACTGTCTTAGCACGGTTTTTCTTTACTTATTTATGACACAAGATTCGACAAAATTTAAGATGCAATTTTTATTGCAAAGTTACGCGAGATTAAATGAAAGAAATACAGGCTTGTATGTTCGGGCGTGCCTAAAAGAGTTGTTTATGCATCTTTTCACTTTGTGAAATCAACCGCGATATTTGCTCGTAACCCTCATTAGAAAATTATAGCTGTAGTTATGGATATACCGTACAAGGAATTTATTCTTCTGAAAGGTTTACTCTCCCAGGACCATAATTATAATAATCGGAAAGTGAAATGCGTAAAGGAAACAGCGTTTGACAAAAATTACATAATACCGAGCTCAACTGATTAATCGTCAGATCTTGATACTGATATCTGAATATATTTGATGTGTTGCCCGTAGTTATTAAACTTTAGGATGCTGATTTGCGTCTCCAAATCTGTCAGTCACGCACAGATTTACTAGGAAATTTGATTAGTAATGGAGACTGAGATGTGTTGGCTTAACGCACACAAAATCGTTAGGTGCGTCAAAACTGCTGGTTGCTTAAGCCACCTAGAACGAGATATTCATCGAATGAAAATATATGAATTAAACTTTTAGCAAACCTTCTTTTTTCAGGCTTCCATCAGATTAAATTAAACTCTTTCATTTACTTCAGTCACCGGCCTTCCGTATCAAAGCTGTTCAATCTTAGCTTGTTACGCCTTACTGGTTGCAAAGCCTAACCAGCCAACAGGTTAGAACCTTTTGGGTACGGCAGTGTGAAAATTGAAAAGATCGACAGGTAATAATCAATGAACAAAAGCAAGTACACTTTAGCTAAAAAGTTAGCTTTAATTTGTCGAAGGAAAAGTCCTTTTTCTCAGTAATGTATTTCTCTTTTCTCGCTTAAATCAGAGACAAATCACTATTTATCGCCTGGGGGGGAAGGGAGGTCGGGGAGGATTTAGTTGCCCAAGATAATATAAACATGGTATTCAGGGGGGACGTGGCTAAAAGAGTATCAAGGAAGGATTAAAGAGATTGAGTGTACCTTATATCACAGTGTCCCCCTCTCCCTCCACCCCTCTTCTCTCCTTTAGGAGCCTAGACCGAATTGTTCAAAGCTGGGTTAAGACAACCCAGGGTAAGTGTGAAATCTGATTTCAGATTTGAAAGCTTTAATATGAAACTCATTGCCATTAATTTTGTCTACAATTTGATGATTGGATGCTCAAAAGGGACAAATAAAATCAACCGAAAAAGGCTTTTGGACAAAAGGGTTAAAGAAATCCTGTTTGGCTCGGTCGACCTGAGCCCTATTAGGAACCGTTGACGTCACGGAATTGTTCGCCTATCGCTTCCCAGGTTTCACGCGGAGAACAAAACCAGAGAGTTCAGGGACTAGTCTCTAGGAGAAATTTTTTGAGGCCAACTTCAGAGCTCTTATATTTGGTTTTGAGGTTCCTCAGTGCCAGCCCCTTGCGCTCGTAATTTTTTTTACATGGTTCTTATTTCTTCAAGAAAAATTTTTAATGAAAATAAGACCGCTTTATTTTCTTTAAAGCTTGCGTTTGATTTCCTTTTGTTGAAAAATTGAAGAAAAAGAAAAAGTACTCGTGCTGAGGGCGAAAACGAATTTGACGATTGCCACCATTGATTTTGCAAAATGTCAGATTAGATTATACGCAATGGTTTCCATCTAAACTGTTTTTGTTTTTGTTTTTTTTATCATTGTATAGCTCCAAATTTTGCGTAATTCCTTTCGTACTTTTGAGGTTTGTCAGCTCTGGCTTCTTATTAACGTCTTAACTACCTTACATTCGAAAAGAAATGTTTTTCATCGCAAATTTGGATCGTATATTCTAAGATCAAAGGACGCATAAATTGTTTTGGTGGCTATGTTTGTTTTCGTTTTAGTTCAGTTGGCCCCCGACACGGTTGATTTAACCATCTGCCACTTTCTTCTCGCCTCTCTGTCGTCTGGCGAGAAATTATGTATTCGAGAGTATTCAACTTTTTACGATTTTATTGTTGTTGGTAGTACAGTTGAACAAATACACCCTGATATAAAGCCAGAGCCTGAGTTAATAGCCCGACTCCTTCAAAATAACCAAAAGCCGGGATTAAAAAGAATCATGAGATAATGCAAAGTCATGATGTTTTCTTGCTTTGTTTTCAGCGAGCGACTACAGCGAGCGGTAGAAAAATAAAAGTTTTAATGATATTCCATGACATTAAAATTGATAGGGATGTCTTTACAATCTTTTAATGAAAGTAGGCTACGCGCAAACAGACTCTAAGCAATTTGCAAAATTTCAAAATAAATGTTTGAAATTTCCTGTATGACTAATTTCACAACAGTGTCAAATGAAAATGATTAATCCATCACCATACGTAGAAAATTGGAAATAAACCCAAGTTGTTTGCATTTCGGATTGTTAAATTCCGAAATAAGTATTGACAGATGAAATGATAATCTCAATTTCAGTCAGTTCTGTGATTAAAAACGTGTATCTCAACTATCATCGGTTCCTGGTTCATTATTGATTTTACTGGGATATCAAAATTTTATTTGCCAAATTTTCCATTTTTCCTCAGGTTCAAAAAAAATATTGGATACTTAATTTCAGCTGTCATCCCTTTATTTTGAAAACCAATGATGCGGAGGGAAAAATCCAATTAAAGAGCTGAAATAAACGTAACTTTCATTTTTCAGTAGAATTTCTCCATGTAGATAGATTTTGTTTTTTATTTTATATAGTAACCGGTATGTTAGACAAGTACTAGTCTACGATTGAAATTTAAAATCTTTACTTTCTTCGCAACTAAGAAATTTTATGTAAATTTACTGACAAGCTAGTATTATTTTGTTTTAATTTTTTTAACGTTAATAAATAAGTTGCCAATTTATTTTGTTCAGCACTGATTGAAAATAATCCGTTTACAATTTTTCAATTATTTCTTCTCTGAAGAACTCGAAGATCGGCCAGCTGTTTAGTCAGTTGCTAAGCAACACGTTGCGAAAGTGAGGCAGAGATGGAGTGCATAGTCGCGAGGCATGATGGGTATTGCGAAGCTTGGAATGAAAATGGCGGCTAATGATGTTGTCGCGAATCATGAAAACGAAACTAGAGATAAAAGGAGCAGCGATGGTTCCGTCAAAGTTATTTGCTTAGGAGACAGTGCTGTAGGGAAGTCAAAGTAAGGCAGACTGTGTGATATCTTATGTCTCGTAAACCTGTTCTTGCTGTTTTGTGGGAAAACGGTAGCGTCCAACAAACCGGCTAATTTTTGTGACATTATTTCCTTTTCAGATTGGTTGAGAGATTTCTTATGGATGGATAGTATCCTTAATGCTTTTTGTTAGCTAAGTGTCTAGATTTTTACCGTGCCCTAACAATTCCGCCAAAGTAGTTTTGATTTAGTCTAATAATATTGATCAAGGGGAGCAATAGGTTCTCAGTTTTTGGTTATTTATACGGAAGCTGGTTTCTCGCTAAGTTTTTTTTTCATTTATTAAGTGACTTTCGTTACCCGGTAATATTTTAAAATTAAAATTTTCTAACCTCATTTGTTAAACAATGATGTTTTCTTTTTTCTCAGTTTTGACGCCACCTCTCGCAGTAAATTACGGTTTTGTACGTCAATAGAGCGAAATTTTATTCGGAGAACCGTTTTAGAAATCTCCTTATTCTCAAGAGGCCTTTAGCGTCACTCAATGACCGAAAAGATATATTGCCTCGGACATGTTCTTTTGTTATATTGTACGCGAAGCTCATCAAGTATTGCTACTGAATGCTAGGAAAACTAAATAATATCAAAGAACAAATGTACAGTACCCTACGTATACATGAACCTAGGAATTGCCATTTTCGATATAGATCGCAAAACCATCTTGAAATTAATGTCAAAGTACAATTTACCTCAATATTCAATCACACATTGTCACATCATCTCATGATCACATCACTGAGCATTTCAGGTCAGGTATTTCCCAAATCGAATACAGGTGCTTTTGATTGTTTTGCTTTCTAATAAAAGAAGCTGTTACGAACATGTAAAGTAATCCTACAATAAGCTATGTTTGATCATCCAGTTTCATTAACTGGAAATGTTTTAAATTCAAATATCAGTCTCTGGAAAGAAAAATTCACATGGCCTCCAGATTTCCATAGTCAGCCCTTTGTATTTTTTTTATTTAATACTCTCCATATTACTGGTGTTTATTATCAGTCTGTCAATGAAACTAGTGTCCTTAATTATAACAACAGTAAACCACAGCAGCTTTCTACATATGCTCTGACCCTTTTTCAGTACAAGACAAGGGTTGATGGAACTGATGTTCGAGTTGGTAAGTCCAATTTAACCTGCAGTTTGCCCATCTGTGTGAAATTCGTTGATTGTCTTCTGCTAATACAGTCAAACCTGTATTAGGCAGCTCCCTATTAAACAGTCACCCTGTATTAAATGGTCAGTTGTCAAAGTCCTGAATGTGTTTCCCCTCAATCACTGTAATTTTCACCAATCTGGCTCCAGTGGTCTCCTCTATCGAGTGGTCATAAGTACCCTTTACAACAAGTTCTAAGGGCCTGTTTTTACTGTCCTCTGCCTGTATATTGAATGACTACTAAAAGTGGAACCACTCAATTAAGACTAAGAATAAGCTTTCCAATTATTTTTTAATCCTTGTGTCTCTCCCAGAATTAATATAGGTAGTATTCTTGATCAAGATTCTGTACATTAAGTGGTCAGTTATGGCATTAAGGGGCATTGTTCATTGTTTTTATAATAACCCTAATCTTTGGAACCTGTATTAAACAATCACTCTGCTATTCACCATGGGTGACTGCTTACAGGTTTGACTGTATATGTGTTTGTCCTTAAATTTGGAAATTTAAATTAAATCGCATTTCACATTTCCTGGTAGTTTATGTTATTTATTTTATTTCATGATTTTATTGCATTTATTTTGTCAATGATTTATTAAATCTAAATGAGAACAACACAGAAGTGAAATGTTGGAGTTTTTTGTTGCCAATACAATATGCTTACTTGATATAAATGAGTTTAGGAACAAGTGACATATTTGGAAATCAGCTAAGACTGAAGAGGCCAAGACAATGTGAAAAAAGTTTTATCAGGGCTTTTCTCATGAGAGAATCACCAGGTTCTTGTGGGCTCATATCTCAGAATCTAGTTGCTTAAAGACAAAAATTAGTCCATCTAACTTTGTTAGAGCACATACCTGTTCCTGAGGACAGAAAGGTACTCTGAAATATTGATTTTTATGAGTCTTGGAGAATGAAATTATCAAAACTAATTGACTTTATGTTTTCTTACTTGTCTTGCAACTCCTATCTTTCATCATCAAGGATTATGATTAAAACAATAGATGTACATGTACGCAATAAAAAGTAGCATAGCCAGATAACCCAATTCTATTTCATTGTGGCAGTTCTAACTATACAATTAAAGGAAGTACCCGGAAGTAATAATCATGTAGTTATCACTTTATACAACATGTAAGCCTTAAGTTCAGTGACAATACATTTATGTAACTCAAGACTTTGGATGTTGTGATTCTGATACAATGTGATTGTGTAATTTCATACAATTGACCTCAATTTGCACACACATTCTTGATCAGAAAGAAATTCATAAATCTTAATAAAGGCATAATCTGAAAAAGACTAAACATTAAAATTATGAGTATGAAGTTTTAAGCATTCAGTTCACAGGCTTTGAAATTCTTGTAGATTTGCAGTAATGATGGAAAAGACACTACAGTAAATAGATTAATCAATATCAAATCTACACCAGGCAAATTGTATGATTTGTCTCTCAAAACAACATATTTTTGCCATAGGATGTGTCAAAAATCCTGTTTAACATTGTCTATCAGAAAGTCTGATTGTTTGCGGATCAAGACAACATTTATTTTACACGTTTGCAAATTAGGTGAATGGAAAAGAATGCCATTCATTTAAATTGATGAATGTTACAATTATTTTTCTGTATGCTATTTAAAGTTATCATAAAGGACTGGATGAAAAAGATTACCTTAAATTGGTAGCTCAGGCAAAAACTGCCATTGTTATTTATTGTAACTGCTATGCTGACTATCGGAGCAACTGTCTTTTCTTCTATTTTGTGTGAATGGTTTAAAGATTACTTATGGTTGTCGGAAAACATCTTTGTCATTAGGAGATTTGTTGGGATACTACCTTAAAAGTTGTGGCATGGGTAACATTCTCATTGAGGTTTGGAAATTATATGAATAGGTGAAAAGCATTTGACTGAGGTTTTACAATCATGAATACCACTTCACTTGAACTTGCAGTATACTGTGTAGTAATGCATATATATTATTTTTTCCAGATTTCTGGGATACAGCAGGACAAGAGAGATTCAGCAGTATGCACCCATCATATTATCATCAAGCACATTCTTGTCTACTAGTAAGTACTGTCAGTAAAGAATGATTTTTTAAGAACCAAACTCTGTTCTATAATAAGCCCTCCATCTTGAGCCCCCCAATGATTAACCTTTTAACCCCCTTTGAGTGACTAGAGTCAAAATTCTCCTTACAATATCACTCCGGATTAACATTATGGTAACAAGAACAATGATCACCAACCAAAGAAACTTCTAATTGTTTAATAAATTCTTCTTGTCAGCACCCTAGGAAATGTATGTAGAACTGTATGGAGAATATGCATGTTGATGTTAGGGTGTAAAGGCTTAACAAGCTCTTTAGGGACCTAAATTTATAATTGAAGAGTGTTAACCATATATCATGATTGATGTATATCAGGAGTAATTTTGCACCTTGTATGTGTTCAAATTGCTCTTGTTTAAACTTCAGTTAAGATCTCTTTTTATTTTGACAGGTATTTGATATTACAAGAAAAGTGACTTACAAAAATCTTGCAAAATGGTACAAAGAACTTAGGGAATACAGAGAGAACATTCCTTGTATAGTTATAGCAAACAAAATAGATGGTATCCTTTTTGTTTTCTTTCTGTGGAATAACTTTTAGTCCTTGTTCTTGAGACTTCAAAGTTATGAATAGCTTCCATCATGCAACAACTCTAAAAATGAACTGGAATTAAAGACTATGTATTGTAACTTACAGACAGTGTTTTTGATTCTGATGAACTAGGTTACCTTTCCATTTCACATAACTTTGCTGGTCTCAAATCCAGAATTGTTTTGAACATTTTATATCAATGTTACAAAGTATTAGCTCTAGTTAGCCTTTTTATTTGGCAAGATCTTCTGCATACAAGCGCATGTGATTTTTCCTTGCTGCTATCCATTAAAGAGAGTTTGCTGTTATTTCAAAAGAGCTTTGTGTTGAAATGTGTTGAAAATGGCAGCTAGAAGTTATATGTTAAGCACCTTGTAGGGTTAATGGATTGATGTGAGCAGGCATGCAAAGAAAGAACAAATCATTTATAATAATATGTTGTATGTATATGAATTCATTTTCCCATTTGGATAAATGCAGTCTTTATATTCCTTAACTGCTTGGTATTATCTTAAGTTGACTACACTATGACACAGAAAAGTTTCAATTTCCCCAAAAAGCATGGTCTTCCTTTCTATTTTGTGTCTGCGTCTGATGGAACAAATGTGGTTAAGGTAGGCATTCAAATATACATATTTTTTATTTTCTCCTGATTAATGTATTTGAACACAAGCTCTAAAGCCATACAACCATGGCACTAATAGGAGAGAAGACATCCTTTGCAGGATTTTAATTGAGAAATGTAGTGTAGGAATGTGACTGGAGAATTTTCACCTTGCCTAAATTTAAAGAAAAGTTCAGGGCATGAAATTTAGCCTTATAGCTCTTAACAGTTACTGAAGAGGTGCTGTTCAAAGTACCCCACAATAACTTTAATGAATTACAACAATTTCTGAAGGAGAGGCTAGATATGTGTTAGGTTATTATGAGAGAATATTGTTTTGTTTGAGAATGAGACTTCTGAAGAATTTTTTTCAGAGCCAGTCTCTCACATGTGTACATCAAACCCTAATAATTCCTTTAGGATTGAATGTGGCACAAGTAAACATGAACTACATGAAGCACAATCAGTCAAAATGACTTGCACATTTTTGTACCTGTCCATTGTTTAATTAATTAATTCACTGATTCTGTTTGGTATGAAGGCCTTTCGAGAAGCAATAAAGCTGGCAGTGAAATATAAAGAAAACTCAACAGATTTTATGGATGAAGTTCTACGCGAACTTGAGGTACATTTTTAGTGTTTGAATCAATTCATAAGTACTATTTTTGTGAAAGAACATGAGGTGTATAAAAGAGTAATATTTGTTTGTGCAATACTTTTTTAGTAAGACTTTAGTGGTAACTGTGTTTGGTTGAATGGTATTAAAAGTTCAACGGAACAAAGGAGTTGAATTAATCTCTTTCACTTTGCTTTTATTTCAGAACTTTGATGACATGAATCTTAATCAAGATGGTTATGATTCAGATAAAAAAAGCAGTGAAGATGAGGAAAAGACATGATACCCACTGCTTTAAGGCTGGCTCCTGTGGTTCATGCACACTGCTGTTTAAGTCAGTGCAAAGAATATTTCAACACACAGAGTAATTTATTCTCCTTATTAGAGTTTTTAATTATTAGTTATTAATATTTAAAAGATTTACATTGTAATAAATGTATTGACTGTTACAACTATCATACAGTCTGGGTGATGCTATGTCACTTTGCAAATTTTCTCTGCTGGCTGAAGAGTAATATAACATGACTGCAAGAAAACTGAAATAGTCTAAGAATTATTTTGATTCCATCCTGATGTCATGGCAAAAGGCTTCATGGTTTAACTTTACCAGATCTGAGCCCAGAAAAAATAATCATGATTATTTTTATTGTACAGTGTATATGACCAAGAATTCATTTGTTGTAAATCAATAGTCATGTTCAGCTATAATATCATATGTACTTACCTACCGAAAATTATATCTGAGATGGGTTCTTTGTGGTATTATCTTCCTAAATTTTGCTTGTTCTCATCAGACTGAGACGCCTTTCTGTTATTCTCTTGATCTTAATTATGATTTAGCATTATTAATGGTTTAAAGCATTAACTCGTCATTTAATTATTAACAGCACGCCCAGCAGGGCCCGAACTCGCACATAAAACCATTGTTTTCTTTTAAAAAGTAATTTCATAGACCGTTTAGACTTGTCATAGAATTGATTAGAGAGAGAATGCGTTGCGTGATCAGACTAGACCAGTGCGAAGGTGGCTACCTATGGCATTTTGTGGTAACACTTTTCGTAGGCCAGTCTGTGCAATGTAAATGTAAACTAATGTAAATTGTAAATTTATCGGAAATTGGCATGAAGAAAACCATCTGCTTTAGTACAAAACTCAATGCTCGTGAGTAAAAGCGTATAGGTTAAAACTTATCACTGTAACTATGTCGTAAAAATGCAGCTATTATTGGATCAGTTACAGAGAAGCCAAATGTAGTATGATTGTAACTATCATTACAGGATGAGCTTGGCTCACCACTCCTCTTGCCCAGCCTTGGAGCCAGGCTCGGCAGCTTCTCCGAGATATGTTTATTTTTTTGCGGTGTCTCTATTTTCTTTGTGTTTGTTGACGATGTTATGTTTTCCATTTTGTATAATTGGCGTGTCAAAGCTAACAAGTTAATTGTTGGTTGAATAGTATTTCCTTTTCACTGATTCTAAAGAGAGTGTTCATCCCTATAAGTATCTTACTGTTCTGTTATAAACTATTTTCTTTGTGAAATACTTCTTTTTCAGGGTTAAAGCGTAAGCAAGTGAGCAGTTTGCCAAGCGCTTAGAGGTGTTATATTTTGTCATACGGCAGTTATCTTTTTACACGACATTTTTACATTGTACAATATTTTTCTGAGGTTTAGAGTCCATTCATTGAATTCAGCTACTTTTATCCGACGAAGCTCTCTCAGCGATGTTTTAATGAAAGCTCTTGGAGACCTCATGGGAGTATAACCAAGACACCGTAACCTTGAACACGATAATTTACACGGTAGCTATTTAGCTATAACGTGCAGGCCATAAGTATTTTCAACCGAGCTTTTTCATGACAAAGTGACAAATGTGTTCGTCTGGGATGTCAAAGTACGAGGACAGCTAAATAGGCACGAGAAATATTTTTCAGAGAAAGCTTTCAGACAAGCAATCGTGCTAACTGCTCTGAACACTTTACAAAAGTTGAATTTTCCCCTCCCTCAGAGGAATTGAATCGGCAGTACACACTAATCGTAGTCTTCTATTCTTTGGGTATACCCAAGTGGCAACACTGATTGTGACGATCAAACTAACTGGGAAATGGTATCGTAAACCTAGTTTGCGTGCTTAAGGAATTAAAATAATTCCGCGTTTGCAATATTTTGAGAATTCCGTTTCGCAAATAGAGAATTGTTGGAGAAGTCGCACATTGACCAGGATCTCTGTAGGGAACGAACCAGGTAGCGTAGGTCACCATGCCAAACATGTCTGAAAACATTGTAACTGCATTCGGGTACTTTTGGGCTAGACCGGATGTGTACAAAGATCCTGGAATTGAAATATGTATGTAATATGTATATATGTAAAAAATTGTATGTACAAACATGATCTAAAATAAAGTTGCTTGTTTACCGCGATGAAAATGGTTTACCTCTTGGTTCATGGGTGATCTTGAGGAGCGCCTTTCGAGGGTGGGTACCTGAGGGATGGGACGTTGGCCATCCTCTGAACACAACTTGTTAGAGTTGACGAGGTAACTGATTGGAGATTATACAGGGTTTCTCGATATTAATTAGGAGGTATTGTTCATTGACCATAAATGAGGAAAGGAGCAAGCTATCTAGTAATGAGCACTTAATACAATTGGTAATCGAATTCCCCAAATAATTTGCTGTAATCATGTTTGTTTTCCCAGAACCTGCACCTTAATCTTCAAAATGAACTCTCGTTTCTTTACGTTTTTATTTCATAAAGAAAACTGTATGGTTGATTGCGATCATTACCGAGGCAAAAAAGACGCCAACATCATGCCGTAGTAGCTCGGGTGGTAGTTAGCGAGAAGCCTGGATTCCCAGGTGAAAGGGCTGGCCTTTAACATCCCGTCCAGCATAACCAGTCCCGTGAATCCACAAGAAAGAGCTTTTTCCACATAAGACGCCGCTTCAACTACAAGCTTTTCAGAATCCTGGGTGCTCACCCAAGCTCCGCACGCTTTGTCAAAGGGCTCGGCGGCGGTGGAGAAACCGTACGGCCCTGATTTCAAGTGAGTATGCGCCAAGTCAGCGCTAATGATGACCACGATCTTCTCCAGCTGCGATTGGAGAATTTCAAACAAGCTTTCGCCGAGATGGTGCAGCTCAGGGATCATCTTCACACTTTCCGCGTACCTGCGACTCGGCTGGGACAGAATGATCACCTTACTTGGCTGGCCTAAAACACTTTTTGTGAAATACAATGGAACCACCTCGCCCCATCGCAAAGGGAAGGGAACATCTTCGTTTCCGGGAGGCCCAAATGCGCTCAGATACGATACCTTCTCATTTTCGTCCTTGAGTATCCTTACAAGGTTCTCACTCCCTTTAGAATCCATGGCAACGGACAGGTTATAACAGCACGGTGGACATGCGCAGTTGTCCGTGTCAGAAAATCCGAATCCTCTCGGGCTAAGATAGAAAATGAAATCTTCAGGGGCAGCAATTCCGTGTGGGGTGCTGAGAACGATGGTATCAGGCTTGAGATCTTCGATTTGTTTGCCCACTTGTTTTGAAGCGTCATGCACCAACCAGGCTTGTGCTTTAGCTGTGGCGTTTGTTGTGTTAAAGTAGCGTGGGTCCAGAGCGATGCCTCCTGATTAAATAATTAGCAAATAAAAAAGAGGTAAACACGTACGCAAATACGGAAGTACACTGATAGAGAAGAGCTCATCTAGATAAATAAATAAACAGAAAGATAAATAAATAAACAGAAAGACAGACAGACAGACTTAATAAATACCTGATGAAGACAGGAGGGAAAGGATGAAAGGAAGGCTGAGAGAAAGGAAAGATGGATGAAAGGAATGAACGCCATGTGAAATAAACGAATGGCATCTGTCTTTATTCTGTTAGAAATTAGAAAAATTAAACTGACCCGTTTTGAATTTGGAACGTAATTGTATACCCCTGCCTTCTTTCTTAATATTTTATATGCTTTTCTTTATTATTAATTAAACAAGACTTGTTTCAAACAAACGGTTTCTTCTGTCACGCGTTGAAGACCTATCCTCCTTTTTCCCATTTGTAGTATTTTTTTCCTTATGTATTTATTTACCAATATTTTCTTATTAACCCTTTGAACCCTATGAGTGACTAGCATCGTATTTCTCCTTACAATATCACCCCTAAATTACACATTAAGGTCGCGAGAATCAAGGACATGATCTCAAACTAGAAGAGGCTCTTGATTTTAAAACTAATTCTCCTTGGCAGCTCTTTAGCAAATGTATAGAGAACAGTGCGAAGAATATACATACTGCTGTTAGGATGTAAAGGGCTGGATGATTTGTTATGTCACGTCTGGACGAAAATTCATTCTCCATCAAGGGACTTTCGATTGATTCCTCAGAGTTGTCTTCATACAACATAATTTACTCTTACCAGTAACACGCTTCAATTAGTGACTAAATTTTGCTTACCGTGGGGCATCACGAAGGCTCCAATTACAACACTGTCGGTTTGAATCACGTAAAATGACTTCAGAATAAAGATTACTACCGGCATTGAAGCGAACATCGCGTTGATTTTAACAAGAGTCGACCTCTTGAATTTAAAAAATCAGAACTCCGCTCGAACTAAAAGCAGTCAGAGCCAGGGAGCAGACACAGAAAAAATGAGTTGCGCACAGAAGAGGTCTGACTCTTGATTCTGATAGATAAAGACCTCCTAATCAAAGTGAGATAGTTGGTCGAGTTGAATATTTGTGGTATAGACGTTTCAAAATACAGGGATTTTTGGTCACGAGTTTTATATTTCAACATGGAAACGAGGCTGAGATCTAACTTGACCTTTTAGCTCCCAATGGTTAAACGAAGGCGATTGAAAATTGATGGACACTTCACAGTCAAGCCACCTCCGAGCAACACGCACGGGATTTGAACCTGAAAATATACTAATGCATATGGTTGCAGGTATAAAAAAGGTTAAAATCATTTTTTTGTGCCATATTATTTCACTGGTTTATTATATACTAAGTACATGTATGTATGTTTATTATAATTTTTACTTTTTTTAGTGCGTAAGATGCCAAAGCAACAATCCAATAAAAGAGAATCCTAAATGTGCGCGAAATACTAAAGTAACAATCGAACGAAAGAGAATTCTAAAAGTGCGCAAGATACTAACGTAACAATCCAGTGAAGGAGAATCTTAAAAGTTCATGAGATAGCGTAACAATCCAATGAGGGAGAATCCTTGATGTGCGCGAGATGCTAACGTTACAATTGAATAAGAGAAAATCCTAAAAATGCACGAGATGCTTATGTAACAGTTAACTGGAAAAAAAAATCTTAAAAGTGCGCGATATACTGACGTAACAATCCATTAAAGAAGAGAACCTTAAGAGTGGACGAGATGCATACGTAGAAATCGAATAAAAAGAGAATTCTCAAAGTGTACGAAATACTATAACGTAACGACGGAAAACGGTCGCAACATGCCGTCTAGCGTAAAACATATTATTGAAAGTAAAAAACAGAAACTTAATCTAAATTGCAACTCCCAGAGATATATCTTTTTTAATACACGTTCACTGTTATAGGCCCTGAAATTTATCTATCAAATCAACCGTCAAAGACCCAAAAAATGAACCGTTAACCATAAAAGCTAACGTCTCTCATGAAGATCCGGTATCTGCTCCCCGACTAGAAGCATTGCGTGACATTCCAGAGAACGGAAAAACAGTTTATGATCTCATGGCGTGATTATCTCTATTTTCCATTTCAATTATTTGACAACCTCATAAATTCGCCCCCTCTTCTTACCCTTAAAGCCAATGTAAAAATTCAAGTCGACTAATGATCCTCTTAATCTTTGTCTATCCTAAAAAGGGGAGGTAAGTTTCTAAAGAAACTGGGACTGCGTCGGCGAGGGTAGTGCAAGATAATTTAATTATATCAACTGATTGGCCACCCTAAAGAGTTTCTAAAGCTGACACGTCAATCATCAGCCCTTCTCAGAGGGAATGTTGGGAAACCTAGTTGTGGCCTAGTCTGTTGTTTAGCCACCTTCATAAACGTTGATTTCAAGGCTTCATTCTTTGTAGCGTGTTGTTGACAGATAAGATGTAACGCACAGCTCCAACCTTCACATACCGTCACCTCATCTGCGCTTCACGACAAAATGGCGACCGATGCAGAGTATAAAAGAAAGTACACGCAGAGTCAGAAAATGGTATTAACCCACATATTCTGTGGCGGTTTTCTGTTGGCTTGCTTTTTCTTTACGGCAGTGTTTTTCCCGTTCCCTAAACCGCACCTACCAACCTTATTCGACAGAGTTGTGTTCACCCTTCGCTGGCTGATCGTGTCTCTTCTCCCCGTCTGGGCTGGAGTCATTTTGGTTGGAAACGTGCGATTTGCAACATCTGCTATTGACCCACTTGACAAAAGCGGCGAGAAGTACATAAAAATGCGTTCGAATTTTCTTCAGAACACCGTTGAACAGTTCTTACTCCATTCTTTTGGTCTCACTGTTTTGTCCACTTATTTGTCTGAGGAAAGTATGCACTGGGTACCTCTCCTGGTGATCCTGTTCGTTGTCTCTCGAGTTCTGTTTTTCGTAGGCTACTCTATACATCCTCTTAAAAGAGCCATTGGATTTTTCATGACATTTACCCCAAGCGTTGCGGTCATGCTATATTCTTTGTGCTGCTTGATTGTTTATGGATTTGACGCGTATCGCTGAGCAAATAAAGCCGCTCAACTTTGGTTTACTGTGGACTGAAGCCAAGAGTTCCTTTAAAAACTGTACTGCCTGATTCCAAAGCCTTCAGTTACCATAATTTTTCAGACAGGAAGAGCTGTAAGACTCCTTTACAAAAGGACCTAGTAAAGTGACAAAAGGTATCTCATAGCCCACGTGTAGCCGTACCTTCCCCTCCTCAAGGTAAAACGTTTCACCTTGCGGGGGAGGGTACGGCTACATGTAAGCTAGGTATCTCTTACCCCATCAAAATTACGAATACGAGCCTTTCTGTTGCAGTAAATCAGTTGAAAAGTATTTGATGTAGCAGCCTGAGAATGTCTGAAATGTGGATGAATTTAACGGACAAAGGTCACATCAAATCTTTTTTTCAAATAAAATGATAGTCAGAGATGGAACATGAGACATTAGTTTGTTTAGAACAGTTTGATGGATTTTGATTATATATTTGTTTTTATGAAGCCGCTATCATTATCATAACTATTATCACTATAATTATCACTACTAATACTATTATTGTCATATTCGGAAGAGTCGAGCATTTCTTTGGAGTATTCCCTCGTCTAGGTGGCTACAGGGGTACACTTGACTCCTCACTCCCCTTCCCACAGTTCTTCGAAGGTCAAACATACCGATTACATATAAGATGCATTTATCAAAGCTCCGAGCAGCATCTGCGATTGAAAGTTTTCGTTTTGTCGTTGAACTGGGTGTTCTGATGTCCAATATGATTAACACAATTGTTGAAGTCAATGAGTAGTCTTGTAACCATACCTTCCACGGCCAAGCAGTAGTTATGACTCACTACATTTTGGTTGCGCGCTAGGATCTGGATACGAGATTAGTCCATAAGTTGAACAGAAAGTAGCTTGAGCACAATAACTGCTGTGACTGAGATTAACTGCAAAAATACAACGTATAGGCTTATAGTAACAAAAAAAAGGAAACCTAATGCGTGCACCACTTTAGAAGTCATAGAATGTTTGGCAGTTAAGAAAGTACTTACAATAAAATTGATGCAGAATTATTACATTTATCTGATGGGAGCAGCGTTTATAATAATATTCTCTTCGCTTTGATTGACATTCGATTTTTATTTTCACAAGGGAAAGACAGAAGAAATTCTTCTACTGAAACAAAGTGGACACAGTCCGTTTTCCAAAACTCAAAACTGAACATGTATGCAAATATTTGAATTGCACGTGAAATAATTAATTATTAACCATCAATACAACCTCTTGTCTGAATTAATTTGGTGCAAAAACGTAAGCAACGCCTTCACTACATATCACATAAGTTCTTCAACCGTGTGCCACATTTTCTTCAAAGTGAAAGGAAAAAACTGAATCAGAGAATTAGATATCAGGCTTTATTTTTATGAAGTGTTTCTAATCATGGAGACTCATCTAAAAAATGTTTGAGAATTTGTCATCTCAATAGTTTATATTCTGTCAGAATAGCAAGTGACAAAAGAAATAAAAACACAAAAGCTTCTCTCTAGGTTTTAGGATTTTTCATCGTTTTCACCTCTCTCTCTCTCTCTCTCTCTCTCTCTCTCTCTCTCTCTCTCTCTCTCTCTCATGAACAATTAGGATTGTTATGGTTAAATTTAATAGCTATTTCTGAGTTAAGTTTAATTAAAGCCAGTTAACTTTTTTAGGCAAGGTAAGGCTAAATTGCTGCGTGACCCAAACAAAAACCTTGACTATAAAATACAAAAGAGGCCAGGTGGAAATTTAGGCTCAACAACGCACGACGCTATTCACGTTCATGGCCTATATTCTGTCGTGGCTATCTTCTACTCGCATTCTTAGCGCTAAGACATATCGAAAGGGGGATTAGGGAGGATTGACTCCTTAATCCTTTCCAACTCTTGAATAACCTCACGTAAGGGAGTTCCTTAAAGTATGCGATCATTATCCTTTGATAAACAACTTCTTCAAGGTGATTGGTTCTAATTCTTTACACTATAATATCAATTTCACCTTATTTGAAATACTAAGAGTTATCTTTGAAGAGGATTGCTGTGTTACTGCAACAGAGACATACGTTTGAGGTATCGACGCGATCAGATTTTTTAACTTAGTGGTGATGTATCGCTCTAGTGGTGCTTACCATAACAGCAGAGCTGCTGGCTACACAGCTGGTTCAGGCCGATCAAATGATTATTCCGCAAAACCAGTTTCCTCGACATCTTCGGTGTACTCCTATAAACCAAGTTCTTCCTCAATTCAACCGGGCACCTCCGCCACTACAAGTCTGACCGGCTCAAGATCGCCGTCAGCGAGCTACATTACAACAGGCGCCAACCGATCGAGTGGTGAACTATCTTCAGTTAATCGGGATGCAGACCCCTCGAGGTAAGTGCAGTTACCTTATGCAGTGAAATATTTCCATTTAGGACCAGCTTCAAGTACATCAGTTTGAATTTATTTGGAGCCTGCAGCGATTCATTTATGTTGCCTGAAAAAAGTAACTCCAAAAACTAACTTACGATATCACCTGGGAAAGAAAGTGATATGATGCTTTTTTTTCTTCTCAACGCCTTTCTCCTCGAAAATTTATCTGCGAAATTGGAAAAAAATTATATTTTTGTCACTCTTTGAGTGAGAGGGTAAAACCAAACTCACTAGATACCCTGACCAATGACTAACACAAGAAAATCGCCGAGAATAAAACAACAGTTTTCAGAATTTCGCCTTTAAGAGTGAAACTAAGAAACATATGAAAATGATCCACTGTAACAACTTCTCGAATCAACCCACGTGTTAAACTAGTTCTGACTGAGAACCCACATGCTAAGCTTTTTAAGATAACTTAATTTAGAAATTCAGGACAAGCAAAAGAAAACAATTCGAAAGCGACATATAAAAAGACTTCAATTACTTTAATACTAATGAGTGAGATTACAAGACAATGTCGAATATAATAAATTCGCTTGATGTTGGACCAGAAGCACGCCTCAGATATAAAAATCAATAGAAGAACAATATTACTGAGGAATAATATTATCTGATCTATAACAGGATGAATAGAACGTCTTGGAAAATCGGGGAAGTGGGAGTACCGAAAAATGAAACAGAAATTAAACAAAAAACTGATACTCTGAGAGAGAATACTTTGTGAATACGAAAAGAAAATTATTTCCCATTTGGATTAGAAAAAAAATGCTGTACTTGCAGAGCGGATGAACCAATACAAGATAATTTGGATTTATCACCTGAGTTGATTATGCAAATCGGCCACCCTAAAGAGTTTCTAAGCTGGCATTTCGAGCGTTAGCCCCTCTTCAGAGCGAATGGAGGAATTTTGGGTTGTGTGTGTGTGTGTTTACACATTACCTTTTGACCCGTCGATGCAACGCCAGGGAATTGTGGGTAGCTCTTTCCCTCTTTCAAAGGGACAAAAAATATTTGGATTGGTATTAGTTTGTATGGATGAAGAACAAAGTGGAACCTATATTTAAATCAAAGCGGATTATCTGGTCTTTCTTTAGCAATATCGAGTTAAGTAATAAATCCCCATCGATTAAAATTAACATAGAAAATTCCATCCATCTCTGAGGGCAAAACAAAATACAAAATCGGTAAACTTATGAAATTAATGCACGAATGGATGTAACACGCTGGCTTTTGAACGCGTAGTAAATGAAATTCATTGTACCAGGTCTATGAAAAAATTTTTATAAGAAATATGTGGTTCAGATTGTCCTCAAATAAATCTGTGTTTTTTATTATCACTGTTACATCAGATGGTACTCCGGGTCAGGAAGGACTTATGACTCTATCAGGTCAGCAGACGTCTCAGGAAAACCAGTCGTTTATTCTTTGAGTAACACTTCTCAACCAAGTGCAGCCACCTACACTGGGAGTTCTACTCGCCCAGTCACAAGTACTGTTAGGTAATTTTATCTAGAACAGATTTGGTTGAGTTCTGTTAGGGAAACGTGTCTCCCATTATTAAGATTAGGAAAGCTCCTTTTAGAAGCACTAATCAGCCATATACCATTTTTGCGGGACTTAAGTATATACCAGCGGCCATGATTCAAACTACTCCTAATTTCAACGGATTAAGCTATTGTGTTCATGAGTTAATTTTAGACTCGATCGCCGCCGCTGTTCGGGTAATGAGCCCGCGCTCCCTTTCCGAAGTCACAAAGAGACGAAGTTCCTTCCTGTTTGTCAACGGTTGTTTGCCCGACCAGTCAATTTTCGACAGACAACTTGTTGAAAGACAATGGGAGGTCGTTACTTTCTTATTTCAGACCTGCTGGATCTTATGGTTCAGTGAGAGCAAGTGTTTCCAGCCAGCCTACAGAATCATCAGTAAGACTGAAAACTCAGCCCATATACACCTCTAGTTATTCTCTCAAGCCATTCACGGTGAATTCCACTGCTACAAGCGGCGGTTCAGCGCATTTCAGCACACCTGCTGGCACCGGGTCAACAAGTGTCCGCGATACTTTTTCTGCCCGCGGAACTCCGAGGTAAGAACTTATTTCGGTTACGTAAAATCATGGACCTCGAGCACGTTTCAGTTTTTTTGTAAAATTAGTCGATTCTCAGTGGAGAATTTGTTGAACGACAAACGCAGAGCCATTAATTTCTTTTTCAGAACCATTGCAAGTTATGCATCAGAGAGGGTATCTGAAGCTAACCAGCCCACAAGAGAACCAAGGTAAACGCTTGATTTCAGCTATGTGCGAATCATGGAATTGGGTGGTTTGTTTTTTAAACCCCTGTTCAACGTTTGCATTTGCGCAGACATATAGACGCTACGTTTCACGCATGCGCTCCTCTTCCTGCCCGGATTGGATAGAGTGAGATATCGAGCCTAAATGTCCTCTAATCCAATCAGATGCAAAACTAAAACTAATGACGAATTGGTGTCGTGTACTTTCCTGAAAAGAAATAGTTTACATTAAATTGCCTTCATTTATTCCTAGCTCCTTTCTTAAGTTTTATGAACAGTTGTGATAACCTTAAAGACTACAACCTCCCCAAAATAAGCAAGTCAATCGGGAAGCACATAGCTTTTGAATTTTAAAGGAAGGAAAAAGGGGTGGACTGAGGGTAAAACAATTATATGGAGGTCTGGGACTTTTTTCCCTTAAAAATCGTACATGCAGAGGCTCAGATATCACAATCATTTCTTAATATCAGAATGCCCTCCATAAGGATGCCCTTTACTATCTCAGATTAAAGTTAATTTGCCGATCAGTATTCCAATCGTCCTATGAAAGGACGAAAGTTATTTTGAAAAGAAACTGCCGTTAAAGTAGTTTGATTTTCTGAATTGATTTCATCATGCAAGGACGTCGTCTTATACTGTACCGACACGGACATATGTCAATACAAGGCCAACGGAAAGCAGGTCTGCCAGTTATCATTCATCTTACCCGACGAGTTCAAGCCGACCAATTACGATATCTAGCCGACCAATCCCTTGTTATGACCAACCAGTCATGAGTTCTAGCCAACCAGAAACGAGTTCAAGCCGACCAATTACGAGTCCTAGCCGACCAATCACTAGCTATACCCGACCAGTCACCAGTTCAAGCCGACCAATCACGAGTTCTAGCCAACCAGTCACGAGTTCAACCCGAGTAGTCAGCTCTACAACTTTAACTGGCGCTCGAAATGTATCATCAGCTGATGGAAATGCCAGGTTAGTCAATACAAGTCAGGAAAAAGTCAACAGCCGAACATAGAGGAAGCTTCGATAGTATGATGCCTTCAGATATAGGAGTACCTTTCTAGCTCAAAAATTTACTAAAATTTTCCTCAACCTGAATCATAAGTTCCTTTTGGAAAAAATCACGTCGAGAGAAAATGAAATACTTAGATTAGTATTTAGCTCAAAAAATTAGTTTATTGTGTGAACTCCAGCAAGTAATAACAATCTCTAGGTGGGGTTAACTGTCTCTCGGGATAGAAAATCGGAAGGAACAAGTCCGGCCCTAGGCGATCACTCCAATCTGCAATCACTTCAAAAAATTTCATCGTGAAGCCCGTTGTGTTCAGAAAAACTTCAGAGGTAGTTAAAGAAAAAACATCAGGCTTTTTGTTAAAAAATCGTATCACAAGTGTTCGAAGTATAAAGGTTTTTTCGTTGGGCAGACGTTCAAGCCAGTGAAAGTGTTTGATGTCGCCTACTAAAGCAAACGAAACATCCCCCCTCCAGAGATTTAACTTAAACTGTAAGAAACAACTTCGGCCGCATTACGGGTACCATAAAACCGCCAATCTTCGTTGCAACAGATAGTCACGCAGTCTTGGCGTAAACAACCCGCAATGTCTAAACGGAGCGCTGTATGGAGTGTCTGGCTAAATAAATGTTTCCCCAGAGCTGAAATAAGAAGTTAAAATTGATTTTATATCAGTAACAAAACTGATTCTGAACCAATTCGAATAAACGTAAATATTGTAAATGTATTGCACCTACTTTGAACTACGTACTTATTGTTGCGTGAAATTAAAAGATGGTATTTAAGTACGCAATTGATCTGCCGAGTGAGACAGCCGATAGAAACAACTGCTCATAAAAACATTTTAAGAAGACCAGCTGTGTATAAAAAAATTGCTGCTGGGAAAAAATTATATTGTAAAATGACAACCTCCCGTGAAGGAAACAGAAACATAAACATATCGGTATTTTGATGAACAAAACGAGACGTGAACAATTTCATCCGAATATTATAAGAACAAATTCGTTATTACCAGAACGATGACAACCTTCGCTCTCGTCCAACGCAAAAATTCGTTCCGACAAACAGGGTATTCAAGGTCACAAAATTCAGAGGAGGACTTTAAGGAGCCATCGAGAGGGGAACATCATCAAAAACTAAGGAAAAAAACGGAGAAATTGAATGAGGATGATTACGAGATACTCCACACTTCACAGATAGGTTTGGTCTTCCTAAAACCATGCGTTCGATTTTCCACCACAGTTTATTTTCATACCAAGAGTGATCTAGGATCTCCAGCACAAGACAGTAGGTGTGATTTGGACTTTTTTTCCTCATACTGAATTTCAACTCATCATTGTAACTCTTCCTTCATAAGCTTCCGGTTTGGCCGGAATGCATTTTTCACCCATTTTAAAATATTCCTTTTCTAAAAATTAGGATTGTGACTTCACACTGATATCAATTTGAATGAAATTGTGATTATTTTATGGGGTTGTGTGTTGAGACCGTCCATCGGTCTCCGTGACAAAACAACTGTGTTTGGGCTCTTCATGGACTTAAAATACTTATCATTAGCTCTGCGCATTTATGGATAAGCATTTGTCGGATAGTTTTATACCTGTTCATCGGTGCCAGAAGTCAAGTTTAAGCTTTTGGCTGAAACGATTTGAAGCTTTTAAGAATACTTCAAACTCCTCAGAATAATGCAAATCTAGTAAACATGTTCTGTCAATGAAATCCTTTTGAAGTCCGTCGAAGCACTCGTACAGCTCTTTCTCTCGTTAAACAAACTTAACAATCGACAATCTTACGACCCTCTGAACTACAAGATGATGCAAATCGAGTGGCTACTTCGGCGAGTTACATATTTTCATTCTTGAGCTTCGAAAAATCACTGGACGAGTTCGGACTATTTTTGTGAATAAAAAAAATGTACGAATGAACAATCGACAGTATGTTATGTTGTAACTTCCGCTTGTAAATTGCTGGCTTAGTCTATGATGCACATAATTTTCGCAATCACAATAATATTGGCTGGTTACCTACCTGCAAAGTATTATGACGACCTCTAGCCGAGGAAATAATGTCGTACAAGACGCTAATTTCTCATGTGCAGCGTCTCAAGTCCCAATAAATACTTAAAATTTATAATATTTGCTCAAGAGCAAACTGTTTCTAAACAAAACAAAAAAAAGGGTCCCGCCCTAAGGACATGTTGGAAAGGGATAACTTAAGTAGCGTATCTTAACAACCAGATAGGAAAGAGGTATACTCTTGTGTTACTTAAGTTACAGTCAACCATAATTTGAGATGAACCAAAGAAGAGTTTAACCGATCTGTCTTCAAAAAAATTCACCTATGATCTCAGCCGCTTTATTAACCATTGTTTAATTTGGGAACAAAGGGTGTGAGTCAGTCACACATACGACATATATGATTAACCTCTACTCATGGCAATTTTCAGGGACGAGGCCGAACGAGTTAGATGTGGTAGGCTAGGCGAAGGAGTCAGCGGTCGTGCAATAGTGATCTCCGATAGAGAATTTCGCAACAACAACAAGGCCCTGACAACATCAAATCATCAAAAACATGGTACGGATAAAAATAGTTTCATTTAATCTGTTTGTTTATTTTTCACTGGGCCAAAATATTCATAGATGCGGGTAAAACCCAGTTTGTCATTCAAAACACATATGACTGTGTTTTTATTCAAACCTCAGGTAATTTCTCTCTTTGGAGGATGAATCCAAACGTTTTTAAGGTGCACTAAACAACCTGTCGGAACGATCATCAACTGATATAAACTATCATATAACAACTCTTTACTAAGTAACCGTGTAGGGCAGTAAGGAATATACATTTACGTGTCCAGTGGCGAAAATGCAACCCCATTATAGTTTTTCCAGTGGTGAAAATGCAACCCCAGTATAGTCAGTCCAGTGGTGAAAATGCAGCCCCATTATAGTCAGTCCAGTGGTGAAAATGCAGCCCCATTATAGTCAGTCCAGTCGTGAAAGTGCAGCCCCATCATAGTCAAGTCCAGCAGTGAAAATGCAACCCCATCTAGCGGCACATTAGTCTGTCACGAGGAAGTGCCCCTCCAGACTTTCAATTAACTTCTAAAATGTATCTTTTCAGCTGAGCAACTGACAACAAAGAATATTGACCTGCACAAGGACGAGAATCGAAGCAATCACTACACTGACAAGTACGAACACACAAACTTGATTGTGAGGAGAGGCCAGGATTTTGACGTCACTGTGATATTCAACAGGCCTTATGATGCCTCAAAAGACACAGTGACCTTACAATTTGCAGTCGGTAAGTTTAACAGATACGAAATATTTCTTCCACACAGTGAAACTTCAATAAAGCTGAATACTGAGAGCAAATCCAGTTTCAGAAAATCTCGTGGTAATAGGGTCTCAGTTTATCACTTGAAGGTCTTTGCGTGGTCGATGTGGAAAACTAATCAAACTGATCTAAATGTATAAATAAAAGGGGTAAGTTTCTAAAGAATTTGTGGCGCTGCATCGGTGGGGGAGTATAAAATGAAAATTTGGTTTTATCAGTTGAGTTGAGAATGTAAATTGGCAACCTTAAAGACTTTCTAAAACTGATGTTTTCAAGCGTTTGCCCTTCGTCAGCGCGGATGATCTAATCATAAAGGGGTAAGTTTCTAAAGAAACTGTGGTGCTGCGTCGGTGGGAGAGTATAGCAGGTAATTTAGTGTTAACAACTGGGTTGAAAACGTAAATTAGCCACCGTAAAGGGTAAAAAAGCTGACGTTTCGAGCGTTAGCCCTTCGTCAGAGCGATTCATCGCTCTGACGAAGGGCTAACGCTCGAAACGTCAGCTTTTTTACCCTTTACGGTGGCTAATTTACGTTTTCAACCCAGTTGTTAACACTAAATTACCTGATCTAATCATAGCACACCAACTGTAAGAGAAGGGAGCTGTAATTTAAATTATTGGATCAAGTGACATCAATCACTGGTGAGCCTCAGAATGGACTAAGAGAGACTAGTACTGACTGCACAGTCAAAATGAAAAACAAAATGAAATTAAAGAAAACAAGAAGAAAACAAAGGAACAGTAGCACACTACTTTGTTCCATAGGTACCCGAAAAGCTCAACTAATCCTGCAGACCCGCAACAAATAAAAATAAAAATTGACCAAATTCCCGAGTTCCACATTCCACTCTTCAAATCAACCATTTATTGTCGGAATAAATTCTTTTTGGTCTTTTTACTCAGAAACTTCCTTTAATCCTTTAGGATATCGACCACAAGAAAGTAAAGGAACCATTATCAGGGTGCCAGTGAGTCTGACCAGAGATTATGTGTACGGCGCATGGTCAGCAAAGATAATGCAGACCAATCAAGAAAGTGTGCGCCTTCAAATAACGTCGCCAGCGGACGCCGTCGTGGGTAGATGCCACTTTTATGTGGAAACCAAGACCAGTGTACCGGGTGTAGAAAAAGAAACAGATTTTCGTTACCAGCATCCGGAAGAAATCATTATGCTGTTTAACCCATGGTGTAAAGGTGAGTACCTGAAACATATTGTTGTGTTGAATATTCGATAGTTTTTTTTCTTCCTAAATTGTTGAAAAATAAAGAAAACTTCAGATAATCTGATGAAAATATGTAAATAGATTTATAAATATATAAATACGCAGTCGCTTCAGAATTCGCATTTTTAAGAGTTCCTCAGGTAAAATTGCATCTCTTTCCTTAACCTTGAATGAAATAAAAAAAAAACATAATACTGTCAATCATAATTTAACCTTATACACTCTATATGCGAAAAACATTTGTGTAGCTCCTTCATAATAGCTTTACACGGGTTCCACAGTAAAAACGTTTCATGCAACTTTTCAATTTTCGAGGGATTTAGAGCCATCTCTGCGCTAACGAAAATTGCCAGGAACTGGACTTTGCTGTGTACCTTCAGCTGTTTGCGCACAAAAACGAAGACGTTTGCATTTTGTGGTTAATAGGTGTTTTTCTATTTTTCGCTGGGGAGCAAAATCAAACCTGAATTTCGCCGTTCGCGTTTGTTAGGGACTTGCTTCTTAGATATCCATATATATCTCATTCCCTGATTGATTAGGCCAAAGTCTGTTCTCATTTAGTGGCCATGACTGAGTTCAATTATGATTTGGATCATGTGCGCATTAAATGAAAACCCTTGTTATGTCTTCATCCCGCTTACAAGATGACACAGTGTATCTGGACCAACAAACCTCACGCGAGGAATACGTGCTGAATGACAGTGGGCTCATATGGATGGGAACTGCCAAGAGGAACCGAGGGATGCCATGGAACTTTGGCCAGGTCAGTGAATTAAGTGCGTACTGTAAGAATTAGTACAATTAGTTTTTATCGTACAAAGACTAATACTCAGGGCGCGAGCATTTTGCGGCCTGAAACCATTTAGCCCAACGGCTCCCACAAAAAAAAAAAAATTTTTTAGCATCTCTCACTTGTATTCTCTCCGTCCCTTTCGTGATGACTTCAGTAATTAGACGTTTTTATTTCCTTGGTTTTTCAGTTTGAGGATGTATCATTGAACACGTGTTTGTGGCTTCTAGAACGAGGGCAGCTCGGAACAGCTGCGCGTGCAAATCCTGTCAGGGTCACCCGCTGTATCTCTGCCATGGTAAGAGTGAGTCAATTGATGGGGTGACTTTTACCTGAATTTCCAAGGAAGTCCAGTTTATGTATTTTTGAAAAAGTAATGAATTTCATTGGTCCAAATATGTAGGCAAACTTCAATGATCAAGATGGTGGTGTTCTTTTCGGTCGCTGGGACAACGACTATCCCAAAGACACGACTGCTCCAACAGCATGGTCCGGCAGTGTCGCCATTCTGGAAAAATTTTGGCAGAAGAAGATTGTTGTCAAGTTTGCTCAGTGCTGGGTCTTTTCAGGGCTCGTTACAACATGTACGTGCTCTTTTCCACATAACAGGCAGTTATCTCATCATATCACAATGCTCCTCGTATCGTGTGGGAAAAACATACGTGCTGTTTTCCTATGCCGTATGTTTTCAAGGCTCCAACTTTGCCAGCGTTATCTGCATGCGGCATAATTCCAAAACTATCGTGTATTTTCTTTATTAACGACTCAAAGACTGCATTCAGTCAGCTGTGGATGATGTTGTACTATCGTAAAGAAACTCGATTTAATTAATCTTCAGTATGACATGCTCATTTGTAAAAAGCGTTCAGACGCATAGACGAAAAATCTCTATCTTCTTCTCTAGACTTGTTGGGAGATGGGTTCCAGGTGTTTGCTAGTAAACGTATAATGCATATTTAGAATTTCTAAGTGTCCTTACTGTTGTCTTGCCAGTGTTGAGGGCGATAGGCATACCAACGCGATCAGTAACAAACTTCGCCTCGGCGCATGACTCAGATGCCAGCATGACTGTCGACTTCCATTTTGACGAGAAAGGGAAGCCACTAAAGGATATGGACGATTCTGTTTGGTGAGAGGATATACTGTAAAATATTCCATATCGGTTCGGAGAAAAGTTCAGTAGTGCAGAAAAGCGTGGTTTACACCTCACTATGAATGTTGAATCACTATAAATGTTGAATTATTGAGTGCAGAAGAGTGTTTTCATACCACCAACTCTTGCACTAAACCCATTGCAGTAGCATCCAACTTTTTTTCAAGCAACTATCTCGTTTTACGAATATGGTCGAATATAGTCGAGAGTTTTATGAATTAAAACTACTGATAATATTAAAAGCTGCCGCCCCTTTGTCTTATATATTACGTCCCAGATTTTACTGATAAACAACCCAAGATATTTGTTTCTTTGGAAGGGTACATTAGCCCCTATAAATGGAAGAAATGCGATTGTAAATTACGACGCGTAATCTGTTTGTTAACAGGAATTTCCATGTGTGGAACGAATCATGGTTCAAGCGACCTGATTTACTAGATGGTCATGATGGATGGCAGGCGCATGATGCCACACCCCAAGAGACAAGCTTTGGTGAGAAGCTTCATTTAATCTTAGAATTCAGGAAAAGCTAAAACGTCTTTTTTCCTAATATCGGGTTTCCTTCAATTCGGTAGAATTCTGATATCAGAAACAATAGTGGAATGTGGAATAGAAGATCAATATGATCAATTCATTTTACAAACTGGAAAAAGAAACGTGGCTTTTTGAACAGGGCTGGATGCAAAGCCGTTAAAATAAACGCTCTCTTCACTATAGACGAAAATTAGTAGGAACATTTATTACACAATTGAGTGGCTCAGGAAAATTACATTTCGGGGCTCTTTGATCAACCTACTATTTTTTAGAGGGAAACGCGGGACAAAAAGCTAAATGATGGGAAGCAAAAAGTCCATGTAACTACGTTTTTGTCACAGGCATAATTTTTCATGTTTCTTAACCAATTTACGTTTAGGAGTGTTTCGGTGTGGCCCTGCCTCAGTGAAGGCCATCAAACAAGGTGAAGTCTATTTGCCCTTCGACTCTTCCTTCGTGTTCGCTGAGGTAAATGGTGACCGCGTGTTTTGGGAAGTTGGAGAGAATGGATCCATGAAAGTGATAAGAATAGACAAGAAGTGCATTGGAAAGATGATAAGTACCAAAGCTGTTGGTAGTGATGATAGGGATGATGTCACTCACCAATATAAACATCCTGAAGGTAAAGTTCTCTAAACATATGTCTGGCCAAGAGGGAATGAGTCTGTTTTGGTATGGCTTTTAGCGGCTGAAGTAACACTTTTAAATTGGTGTTTTGATGATAACGATGACGATTTGGCCTGGGTATTATTTAAAAAAATGGGAGTAAAGTCTGATTTATTAGCTTCGGAGGATTTTCTCGGGCACTCAATCATTTTTCATGGTGGGTCCGGCTGACATTTTGCCAAAATACATTCTAGGGGCTCAGAGATTCGCATAACGTGGTTTGGTTTCTGTAATCAGTATGCGCACATCATTTCTTAAGGTTTATTTTTTGTAATTAAGGGTTTCTCGATTGGAAGAGAGTAAAATGAAATAGCTAGCAGGAGATTCACTGATGTCATTACTTCGTTACCCAATTAACGAATGGAGGATTTGCGAGATGAGGCAATAGAACAAGAGAACGTTCGACTGTAAAAAAAACTAGGTAGCATTTCATCAAATTATTAGGTAGGCAACCTATTGGTGCTGTTTTCCCCCGAACTCTTTGGCGCTAAGTTGCCGTCACCTAATTTTGACGTGCCCATTTGTAACAGGAATGACTCGTTATTCTGCCGTTTACTTGAAAAGAACAATTTATTGATAAGTCATTGTTCTACCTCATTTACCATTTCAAACGTAATTAGGTTCCGTCCAGGAGCGCAGAGCTGTGGAAATGGCATACAAGTACAGCAGCCGCAAGGATCAAGCTATTTACGGACTACCCACGGAGGACGTCAAGTTCTCGTTCGAAATGCCGGATGATGTGCCCATAGGAAAGGATGTAAGTGTGTCACTGAAGATGAAAAACACCACTTACAAAAGTCGCACAGTCGGGGGAAAGATCACTGCCATGATTGGATTCTACACAGGAATTTCTTGTGAAGATTTGAAAGAGGAAGACTTTGAGATCACTTTAGACCCGTGGGAAGGTAAGTGGCGAATATATCTTTGTACTTGAATTCCTTGCTGAGACAAAAGTTTCTGTCTCCTGATCGCTTTACCGGTCATTCACTCTGTTGTAGAGAGGAGCTTTGTCGTGGATATTCCTGCGGCTCTGTATCTTGACAAATGTAAAGCCGATGGAGGTTTAAAGATCTATGTCAAAGCGACAGTGAAAGAGAGTGAGCAGAGATTCGCTTCGTATGACACGATTGATTTCCAGAAACCGCACATAAACATGGAGGTATGTTAACTCCCAAATGACTTGAACCGACCCCAAACTCTAAGCAATGAATTTTGTGGCCGTGACCGGGATATTTGGTGCACTGAAAAGTATTTAAAAAGCTTCCTAAATTTGCGGGGACGTCCTTGGGTGAGACACTAACGGTGGTAAACATGGAGACTTCTCCACTCACACTTGTACAGCCCGTCAATCTGTATGACCTTTTTCTATATGCAAGCTTGGATCGAGTTAGGCACCCTTACATATTGTAAAATAGGATGGATTCGAAGCGATCTGTGATCGACTCGTTGCATACCTATTACTGTATACATGTGCGCATGACGTTGTTATTAATATGTTTGGCCAATCATATTGCGTACAAGTATGAAAAAAAAGCAAGATCTGAAAAGTCACATTCAGGAACTGTTTACTGACAAAAGGAAAAAAATAAGAGCAAGATATAAAGGGAATTTCAGTTTGCGGCCATAAAAAGTGCTTTAACTGGTACAATTTCTAATCGACGAGTGTTGCGAGGCAGTGCAGTAATTTTGTCTGTTTCATTTAATTATAACGGACGGCTGATCTTAGCTGTATTCACGGTTTTACCCCCAGGGTTATTAATTTTGAATAGTTAATGCAATTTCAAGATTATCTTATTTTGATATCCTTTCAGATCACTCGGGGCGAGGCCAGGGTAGGCCAAGACTTTGAGGTCAAGGTTTCCTTTGTAAATCCTTTGCCAGTCAGAATCAGTGGAGGAAAATGGTACATTGAGACATCGGGTGCCAACCCAAAATCTAAAGAAATTCCTAATTCGTAAGTATTCTCCGTGAAGTTCACAGCCGTACGAAAGACAATTTGTACTACTCGACACGTTTGAGCCTGTAGCGAGGTGAAGCATATTACCATCCTCTTTGACGAATTTACCATGATAAAAACCTTCCAGGCCTTGAATTCGATGCAATTGCTCTGTCACTGTGGTTGGAGCCTGCTTCTTCCGATCCATTTCCATTAGAGTAGAACGTTTTAAAGACACTCTTTAGCCGACTTTACTTGCCCCGTTGCTTTGCAAAAGCCATCATTCGCTGGCCCAGGTGTCTTTTTCTAGGTGTTTTTCTTGGGATAATTTGAACCCAAGGTTGGTTGTAATCGAATATCTTAAACTCTCTATAGAAATTAAAAGAGAATTGTTAAAGTTAAAAGTAAAACTATTCAGTTTTTTTTCTTTTATTTCAGTGCAATTGTGCCAGAAGGAAAAGAGGCTCAAGCAACTTTCAAACTGACGCCTTACCGCGTGGGAGTGTGCCGGGTATCTGTTACTTTCAGGGCTGACATGCTCAGTGGAGTCTATGGGATGAGTGGTGTACGCGTCAGAGAATAAACAAACCAAAACAAAAGCAAAAAGGGAAAAAAGTTGGGAACTCTACCTTATGATGTGACTCAACAAGCAAACCTGCCGCATAAGCCCGTAGGATGTGAAACATTTGAAAAGCTATTGATGATGTAAAGGGAGTTGAGACAGCTAAGTTTTTTTTATAGAACGATGCAATGTTTAAATTTTGAAAAGGAAAAGTTCAACTTTCAGTTATAGAGGGGGCAATAGGAAGATTAGATTAACAGATCAAATTATAAATGGAGTGGATTGAGAAAATCCGGCGGTAAAAGCCATAAATGTTTATGAATTTATTTCAAAATTTTAAGAAAACAGCTCATGGTTTTTGCACGTTATAGAAGCGTATTCGAACGGAAGTCAAGTATTTCTACACCAGTGTAAATAGGCGAAATAAAGGAATATACACAATTTATTGGGGAAAAAGAAACTGCTCGTGTATTTGTTATTAATATTTGACGCTACCAAAGACGTTGATAAATTGATTAAAGATAATTTAAGGAGCTACGTGGTTATTTTTTTTTCTGGTCTAACGCAAGATTAACTGAAAAGGTTCTCCAGTTGGGGCCGACCCCGTTGAGACTATCTTAATGCAATGCAATTGTCTGATGACTGAAAATCGAGTAGTTAAGATCACAGATTTTATGACCAGTTAAATCGATATGGCGCACTTTATTCGTGACTTTGGCAAAATTTGCAACTACCATGTTTTGTTTTCCAGGGCTAAATTCTTGATTGATCAGCGTCACTTAGTCTCAAAATTCATACCCATTGGTCACGTATCTAAAATAACTGTTTTTGGAATCGCAAAATTATTATTATTATTAGAAGTGAAGCAGGTAAAAAGATTCATAGATAAACAAATAAATAAATAGATATGAGAATAAGTTAATAAAAATAGGCAAGGGAGAAAACGGAGAAAATCTATGCATTGGCTTCTATGGCCAGGGAAGGGGAGGGGCTCAATGATGCTTTGCGTGTGGTTCAGTCTCTACCATTTTCTAATTCACTAAAAGGTAAGTTATACTTTTTATCTACAATCGGTGACAAAATTATTGACACATTGACCTTTACAACCTCCTATTACCTCAGTTATATCTCTTTTGCCCCTGTTAAGTTAACCTTTTCGCCCAATTCCCCCCAAAACAATGTTGCATCGTGATTTCGTGAGCTTTGAGCTATGTACCTGCAACATTCAATGGGGGAGGGGGTGTTTTCAATGATTTAGAGCGTGGTAAAAACAGTGGTCAGTGTTCTACACATACATAAACTGTTCAAACACAATCGGCTGGCTATATAAACAAAGTTAAGCCGTTTTTTAACAAAACCGTGTCCTAAACAAACCTCAGTTTAGCTGGACCCTCTTTCTGAACATTTATTTTTGTGAAAAGCGTCAAGAAGGCAGAAAGCTAACACTGGAAAGACATTTGTTTAACAAAATCAACCCTCTTATGGAGAAAGTCCGAGGACCAGTGATTGCGTAAAACCGCAGTTTGGGTTACACCTTATGCAAACAACCGGCCCAATGTGTCAACTAACTTTGCGCTGATTGTAGATAGCCCTTTATCCTGTTGTTGCAATGAGATGTAGGAAGGAACACGAGACGTAGTCGAGTGTTTCTCCCTACCTCTAAACCCCAGATGTAGTCCCTCCAGGCTCGTTTATAAGTGTGCAAGATTTTTTATCCGTAAAGGCTTTGACAGAATACTTGGTGTACTTAGACAAAAATGACACTGCTTATAGTGAATACTTCGCATGGAAACCAGAAGTCGCCTATGCAGGCATGTTGGGGTTAAAAGATACAGCCTGTAACATATGTGATGCTTTTCACAACGAATACCTTAAATCCCAATTTTATAAAGATATTTCAAGCCTTTTTGGAACAGCGATTTTGATTGCAAAGATAAAGAGAATAGACTTTTAAAACTTATTGAGAGAGAGGAAGAGTTATCAATGTATGTCAAACATACAATTGTTTTCATAGGATAAATGTCAGTATCTGAGCAACTGCGCGCTTACCCCTCCCTTAACCCAACAATAACCCTACCTTACCATCAGTTGACTATTTTTGGGTTAAGAGTGGGGTAGGTGCGCAGTAGCGTTGATACTGACGTTGACCCCAGTGACTTAAGGAAGGAGAGTATGTGCCGTGGTAACGGGTACGAGAAGATTGAAATGCGATGATGGGTGAGTTGAAAAGACAAAGATTAAAACCACGCTTTTGATTATGACATCGCTATGACGTTAAGGCTTTCGCGCATTTAATTTATATCGCAATCGAAAAGTTCTCTGCATATTAATTTCGAGTGAATTTTAAACAACTCTTAATATATTTTTAACTCTTTTCAAACAATTAAAACTTTTCTTGTCTGGGAATTTTGATTTCATTAAAATTCGTTCTTTGGCAGCTACAATAACAAGTGTTTGGGTAAATATTGTTATGTCTATTTTTTCATGATCCCTAAGACTTAGTGCCTAGCATCTAATTCGGAGAATATGTGTATTGATTTTCGCCTGTATAGGGTCATTATTACTTTTGATCTGCTCCAGTGATATCAGCATTTTTGAACATGTTTAAAGTAAAAAATACTGCAAATTGCTTAAGCAGGAAAAAAAATCTTTACAATAAATATTCAAATCTGGTTTACAAGTAACAATTGTACTCTTTGCATCATCAGATTTTTTTGTGTTACCTGTGTTCCTTCTTTTTCGGTCAACGTTTTTTTAAAAGCAATTATTAAGAATTGTGGTTTTTCATTACTTAGTAGTGTAAACAGAGGCTTTACGCGCCATCTACATACATTTAATTTTTACGCCTTACCGGGCGACGGAAGTGTAACCGAGGGTGTGACTAAGAGATTATATCATATGACCTTTACCCACAATGCCTCAGTTTGTAGCCATTCTTCAAAACCATGGCCGATACTGCGAGAAGCAGGTTGGAGGTCATTAAACAACATCTATCCCCTTCGAGATTTCATCTAAAATCACCAGAAAATTCAGAAACGGCCGCAGTGGGGGTTGAAACTGATAGTCTGGTGGTGCCAAACGATGTTTTGACCGAAGAAGAAGTAGATTTCTACAACAAGAATGGCTACCTGGTTGTGCGAAATCTAGTACCCCAAGAGCTACTTGATAAGTATCTCCATCGTTTTCAACAAATTTGTAACGGGGAGGTGCGCGTGCCTAGTATGACTGTAATGAAAGATGTTACATTTGTCAAGTCGAACCGCTTATCTGGCGAGAAAACCATCAATAAACTTCAGAATTTCGAAGATGACGAGGTCCTCTTCAGCTACTGCCAACTACCAGAGATTTTGAAGTACGTGGCATGTTTTACGGGACCTGACATCAAATCGATGCACACTATGCTAATAAACAAACCACCAGATCCTGGGACAATGACCTCACGCCACCCTCTCCATCAGGATTTGCATTACTTTCCCTTCCGTCCAGCCAAACGAATTGTATGTTCCTGGACAGCAATGGAAAGGGTCCATAGGCGGAATGGCTGTCTAATAGTACAACCGGGTACCCAGTACAGCCCGCTTCTGCAGCACTTCTACCCTGAATGGGAGGTAAGAGAAACCCATCATTGTAACATTCTGGGTAGTTATTTGTTGTTGTCTAGGTTAAAGACCACCCAAGAAAAGCACAATGTAGAGCGTCATTATGTTACGTACAGTTATAGCTGATTGTTTACTGCAGCAATGTCCATGAGTTTTATTCGTGACTGTATTGATGAGCTCATTTTGCAATCTCTTTTCCATTGTCCCACAGTGTGTACAAAATTAAATCTTTACGGCATGATTAAGCAGAAAGTTGAAATTTAAAATCTCAACAGAAAATCACAGAAAATGTTCCATGTATGCCAAGTCCCTTTTACATTCACATGGACCAGTGTTTTCAAAGAAGAAAGTGGTATCAATTTCTTATCTCGGACTTCAGAGTTCTCCTTTTCACTAGGTGGTAACCGGTAACATTTACTGCCTGTAGCACCCCTTATTACCGTTTAAAATTGCCTGAAATTCTTGAAATTCAACAGGTAAAAGGATTGCTCTACCAGGTTCAAAATTTATTTCACCTGTCATGCTTAAAATAAGGGAGAACACTGAACTTACAAAAAAAACTATTGATGGGGCAATTTTAATACCAAATTAAGCAATTTTAATACCAAATTAAGCAAGAATTCTAAAAACACTGATGTTTTCTAGGGAGGAGTCAATGTATTGTATCATGGAATAAAAGATTATGATCCCAGCATTCCATTGGTACATTTGGAGATGAATGCAGGGGACACAGTTTTCTTTCATCCTCTTCTTATCCATGGCTCAGGAGCAAACCAAACAAATGGATTCAGGAAGGTATGTTGTTTCTCTTTATACTGTTTACATATTTTGGTAAAAAAGTTTCTAGTGAGGCCCTGAACTAATGTAAAAATGAGAAAAAAAAGGTTAAATCAAGTTTCTGAGCTTTTTCTGATTTACAGCATTATCAAGAATCCCTGAGAATGCCATGGATTGGCAAAAGCTGATAGACTTTCCATATTTAAGGATATGGCAGACCCTTGTGGGTGTCCTTTGTGAAAAAAATTTTGATAGGCTATTTGAAGCATAACCCCCATAAACTATATATCAATGGAAAGGTTATTAAGTACCCTATTTGGTAAAAGCTGTTTTGTTTTAGCTTGATCTAATAGTAAACTGAATGAGGTGTAACAATTTAATATGGAAGACTTTCTTTGAGCAAATCAATTGCATATCAAATCTGACTGCAGAAATAAAACTTCATGCACAATTCCAATCCTGAAGAGTTGGTTTTCAAGACCATATAAGGGTTTTTCAATATTCTGATTGGTTGCTTTACAATTCATCAGTTAAGTTTGCTGATCAAAATTTTACTGTTATGCATTTCTTTAGATGCCACTGAGGGAGATCCATTTTGAAAAATGTAATTCTCCCTGGTGGTTCTTTAGGTTGGTATTGTGGGAGTCTTTGAACCAAATTTCAAAGCATTCCGTCAAGTTAAATACTCTATAAATTTGTTCAGAGAAGCCACATTCACCCTGAAACAGATTTCACATCTTTGGGTGACCACATGTCAAGTTATGTCAACACTCTGAAAACTACTGCATATTTTGACATGGAAAATAATTTAAAAATATTGGCCCTGAATGTCATCAATATCCTTAACTTGTTTTTGATTTTTGTAGTAGTTTAATTGAGGCCTCACTGGAAACTATTTTACCATTTTGAAATACAAGTTGCACTACTGAAGGACAACATCATACAATCACTTATACATTTTTGTTTGCAATTTTTGTTTATTTATTTGTTAGAGAATATTAGAGTTAACCCTTTCACTAGCAGGAGTGATCAAAACTTGATTTTTCCTTAGATTACCATTAGATTTTAAGCAGAAAGGCGATGAGAAGTATCACCAAAGTTCTCTGTGTTTGAAATGATAAGAAATGTATGGAAAACAGTGTTGAGAATAGATATTCAGATCTGGGGGGTGGAAGGATCAACTGTTAGGGTTAAAGTTAAATGTTATCCATTGTTAAGCTCATCAAGATAGCATCATGAATCCCACTTTTTTTAAAGGTTGAGATGTTTAGTGTCATACATGTAACTTTGTTGGGACATTGTATTGTGTTTTTGGGTAGGGCATCTTCATCCCAAAGTGCTCCCCTCCACTCTGGAGTATAAATGGGTACTGATGAACTGTCAGGAAGATCTGAAAAAATCCTGGATAGAGATGGGTGATGTTGCAGGGGACTGGTTTCCCATCCAGGGAGAGAAGCAATATTGCTAATCACTTCATGATAAAGAAATTGGGACTAGCTCTGACTAGATGGACCACTTAGCCATCATTTGCACAAGAATATCAACTATATGTTTCTCCTCTTTACAAAATTGGTATTGGCCATAGTTTTGAATATCTTTCCTCCTATGGAGGACACGACTTAGTTATCAGTAATTGATGTTACCCTTGTTAAATAAAGTTTATTTTTATTATTATTATTATTAAGAGTACAGACTTAACTTTCACTTTTTAAATTTTTATTTAAGGCTATATCAGGGCACTTTGCCAGCTCACACTGCTATTATATTGATGTCAAGGGAACAATTCAAGAGGGCATCGAGGCTGAATCCTTAGAAATTGTACATAAGAAGTTTGGTGCAGATTTTGATTTGTCTTTTCAGGTATGAGAGAAAATATTTAATGTCTTGTTTATTATTATTTTTATGGTACTCTGGGTCAGATGTCACCACAATGATCTCAAAAATAGTGTAATTAATATCATAATTAATTCTTTTTTCTCTCAGGACATTTGGAGGTTGAAAAGTCGCCTAGTACAAGGCAATGAGGGAACCCTGTGACATGTGTTAAACTCCATTGGTGTTGCTGGGTTACATTTCTTAGTGTGCACACTGTAAGGCCCTTGGGCTATTACTTTGCACCACTGGTATGCAATGTGCATGCAATGCATATGCAATGCACTGTTCAAGGCATGAAGTGAATAATGATCAGGACAAATCAATCCAACAGCCATGGTTGCAACCATTGTAGAGATACTGGTCGAGGGAAATGAGTATTTTCTGAATGATCAAAGGGGAGAAAAAGTCAGATTTAGACAGAATCACTTTAGTATCTTTTCTCAAATTTACTTTTGATGAAAATGGCATTGAATAAGAATGTCTGAAAAAATGTTGACATACCTTGCAGGCTGGTATTGTAGAAATCAAATCTTTAACCCTTTAACCCCTTAGTGTGTCTGGCTTCTAATTTCTCCTTAGATTATCATCCTTGAATCAAATGTAAAGGTCATGAGAGTAAAGGAAATGATCACTGATTTAAGAAGCTCTTGATTGTTAAACAAGTTCTCCTCGTCAGTATTATAGGAAGACTGAATGGAGGGGGAGAGGGGGGGCTCAGAGCAAATTTAGTAATTGGTTGGGCAGAAGTGAGGAGAAGACGAGATGATTTCCTTTCTCAAGTTAAATTTGGTCAAGGGGAGGAACAGTGGTACGTTTTCGCATTTTATTTCTTAGTAAACTTAGGGTTTAACCTGGGCAGTTACACTGTGGAAAACTTACTATATCATTCACTGACTTGTGGTAATGCAATAATTCAAATAAAAGTGGGCTATGAACAGGGATGTCTCCAGAGGAATACCTTTTATTGGGATTAAGATGATGCGAGCTGCTGACGTAGAAGAGAGACCTACAATTGGAGAGGCATATGTTAAAGACAATTTATTTTTTATTTTTTTGCGATAAATTTTTGTTTGTCCCAAGCTCATCACGAGACGAATTACTCTTCCAATACTCAGCGCAAATTTAGCATCTTTCGTATTCCAAACACTAATAACTAAGGGAAATGTTCAATTTCCAAGCGGTAATTGATTTAAAGATTGCATGTAATACTGGTAAAATCCACAAGGACCCAGAAACAACGTCTGTTCGGAGTATTAACCGTTTTAAAGGATGATGGAAGAAAATCAATCGGAAGGTGATTAAAAAAGGAAAAGATATAAGAAAAGGGCTTTTGTAGGCAGAATTTATCGTTCAAATTTATTAAGTGTCACATCAAGTTGAAAAAGGCTTCACAAATCATAAATCATTCAGTATATCCAAAATACATAATTCACATTTTGAGGATAATTGATTAATTCGTTTGCAATCATCATGTTCAACACCGTTGTCTCCAATCTTTACTTCTTCCTTGCATCTGTAAGTGGTTTAAAAAAAAACCAACAAAGAGATGATAAGCAAGAAATTCATGATTTAGGAATCCTTTCCATGTTAACATCAAGATCTGCTTTGCTTGTGTCGGTTTATGTACATTTGTTCAGGAGGTAATCTGGGGTGTTCGTGCTTACTACCAGCAAAATTGTGCGTCGAGAATTACTACAATGATCTTTTCGGTTTGATCTCTTAAATTTAATTAAGTATCGGATTGTAAACAAGCTCATTTGGTCTTAAAACTGTTTCCCGGCTGAACTCTCCAATGCTAATTATCGTAGTTCTCTGAACGGGTCAACCTCTAGAATTAAACAACATCTCGGACTTAGCTACCGAAGCAAATATGAGGTCGCATGCTATCTTTTCTTCAATGCAAAATTGCATTCAATTTGAAAGATTCGACTTAAGTGAGAAAGGAAAAGTGACTTTCTATCTTCTAATTTCAGGCCCTTGATGGAATACCATTAAAATGGAAAGAACCAAAATAAGAAAGTTTGGTTAGAGAGCATTAAGATAAATTATATCTATCAAAAAACACTTTTAATGACGAACTGACCTACAGCTGGATTTTCTGAGTCTCTTGTGAATTCAGGGACATCTTCGGCTCCAGAGGCTAGTTTCAGCTCCTCATCAAAAGCTGCTAATTGGTCTTCATCCATTTCTGTGGCCTCTTGTACTCTCTGCGCTTGGGAGGCAATCACGAAAGCTATCAAAAAGCAGAACACAACAAAGGTCCTCATGTCTGTAGCTCTTCGCTAGTTTCTTGTCAACCTTTGCTGCCCGATTCGCGCGGATAAAATTTGCTAGTAATGAATAAGGCTTCCTTTCTCTTCTTTTATACTCAAGCACTCAAATTAAATTGTTTTTTATTATTAACAGAAAGGACACTTGTCATATGTTCACTCCTTAGAATTGTCCTTAATTAAAATTGGTCCTCTAACTGGCTTAGTTGATTTAAAAACAGCTGTGGAATGAGATCAATTTATACAGCTGCACGCAAAATAAGTTGAAAGAGAAGGTCTTTTGAGTTTCGTGAAGGTTTCGTCGTCATTAGAGTTTGACGGAGATTTCGAAACACATGGCAAAGTTACAAGTTTTGGAGGTTTCCGACTCTGCTCGTTGGAACAAACCTATTCTGGCCAGGTTATAACGCGGTCCATTTTAGTTATATCCCAACACATAAACAGTCGGAATAGTAAGAATAAATAGTAACCATCTTTGTTAAATTAAATAGATATCTGTGTATATCTTCTAATATTGCTAAAAAATTTCTCAGATTTCCAAAATTAAAAAAAAATCGTATTTAAATTGAAATTCTGCCTGCTTTCTATCACAGTTTTGAGGGCTATTTCGAAATTGTTCTCCTTAGATCTAATCTAATCCCATTCATTTGTTGGTTTGTTAACTGTTACCTCTCTCTTTTTTTATTCCATATTGCCATCTGCATTCATTGCTCTTATACTAAAAAGTGTTTTTCAAATGTTTGATCAGCAATTATTTGCCGGCAGAAAACGAATAAAGCCTTCTCAATGTCGATTGTGTGTTTTCAATACAACAAATAAAGCGTTTTGGAACGTATTAGTTCAAGTTAAATTTAATTCAAGTCAAAAACCGAGTTTAATTTTGGATAATTACGGTGATTGCTTTTTAAAAGGGTGGATACACCTTAATTAATACATAACAGAAGATACCATCTTTACACTTTATATAGGTTTTACTGCCATGAAAAGAATTTCCTCTGAATCCATTCTCGCGTTATTCCTGAACGGAATTGTTCAGTACTTAGGTTTCGGCCTGGTACTGCTACTGAGACTCCATAGGGTAGGCTAACGCATGGATACCGCTGGTACTGTCATTTTGTAGTGAAAAGGAACGTTTGATTCATTGGTCTTTTAACTCAATCAAACATCACAGATACCATCACCAGTGGCCTCGTTGATTAACAAGCTTTAATGATTCAAAGAGAACTTTTCGTTTTTTTGTTCACAAGTTTGTTTTGTTTAAAGAAGTTTATGAGATTTGGCAACCCTCATAAATCAGACATTTAATTTAATAAAAGGTCTATTTGATAACAAAATGAATGAAATTAACAATTAAAAAAAAAAAATTCTAATTCCTTTATCTGCATGAAAAAAAACAAAACGCTTTGTAAAAGATGACGCGATGCAACAGGGCCTACGTAAAGAAAACTTAAGTGAATTAGAAGATTTTTAACAAGCCTTTGCGCCCCTCGATCTCCCATGGGTTTTTACGGGTTAGGTGTGAAATGGAAGGTATCACAAGTAGAAGAAAAAAACGGTTTTCTGTCCTTGGACATTGGTCGACCTTATAACGAAAAGGGAACAATATTTATTATTGAATAAGTTTCTTTGGGTGTTAATTTAACAATTTAGCGAAATTGATTTTCTGCCAACTAATTGGAGTAAATAAAGACCCGAAGGTGGATGTCAATGTTTAGTTTTAACCGAGACGAGTTCAAACAAAAACCGAGAATATTAAAGAAAAGCGTTATATGAGTCTAGTTGGTTGGGAAATAACGTAATTCTTGCCACGTTTCATTTGACTCTTGTAAAGTGGCATTACTAGATGGGAATGAGAGGAAAAGACTTGGTATAAAAGTCTAATTTACATTTTTCTTCGACATTGAAAAGATAACCAGATTTGTACAGAAAAGTGAGCCAAGTTTTATACTGTACTAGATTCATTTACTATTATCCCAGGGGTAGCGCTAATCGGTCTTCGAACAATTGGGCATAGATCTCAAACCCGGACACTTCTACCTGGGGTCCAGCGCATTAACTAGCAAGCGGCCAACGTGTCTTCCAGTTGGAGTTAAGAAACTGCCCTTTGTATGGTGGAATAACCAGACATTAACCGAGACAGATTTATAACCAACAAAAATTTATTTTAGGTTTAATGGAACTCCTAAAGTAGCCAGAAAAACTTGTGGATTCCGTCTATTTAGATAGTATTTGAACAGCTCTTTCCCTTATCTGTCTCAATCGACATGACTGTCTCTAACAGACTAAAGAAAATTTGGTTAGTTGTTGAAACAATTACGAATAACGTTTCTTGTCGGGACGAAATTGCATATGTTAAAGAAGAGAAAAAAAAGAAATAAAAACGCGACTACTCTCAATCACTCGCTCATCCTGAGAGCCGTTGAGAAGTCCACCTTAAAAATTACGAAATAATGGTAAAGTGTTTCACCTGGTTGAAATATTTTGCATGTACTGCTTATAAAAAGTTCATCATTTCTGTGTGAAAATCCTTTGTTGAATCAGGAAATATCAAACTCTCTGAAAGTTTACGTTGGCATGGGTAGACTTGGTTGACTTCCAAAACAAATTAATCAGAGCGTTTTAACCCGCTAAACCGACAAAGCAACTGGTAGAGCTGCACTTGACTTCCACCGCACAGTAACTAAGGAGCACGAGGAAATCCCACAACTCCATGCACGCCGACCAAGAAGAGGCACCTTGCGACGACACAGAACCTCACTTTTCTTTCCAATTTCCTGCACATCAAGAAAAACCCCTCACGTAAATGAGTGATGTGGAAAGCTAAACTTAAGAGCAAAAGGATGTTTTCTTCATGCAAAACAACTTTCCCTGAACTAATATACAGGTAGATATTTAACGCCTAAAAAGGACGGCTACCAATCATTTCTGAGAAGTTAAACGGTTCAAAAGGGTGTGCTCTGTTTGTCTTTGTGCCACGTGCAGGCAACGAGCCATGAAGACGAAGAAGAATTTTGATTATTCGATTGATATAAATATTTAAATGTAGAATTTCTAAACTTCAAAACAATTTAGAAAAATGGGAATTGAATTGATAAATGCTGAGAAGAAATTCAATTTTAAAGAGCGTAGCTCTCTCCACTTGAAAACCAATCAATAAATATAATTGACCTCTAATTCCCCGTCGATAAAACACAATTTGAAACGTTTTAAATACAAAGAATTGAGATTCAAAATGTATAAAAAAAATACTCAAATTACAAATTGGAACAATTAAATTATTAAAATATATCGACATAAACAGTTAAATTTCAAATTTTGTGAGCAGTCTCTTGCATTATCACATTTCTTTCCTCTCCTGCCTTGTCGTATTTACACACAAGTCAGTTATTCCGCTTTGAGGATTTTGTTGTTTTTGTGCTTGATGTGTTGCAAGCTGGAACCAGAGCTAGAGGGAGCCTGAAGGGTTACTCCAAGCAGTGGAAGCACAATCTTGGTTAAAAGTATTTTGAGAATGAAGATAACGAGCCTGAAAGAATAATGGTAAAAAAGTATATTACGTACTTGGTTGTCACAGGTGGGAGACAAAAAAATGTTTGATTCCCCTTGAAGAATCGAGCTTCAGGCCTTTGGATTTCGCGCTTCGTGGCTCTAGCCCGAGCTAAAGAGAACTCTATTGAGAGTTTCGCCATTAACGAGAAGAATGACTATGGCTCTAGATCTGATTTGGCACTTGCCAGCTAAGTGTGGAAACTACTCGAAAGTTGGGTAGAGACGTTCAGCACATTCATAAACTCTTGTGAATTATTGGCCAGTTTATGCCAACACGGGACCTATCTCCAACTTTAGCAGTTACTTTTGAGAATTTTCGTTGCCGTTCGCACTTTCGATTGGGTATCGCTCCATTTATCTCTCGTATCCCTCAATATCCAACGCAAAGCTAAGAGGCCTTGAGGTCTGTTCTCGATCCTAACTAATTGCCGGCTCACATTCCGGTTTCTGTAGCATGAAGTGACTAGCAGTTCTGCAAGCCCAAGGATGAGACGCGAACCCATCGCAAACTCCCCCCTCCCCTCCCCTCCCCGCTTCTAAAGGTTCGTCACGTTTTCTTGATAGTTGGCCCGGTGGTATTCATTTATTCTCCCGGGTGAAGAAAGCTTCCTAACTCCTGATTAACACAACACAGTGATCTTGCCAAGGCTCAGACTCAGACCTTTAAACCAGTATTCTGGCGCGCGAAACATTAGGTTAGAGTCTCCCTTGACAGCCAGAGTTAGATTCTCCCTGATTTTTCAACCCTCCTTACCCTTGTTGTCACGATCTCTAACCTTTTCATCCCCCGGCAAGGTGACTCCTCTCGAGAGACCTTAGATGAACCCCTTAAGACTGAAGGTTCCGAAAAAGTGGCTTTCACCACTACTTTTTATCATTACTATGTGTAGCAGTTACCTACATCATTAAAGAGAGTCATTCACAACTGCACTGCATAAGTCTCAAAAACGATACCTTGAGAGTCCCGCAAAGATAATCGTGAGTATACAAATGGCTATTGCGTAAAATAAATTTTTCTTGATAACTGGAGGGTCTTCTAATTTCTGTGGACAGTGGCTAGCATCTCTCACCTGTAATAGGAAGAAGAAGAAAAATAACCTCCCTTTCAAAGTTGCATGAATTTTAACAATAAACAGAAGAAAGGAGAGATGGTAAACTTTGAGCTCCGCCGTCGCATAATGACAGATTTCAGCGAAAATTCGAAGGTTTGAAGTTCAATTGCTCGTTAGGGATGATGATGTTGCTAAGAACTGCCGTGACTTCGATCATCGCCTCGCTCTCCTTTTGCAGCTATGAACACGAAGCCCATAGTTAAAAACGAAGAAGAATAAATAGCTGGTGAATGAATGAATGAATCAATAAAAAGATGTAAATAACGAAAAAAAGCTAGACCAACAAATAACCAAGGATATCATCAGACAGTAAACTAATTGAAGCATGTAAATCAGTGCCTACCCTCTCTAAATGACCTAAAGATACAGTTTGCTTGAGATAGCTTCCAGTTTCTCCACGTACTTCTACTGTAACAGAGATCTGAAAAAGACGAGAGAAAACGTTTTGCGGGTTCTGCTGTTAACCAGTCATCGTTCGAGACCTTCTGCTGGTACGGACTAAACGGGGCCACGAAAAAACAATTTTGTTTCTCTCCTTCCCTGTCTACGTAAGCAAGATCACAAACACTGTTATCTAAATTTCTTCCGCAGCAAAAATAACGAATGTAATTATAAATCAACAAAAAACTATTCCATATCATAGTTTGAATGTATTGCTCACGGTTGTGATAGTATTGGTTCCATTGTATAGAGATGAAAGTCAGGCCACAATACACTCGAGGATTCAGTCAGTAGTTTGTTATGAAAAATGGAATACTGTTCAAATTTCTTAGGCAACAAGAGTTATCCATAATAGTAAATGTCATCATGAAGGCACCATTTATGATTTTTTTCGTTTGCTTAGGGCTACAGCTGTTTTAGGCTCAATAAAACTCGTAAAGGACTGTCACTGAATCACAGCACCACACATTACTTACTGGTTGATCGTTCCAGTGGACGGTTATTAAACCGTAATTTAGTTCAGTTATAAACGGATGGGTACGTTTAGAGGATGTTAAAACGTTCCTATAGGAAAAAAAGGAATAAAAATAACGAAATTATTCTACAGACAAACAAAACTGGACTTGAATTAACCTCACTGACTTCGCAAGCTCGCGACAGAAACTAAAGTATAGTTTTACACTATTGTAAAGTAAATTCTATTTCATTTTCAAGCCACGTACCTGGAAGAAATTTTTACCTTTGTTCAAAACATAAATTTTAAACTGAGTACTCAAACGTTACATGCAACCCACCCTAACTATAACTGTATTTTCAACCAAAAGAGAAAAAGGGAAAAGACAGCTTTGTAGCCGAAACTACAAACAACCTGCAGATGGGATGATCTTTAAAACGCCACAATTTGCTTAGGAAAAAGTTCCGAAACCGTATTAGCAACGAATAAATTAAGTGTTCACGACTTTTATTATTTTGTCTTGAAAAGTGGGGAGCGAGAATCTTAAACATACAGGTAATTTTTTTAAAAAAAGCTTAATGACAGATGGTATTGACATGAAAATTTTCCGTTCATGAGATATGTTCATTATGTTTTACTCTAATTTGGTTAGACATTAAAATGTCTTACGTTAGCTTATCCAGTTTTATTCAACTAGATCCGCCCAAAATCTATATCAATAGGAAATCCTCTATTTCAACACCGCATTTCCATGTGTAATATATTTTCTGGGCCGAGAATTACTCTTTTGGGGAAACTTAATTACCCATCCCGGTCATTCCGTGTTACACACAAAGAAAAGGATAAAGTTAGGAAAACGGTAATGCAAGAAAAGAAAAATAACATTTGCGTTGGCCGGGAATCGAACCCGGGTCAACTGCTTGGAAGGCAGCTATGCTCACCACTATACCACCAACGCCACCATGAGGAATTAATGAAAAATGAAGATACAAATTGTTCGTGGCAGGTACTAAATAAGACCGTTAAGAGCCTAAATCATAAAAATTAACCGTCACTTGAACAGGTTACAAGCTTTAGTTAGCTCTTTGAGATAGAAATAAGCAGTATAAACTTGGGTCTTTTTTGAAATAGCTGTATCGAGATTCAAACAATGAACGTTTGTCTTGAAACAAATTTGTATTTCGTGACTCCCCGAACACATGAGACATCGTCTGGTATCAAATCTCGACAAGAAAAGGACTTCATTGTACTTTCTGATATCAGTCGGTACAAATGTTCCCTTGTTCAACCTTCAACGAGTCTTTGAACTGGCGCATGATGATCAACTCTCTATTTCAAGAATTCGACGATTATTAACTCATCTTGGCAGTCGCGTATTACAATTGCAAAATTCTCCAATTCTTGCTTGTTAGTAAAACCAACAAACAGCGGGGTTTCTTTGGTTTAAAGCATGAGGTCATCAAGGGCTCATAGGAGGATTATAAAGACCGCAAAATCCCAGTGTTTTTAGGATTGCGAGGAAGTGTCACACGAAACAAGTTCTGTTGATTCTCGACTTCTCCTGATTATTCCATCCATATTTAGAGCCTATTAAGTGCAATAAGTCAGACAAAGAGAGGGGGAATTCAAAATACCCTTTTCAGCGATTTCAACGTTTAGATGGGTCTAAAGCAGGAATATAATTTTCATTTACAAATTTATTCGCTTAAAACCGGCGGGAATTTTATGTTAATTGGAGATGCTGACGTAAGGGTCGGAAAAATAAAAAGTTGCCTAATATACTCACTCTAAAAGCCAGCGGCACGTGGCTTTCGACATCCAAGATACACAAGTGGCTGTGAGTCCGCTGGAAGTAACCTCATAGAGAGGATAGCCTGAAAGGGAAAAATGCAATGATCAGATAGAGATATGTCTTATGAAGGGTGTTTATTTTAAAATGATCAAAATTTTCTTTGAACTTATGTCTATTCATTAAAAAGCTCCAGATGCTGAAAGTGTATAAAAAACCTCTAATTGTAAGCAGTTTTCACCTTTTAACCAGGAGAATATAAGAAACTATGAATGTACTATGCTGAATCATCAAATTAATAGAGTCACAGTTCCTTTTCATCGCTTGCTTTTTTGAAAAATGTTCGGAGCACCTGACATCTGATGGCAACAAGTAACCTTAACAAGGATATTACTTTGTTTTCACGAATTAGAAAGATACAGTTATCGTTCTTGCGAAACAGTTGGCTTTTCGTTGGAAAAACGGATTGAAAGCAGACTTTTTATCTTACCCGTGCTTGTGCTATTGAGACAAGAAAATTCTCCAAAGTGGACATCTCCACTAATGAGAATCACCTGCAATAAGAACGAGGATCAGAAGACTGAGATTCCAAGATAAATTAATAAAACACAAGAGGAAAATACCTCAAGAAAGAAAAAATGGTATGGTCTACAAAAGATAGTGATCTACGTCAAGCTATTTAAGGATTGAGGATTGTTGAAAATTGCCGCTTATTATAGAGAAACTTTTGCATACACTGTAATTGTTTGCCACCATTTCTGTTGTGCTTTAGAATCCTGTAATGAGCTGAAGCTGAGCGCTAAATGAATGAGCTCTCTTTGTCACTGCTCAGATATATTCACTGCTGCATTGGACAAATACAACTTCGGCACAGAAATCATGGCCCACACCAAGTTCAACTCGAGCCGCAAAACTCTTAAAACAAGCGGGCAGTAGCGTTCGCAGTTATTTCATAATGAACTTCAATGGCCACATGTGTTTCATGTTGTTTCACTCGTGTTGTGAACCAACTGCAGTACATCACTGTATAAACACTGTCCCTCATTGATAAAGAAGTCCCTGAACACTTACGAAAACTTTTTTTTTTTCAAGCTAAAGATTCCTACCCTTGGATTCCTTTGTACAAGCCAAATCAAACGATCATAGCTTGACGGGCAACCGGTCCATCTGTCTGTATAAGGAACGTCAGAAATAACCTGTACAAGAGAGTTACATGAAAAATCATTGAGGGCAATGGAGGCAGTGTGGCAGTCAGTGAGTTAGGGCGCTGGGCTAGTAATCTGGTCGTCCTGAGTTCAAGCCTTCCATCCTGATTCTCACTGCATTTGTCCTCAGTTGCCCCCAGTGCAACTCCTTGACTGCACTTTTTATATATAGCCAACTGATCTGTCTCCTTCCAGTTGGGATTTTTAAATACCATATTTTTCTCTACCATAAATTAGCTATATGTTCTTAGCTACTCTGGAAATTTGACATAAAATATGGTCCTGGTAACTTTGCTTTTGTTGTTGTTCTTTTTGGTGCAAGGTGGGACAAATAAGGACAAAACCTTGTGTCCTTTCTGCTGCTTTGTAAACAAAAAATTTGTAGTGACTTTGAGTAAATGATGGTGGCTTTGGTAATATTAAATAATCATTTAATTAACTAAGAAATAAATATCAGAAATTCAGCAGTTTTTTTCACCTGTATTCCACTGCCAATGATAGTAAGTCCAGCTGGGTTTGGATCACTAAGTTGGGTCTCCAGCCATGACCACTGCTCTGCTCCTAAAATATCACACTCTGGGCCCCATTTAAGATGTGAACGAGTGTCAAGAAGAATAAGCTAAAAACAAATAAATTGCATATAAATTGTACATGTATTTTTCAGTCCTCAAGGACCAAAAGAAATACACAGCCTGTCAGGATGTGCACCTCAAAAACTTAACCTCTATCCCCTCACAGTGGACAACATGTTTGAACTTGGGTTTAATTTGATGGCAGAGTTTCAGAGCATGAAAAAGGAGATTTTGCTTTTTCTTTTGTAATTTATTCATATTTAATTTATTCCCATTATCAATTTATTCGTTAATTCACATAAAAAATAAAGTTCAAAGAGTTAAACTTGGCTCATTTAAATTTCAAGATTTTACAAAAAGGTGGACAAACTCCCTTTTATGGTAATCAACCTTTTAAAGAAAGTGTAAGAGCTATCTCCCCCAAATGAAAAACTGGACTTTGTCCGATTTTAGAACTTTGAGTTGCAATCAGATTGCATTCCCAATTTTCTGTAGAGATTTAAGCTTTTTTCATGTTAAAGGTTATCTTTATTTTCAAGAAAAAAAAATTTTATCATTTTATTATCAACATGCATTACTGCTGCTGAGTTGCACCCTGGCATCAAACTCACTTCTAATTGTTAATGAAACAGTTTGTAATCAAATTTCTAAACAAAGACATGTCACTCTGTTAAAAATGGCTTTAATGGGTACCATAAGAAGGTTATTCTAACCTTGATGCTCTTATCTCCAGTACCAAAGCTGTATGATACATAAGTGCCTTCTCGCCTGCGTCGTATGCTTTCAGCAGGCTCATCTAGAAAATCTAAATAAACACCTTGTGCTTGAAGACGATCTTTGTAATGCTGAAAAGATAAATCATAATTAATTCATTAACAATTTCTTTGCTTGCCAGACACTCCTCTGTGTAAAAGGTTAAGTTGAACCATACTGCCATTTTATTCTGCTTTTCAAAGCATTCATTGACTGGGAGTATTACCATTTCCTCATTCCTTTTATACATGTATATCTGTTTTAAAAACCAAACATGCAAATAAAATGTAATGATAAATAACCAACCTTTCCTCCATTGTTCATTCCATAGTCATGGTCATCCCACACACCCAAAACCTTAATACCACTTCTAAGGAATTCCTATAAAGTTATTTATCAATAAACAACATTAACCCCTTACATCCTATTATCAATATGCATATTTTCCGTGTTGTTCTTTATACATTTCCTAAGGTGCTGACAAAGAGAATTTGTTTAACAATCAACAGCTTCTTTGTTTGGTGATGAATGTGGAACTCAGGAGAGATATTGTAAGGAGAACCTAGATGCTAGTCACTTTTAACCCTTTCACTCCCAAGATCTAATTAGTAATTCTCCTTACTATCTGCCATATGATTCTTGTGACGTTAGTGCAGAGAATTTGGTATTAGATCAACTAATAATCCCATAATTGATATTCTTCTCTATTCTCATCACCTACCTGCTTGATATTGTATAGATATTGTAAGGAGAAATTCTGTCTTGGTCACTTGTGGGAGTGAAAGTGTTAAAGGTCAAAGGGTGTTTAAATTCTAGATACTATAAGCATACTATTGATCATGACAGCTTTTGGCTACATATGTTGTTCACTAGAAACAACAGCAATACAATATCCAACTACACATATCAAGAAGACAAAAATGCATGTGTCACACCTGATATTCTGACGAGAACTTTAAGTAATTAAATTTTTCCACCATTTCACTGAGAGGAGACGGAGTCCACAGAAGTGGTGCTACTTTGGTATCAGCATACACAGCTACAAAAACAAACACAATTAAATATTAATTTAATTAATTTCAAATTGAAGAAGCTTCAATATGATTCTAGCAAATTGCTTGTAATGTACATTATGTAACATGATCTCATTTTTCACTATCTATAATTTAAATATCTAAAAAGGTATGTTAAATTATGTTCTCTAAATGTGTTATTCACCTTGTGAATATTGAATTGAAGTGAAAGTTGCTGAATCCTCTTTTTTACATTTTAACCCTTAAACTCCCAGAAGTGACCAACATTTAACTTCTCCCTATAATATGCATACATTTTTCAGCAAACAGACTATAGGAATACTCAAACTTATCAGGTAGAAGTTGTCATCTTGATCTAACACAAAATTCTCATTATTAAAGAGGAGAGTTAAAATCCGATCTTGGGAGTTAACGTTTTAAAGTATTTCAAAGCAGCCTTCCCCAAAGGTGGTGTGTGTTTGAGGATAATAATCATTTAAAATTGTCCCAGATCATTAATCATTGATGAATATTACAAAAATATATATATGTTCCAAGTTCTGAGTTATTATTTTTTTTGCAGTGATGGAGTGATTTGACTTGTGCTGTGCATTTACATGGAGTGGATTAGACTTGTTATTACTATTATTATTATTATTATTATTATTATTATTATTATTATTATTATTATTATTTTCAAATAATTGTTTTGAAGTCCTACATACCGTCTCCAAGCCAAACCCATACATCTGGTTGTTGACTCGATATATGTTTCCAAAGTGGTTGAGGCTTCTTGGGGAAACTGAAATGTACAGCATACAATAATAATGCAATTAGAAAGATTAAAAAAACACACACGCACAAATACGTTCCTGAGGTATAAAAGAATCAATGTATTATTGCCCGAGTTGAATACATGATGAAGACACTTCCCTAGTGTAGATTTCTGACGCTCATCATGTACACCTTTTTCATTGTAGCAAGAAAATTGCTTATACTTCTAGCCATTTTAAATACACTTCCGATGTAGTATAGTACAAATATGACTTCGCTGAACAGAAGAATCGCTAAATAGGCGAAAATATTGAGGGAAAAGTAGCAAAGCGGTGACGCCATTTTATACGTTCTTGCCCTTTACCTGCAACTTCCGAACGCGATGCGATTAATTGTTGTTTCATCGTAGAAATCTGCCACTATACTATCTTCGCCACTAGAATTTACAAGAGGAAAATATCTTGCACTGGCAATAATTAACAACGAAACTATAACTTTAAGTAACTTTCTCTTAGACATTGTCATCTGACTGTCACTTCCATTAACACTTCCGCCGGTTTATTTTTGGTCAGCTGTGTTCGCTCAAAAGAAATTGTCTTCGTTTCATTATCGGTCCTCTCCGTAGCGTGCTCGTAGATGCCTCTCAAAAGCCGACGAGTGGGTGTTTATTAGAGAATGCATGTCAAATAGTTCAGCGAACAATTTCCTTCGAAAGGTGCAGTATTTTGGTGCATTATTCATTGCCTAAACTGCTTCATTTGTTAAGTTTAGTAGTTGACGGTCATTGACAGAAGCTCCTTTCTTCTTCGGAAGGAACGGAAGATCTTCGGATAAATTTGACTTCCGGCACTATCCTGACGTCATACCAACTCCAAATATAGTATTACCCGTGAAAAAGTTCTTTCCTTTTACCTCTGAATTGTGGCGAGTATATTAGATTCTTAGTTACAAAATAAAATGGCTCAGACCTTACAGATGAATCGGGGAATAGTCAAACAGGTAGTATAGCCGTAGACATCTCTATCTAGTTATTTAAAACTATTGATTTGAAATAGTGCACGGATTTTCGAATGCCACGTTTTACATTTATAAACCTCGACCAGTGACTCGAAATCATGAAAGTGATTTTCTACTAACAATTATTTTTAATTTTATCGAAGGTTCTTTCAGGTGATAGCGTGGTGATACGCGGACAGCCTCGAGGAGGACCTCCTCCTGAAAGACAGCTATGCTTGTCGAACGTGAACGCACCAAAATTAGCGAGGAGATCGAACCCCAACGTTGAAGCCAGTGTCGAGACAAGAGACGAGGTTTGCGTGTTTCTTACGTTACTGCATTCTTCCGCGATGCCCTCGTTTTCAGAGGTTTCATGTGCGTTCTAAGCTATTTTTTCCTAGTCTTAAGCTTTCTTCATCAATAGGACGGTTTTATTTCTAAATATTGTATACAAGTGAGCAAGATTTCCTATTATAATGTGTCTTTTGAAATGGTAAAAAAAAATTATCGTGTTTTGTTCATTTCGTTATGAATGACTCAAGATTGTGGCCAATGGCATTAGGTTACGTGCCGTGGTTAAGTTCCGTTGGCTCATGAAATATCGGCCGTGTTTCATATTACAAATACACTCAGAAATCACGCTACTTGTAGTGTTCATTATTGAAGAGAAGTTTCGTGTAATTTTTCGTTGAATATTAAATTGGGTGAAGAATGTAAGACCTCTTCCCTATCGATCCCCACGTGAGGATTGATTATAATTCAAATTCACCTAAATGATCATTTATTCCCCCACTTTAAAGAATATCTACTTAAATGAAATTAAAATTGGTTTTAAAGAAGACGATTAAGTGAAAATATTTGTTGAAAAAGCATCTTTTGTACAATCTGTTGACCCTAGTAAATAACTGTTACAGGGAGAATCTTCAAGATCTTGTATCAGCGTTTCTTTACAGTAACTTATTAGGAATTGATTGATTATAGTTTTACAAGCTTTGTTCATTGCATTATATAAACATAAGTTGCCAATTAAGAAAGGAATCCAGCTTAATCACCACCCTTTTGATAATGCCCCTGGCCACTGTAAAGCATGTGTACAAATGTATTTTGCAAGTTCATATTTTGCAAATTTGACAGATTTTCTTTGATCTGTAAAAACATGATTCTGGTGATTGAACTGAGTGGAGTGCAATTTGGGCTGAAATCATACACGTGATTTCAAAATTGGATTAGTGCGCAGCACGAGTTCAATTTGAAATCACAAGTATGATTTCAGACCAAAATTGCACAACACGAGGTTCAATTACCACTTTATTACATCCATTTTGAAATCGCCCAAATACAGGACTTGGTCAGTTCAAATATTTTATAACTACAATACTGAGCCAGTTTGAAATTAAATTCACCCATTTTTTGGGAGAAAAAAATAAGAGTTTTGGAAACAAAAGTTGCAAAATTTGCCACATGATCCTTCATGTCTTTCATCTTCCTGCAATTTGATCGGTTACGTTAAACAAGCCTTGAAATCTGATTGGTTGTTTTGTTTTTAGTGTAGCCTCCTTGTTGGCTGGAAAAAAGATGCGATTTAAAGCAAAAAATGGTGCAATTCGTGAATAAATTGCACCAATTAGAGCCAATCAGATTACAGGGACCACCAGTGATTTCAAAATGGGTGTAATTAAAACATTAACAGAATAGGGGGTGAAAAAATTTTACCACCTTTAGCTAACTGAAAAAGACATAAAATTTCTATCTCTACACCCTAAGCAGACCAGTATTCATGTTTTCCATACTCTTCACTATACATTCAACTTGGTACTAAATTGGTGGGGAATTATTTTATCAATCAAAGGTGCTTAGGTTGGGGATCATTTCCTTTATTCTCATAATCTTAATAAATAATTCAACAGTATTAATGTTAGGAGAAATTAGATGCTAGTCACCGGTAGGATTTTCAGGGGTTAATGGTCGCTTGAAATATCTTTTTATGAATTGTCAACTGTATGGCTTTCTTTGCTGTAACAAAAGGTTTCCGTTTCAAATGTCAGCTTTAGAAAGTCCTTTTGTAGCCACTCTACAATATCAACTCAGTTGATAAAACCAAACTTCCCCTCTCGTGCAGTATCACAGTTTCTAAATACAAACTTACCCTTTTTATCGTCTTCTGTATAATTCAATCACTTGGAAAATTTGAAATTGTTTCCATTTCTCTCTGTGTACTGACTGCATTGTGTGAAAGGAAAATTTTAAAAAGCCAAAATTTTAGGTGTAATGAATGTGCAACATTTTAATTCTCCAAAAAAGCAGGTTATCACTGGTCTACGAATAGAATCACCATGAATGTTTTGAAAACAGTAATTTCTCTACTTTGCTATCCTCTTATTATAACCAAATTTTCAGCTACCACAATTAATTGGTCTCTTGGATGGAAGGTGAGGATTCCCTGTCCTTTGATCCTTTAACCCCTAAGCTGGACAAGCATCTAAAATCTCCTTACATTTTCACCCATGTATCAAACATTAAGGTTATGAGAATAATGGAAATGATCACCAATTAAAGAGGCTCTTGATTGTTGAACAGATTCTCCTTTTTAGCTTCTAAAGAAATATATAGAGAACAGTGTGAAGAATATGCATATTGATGTTAGGTTGTGAAGGATTAAGGAATGTTCTGCTCCTGTTGAGATTAAGAGATGGATCAAATGTAATAAAGGATCATAAGTTACTAAGGTATTATGTCTTGGAGGTCAATAAGGGGAACTATATAATTTAAAACAGCAAGGTCTTTGGCACAGTCAGGCTTTATACATGGTTATATACCCTAACTAGTATATATTTGGTAGTAAGGAATTCAAATTGGGATTACCTGCCCAAGGTAATTAAAGTTATGTAGATTTTCACATATGGTACTTACGTTTGGTTGTCTACCTTGCAGCCATTTGCATGGGAGGCCAGAGAATTTCTTAGAAAGAAGCTGATTGGTAAAGAAGTGCTCTTCTCTGTGGAGTATAAAGTTCCTGGAACAGGGCGAGAATATGGATGTATCTATTTACAGAAAGGTAAATTACAAGATATACATGTACATGTAGGTAGATTTGCATTTGTGAATGAAAGGAATGATTGATTTTATTAAAATAAGGCTTACACATAAAGCTTGATTATCCATTTCAATCTTCAAGTGAATTTTCATCTTCCAGGAGAAGACCTTGAAAATGTAACAGAAGCCATAGTTTCTGAAGGGCTTGTTGAAGTCAGACGTGGTGGAATCAAACCATCAGAGTAAGTCACACAAACCTTGTTTTTTCTTATCTCTTCTAATTATAGAACATTTCCCATGATATCCAGAAAAAGATACATGTATATTTTTACCGAAAGGATCCAGATTTGATTTTGGACTTGTGCAAGGTTTGAATGCTTTCACAAGGTGTTAAAGATTTCAGAATTGGAGGCAGGTTACAATTTAACTGTTATTTTGAAACCCCCCCCCCCCTCCACTCTTAGGCTTGATTATGGGGCCTGGATTACTAGAGGTGGGGATTAACATATAAATTTAATTGGGATTTATTTAATAAGTAGAGATTGATGGTTTCTTGTCTCATGATCAGATTTGGTATAGATGATGGTCAAGTAGTTTTGCTGTGGTCTTTGCATGTAGACTTATAAATTATCTATATTAACTTTGAAGTTATTGTTTTTATTGTGTTGGAAAAATATTAAATTGTAGCTTGTTAGTGGTTTGAACTTACTGAAAATTATTGTGTTTGTAAATTATTGACAGAATAATTAGAAATGTGCTTAGTTTTACCTTGTACAGTAACTGTCTTTTAATTTGATTATCATTTATTTCAGTGACCAGACAAAATTAATTGACTTGGAAGAGATGGCCAAAACAATGGCCAAAGGAAAGTGGGGTGCTAATGCCTCAGATGTGAGTATAAATAAATGAATTTGAATAACTCCAGGCTACTTCAAAAAATTATGTACTATAACCATACTCATTCTTTTACAGTTTTGGGTGAGATGAATGGTTTTTTATGTACATGGAAGTCTGATGATTACAATGTCTTTTGATCTCAACAAAAACTGCACTGCATGTGCTAAATTTTTATGTCAACCTTGTGGATGATTATCTTTGTTCTCTGTTTATCTGTACCCAAATCAACAGAGCTATACAATATAACATGAGCTACATGTAGCATGTATACAAATCAACATCCCCGTAATTTTTTGTCTTTTTAGCCAGCAATTCTTTGGTCCTCAGCTGATATTGCTCATACTTCAAAGATCCATCAGGATTACTAGCCTCTAGTACTTCTGCATGCATTCTAAATTGCAGAGTGCCATTCAAAAAAAGGAGACTGTAATGCCATTTTGAATTATTGTGTTGATATTAAACCTTGAAATGAGGAAACCTTGTTGGTGCTCATGGCCAAATTGCTGTTTTCTTACCTTGCAATCAGTGTTACAACTCTTTAGAGCAAAGCTGTTTAGTTTCTGAATTGATTTTTCGAGAGATTTTAATCAAGAGCTATTATTGAATAACTTTTTAATAACTAGCACATCAGAGACATCACATGGACCGTGGAAAATCCAAGACATTTTCTTGATGCCAACAGTGGAAAGGAGTTTAATGGTAAGCAAGACAGTTGTAAAGGTTTCAGACTGGGAACCTGAAGACTGTAATAACTTAACACATGTAATTTATTTTCTGATAATTTTTGAGATGGTTTGTACAACATGGCTTTTTTTGGAAGCTATAGCTTAGGCACCATATTTTCAGACCTGATAAATGTTAATTGTACAATTTGTAATTGTGTTGGACTGGCGGGGGGGGCGGGGGGGGGTAAAGGATTTTCTGTCCAGGTTTTTTCAAACCAATTTATAATGGATCACAAAAGCCTTGAAAGCCAAATAATGCATCAGTGAGTGGAATTATGAGAACCTAAAAGATGTATTTTAATTTTTAATTTTGTAAGCACTTTTCAACAGTTTCGAGGGTGAGATTAAATGAATTGCCATCCAATGCACAGTTGCTTTTTATTTTGAATCTCAATGGTTCAGAGGATGGTGTGAGTTTTCTAGTATATTGAAAAGAATAGAAAGTCAAAATAAAGTTTGCTACTTGACCATAAAACTATGATTGACATTGTTTTAGTAATGAAACTGATGATATTTATTCAATTCCAATAGCAGTTAAGTAGCTGTTTTTGATGTCTTTTTTTTGTTGACAGCTGTCATTGAACATGTTCGTGATGGTTGCACAGCAAGAGCATTTTTACTGCCTGAGTTCTACCATGTGACAGTCATGTTTACAGGAATAAAGGTAACTTAAACCAATTCTTAAGATAATCAAGTTAAGCTACTTCTTCATAAATGTAGTTATTATTAATAACAATACGATATAGCCAACAGATCACATTTCTTTTTATCTTTTTAGTGTCCCATGATGATCAGACGTGATGCAGACAAGGAAATTTCAGAACCATTTGCAGATGAGGTTAGTGGCCATCCCTGCTTTTGGACAACACCTTTATCTATAAAAGTCTCATACATGTGTGTCTTTTAATCAGGCAAAGTTTTTCACCGAGAGCCGTTTATTGCAAAGAGAGGTGAAAATAGTTCTTGAAGGTACGTAGTGACACTTTTTAACTACCAACAAAGAGTAGCATACTGTAAGTTGTATTTTAGGACAAAAAAAAAACTTGTTTCAATTAGTCCTGTAGTAAATGCCTCTCTGTCAGCTTTGTTGTAGGGAGACATTCATCTTTCTTTGAGTCATCCTTTGATAGGCATAATTCTTGTTGATGATAAAAAAGAAATTTAATTTTCCAATGTCTGTTCTTCCAATTTATGCAGGAGTCTCCAATCAGAATTTCCTTGGATCAATTATCCACCCAGTGAGTTTATTTGCTGTCTTTATTTAAGTCAAAGTGCCTTACTGTAAAGTTTTTTCTGGTTTTTTTTTTTTACTTTTAATCAGTATGCATATTTTCCTTGCTCTGGTCATGATACTGATGAGGAGAGTTTGTTGAACAATCAAGAGCCTCTTCAATTGATGATCATTTCATTTCTTCTGGTGACCTCAATGATTCAGGGATATTACTGTAACGATACAAAAGACTAAAGAGGCAATAATTAACCCAGTATAAAACTGGGCTACATTTTTCAAGATTGAAAAAACATGAGCTCCCGTAATGTTATTGTCTTCTTTTGGCTGACTTTTCACTCATGCTTCCTGCCTAGGCTGGAAATATTGCTGAGCTGTTGCTTCGAGAGGGATTTGGCCGTTGCGTTGATTGGAGCATGGCAGTGCTTACTAAAGGACACGACAAACTGCGTGCGGCGGAAAAGTAAGCTAATTTGTTATTATACGCACATATATCCATCCCTCCCCCACTTCCATCCACTTCAACCCCAGAGCTCCCCCTCGTGGAGCGGAAGGGAGAACTGACTCAGTGTTGTAAGTACCAATCTACCATACGGTTTATTTTTTTTAGATTTGCAAGAGAGAAGAGACTTCGGATATGGAAAGATTATGTACCAAGTGCTCCAACTGTGCCTATTCAGAACAAAGAATTCACTGGAAAGGTAGGAAATGAACTAAGATAAAGTTTAGGAAGGTAATCGTAAAAAGCGGGAAGATTTAACTTTATTTACTCATGATAAATGCGCGCTTGCCAAGTCGTTTTATCCCTTTCTTCTTCACATGGTTTCCCAAGTGTTCATGGTGTTTCGTTTGATTTGTAGGTTGTGGAATGTGTGAATGCGGATGCTTTAGTCATCAGGAATGCTGATGGGGCACAAAGAAAGATTCACTTCTCCAGCTTAAGACCGCCCAGGTACTGTACTATATAGCGCTTGGAGAACTGTGTGGCCCCTTTAACCTTTTTAGGGTTTCACCAGCATTACTTGATTAGCGAATCTTGCCAGGATCTTACACAACCCGAATTATCATGGGAAAAATTATCACTATTTGAAGGCCGGATTCTCTGCCTTGAGTTGCTTGGAAAAAAAAACAGCATTTACGCTGTATCTGCTGGCAATTCGTAGTTTGTGTTTTATAATTTCATGAAATTATTTTTTGCCTAATCGAGTTTCCCGCACCCCAAAACCTCTTCCGAATACTCACTATTTGCTCGAAATTCCAAGCTGTCTCTCTTTTGCTGGCACTGCACGGAAATATTTGAAATCCATCTTTTTTTCCTTGCAGGCTTATCCCTAGAGAAGACGGCACTCAGGTATGACGAATCGTTTCCTTCTTTCCAGTAGGATTAAGAAACCGACGATGAGAATTGTTAATCTTCGAAGCGTTGTGTAAAGGTCAACGCTCTCATTACTAATATACACTGGAAATCACTTAGCTACACTGTAACTCGTAAACAATTTCAAATACAAACGAACAGCTCACAGATGCATGTCTTTTTTTTTTATTTTCGAACAGGATACTATAACTAACGGGAAAGATAACAAGAAGCCCAGGCCACTGTATGACGTACCTTACATGTTTGAAGCCAGAGAATTTCTCAGAAAGAAACTAATTGGTAAAAAGGTAAAGAAAACCCTTTCATACTTTAGAAATTTGAGCGAAAATTGGATCCCCGAACGTATAAGTTTTGGCATGGCAACGTCTAATACATATCTCAAACACGAAGGCGCGCTTTGAATAAGTTGACTCCCTCCCCTTAATTTCAGCTAAAATGTAGTAATCATCCAATATGACGACCATTGTTGAAGAAAGGCCTTCAACATTTCTACATCTTTCCTTTTTATTTTTACGGTCATCTATATCCAGTATTTAGAAACAGACATGAAATTATGCCGTGGTAATATTACGCAATGGCGAAGCCAATCATTTCGAATTTCAAATTTACCGCCATAATTGAAGACGGTTTTGATCGGAGAAAGGAGATATAAACCTCAACAAATTCTACCACTGTGATGATAACGTAGAAAATTATTAGAGCTTTTGAGAAATCTGCTTGCTGTTCACTCGTTTTGGATCGACTGCAGCTCAAGCTGTTTTTGAATATAGAGACCAGTATGCCATGGCGGTTGATTGAAAAATGATCCAGAGGTACCTAAGGCACCTTTACTCTTGTAGCGCGCTTTCGCGTTTAAGGTTGTGGTGCTTGTCTCAGGAATATAGTTTACTATAACAATCTCTCTCTCCGTCTAGCAGTATAAAAGGGGTATTAGCGAATTGGGAGGGTGAGTTGATGAAATGCAGAGGGGGGGGGGTAAGGAAATGTAGACCACAATGGACTAGTATATCTATTTTTGGTTTACCCCGCCAAGGACGCTTTTTTTTATTTAACAGAGTACCTTACTGCTCTTATCTTTTCCCTCCTTACAGGTGAACGTTAAGGTTGATTACATCAAACCTCCCAGTGATGGTTTCCCAGAGAGAACATGCGCAACGGTAACAATCAGTGGTATTAATGTTGCTGAGGCTCTGATAAGTAAAGGATTTGCGACCGCGTTGCGACACAAGCAAGACGATGATCAGCGGTCTTCGTGCTATGATGACTTGTTGGCAGCCGAGACACGTGCCATAAAGAATGGCAAAGGACTGCATAGTAAGAAAGAAGCACCCATTCATAGAGTGGCAGATCTTTCAGGGGTAAGTAAGTGGATCTAGACTGTAGATTCGTTTCTGGTCTTTGATGCGCGAGCTAAAGAGGGGTCTGGGAATAGCATGAACGCGTTGAGAGGGACTCGAGGAAAGTGAGACTCTTCTTGGGAACGAGGTGTTTTCACTAAGGCAGTTGATGTATTTCACAACAGTGTAGTGTAAGCTCTAATAGTTTTTAGTATATTCTTCCAATCAAAAACTAAAAACATATTTAATATTTATTGCAGGACGCAACCAAAGCTAGACAGTTCTTGCCTTTCTTACAAAGAGCGGGAAGATCCTCAGGAATAGTTGAAGTAAGTGATTATTCTTATGATTAATTTTGAACTTTTTCATCGCGGCGCATATCAATAGCACGCTCTAGAGATTTTATATTTTATTTTTAGACAACCGATGGCTCAGTCGATGGTCGTGATCACGAAAGTGGCCACACAAATCTCAAACCTAAAATCTTAGCGTGTTGCCTTGAAGCGGCGTCAAACCGCTAGTAACCGGCTAAAATCGAAGCCCTTAAACAATATCTCGCGAGAAAAACGAGTTGTTGAATTTTTGATGTTGGTCTGTTCTTTTAGTTTGTTGCCAGTGGTTCAAGAATAAGACTGTATCTACCTAAAGAGACTTGTTTAATAACTTTCCTTATTGGTGGTAAGTATTTTTACATGATTGTATAATTGTATTTTTGTATATAAAATGCAAAAAAAAAAAACAGTTTGACATGGTTGTGTTGTCGTGTTTTGCCGAATGCCTGGATGTTATATCATTAATTGTGAACAGTACACCGAATTCTTGGGTTGAAATCGTTTAGCTGTCAGGTAAAGTCGCCAGGTGGCTAATTTTTTAGTGATGTGGCCATTCTGTAAATGTAGCTTAAACTTAAAGTTACTCTAGTACACCAGTTCCGCCCTCGACAAAGATTTTTCTCAACGAATCCTGCGATGTGAGAGTCTTCGACCAGAGCTGTCGACGATCCAAAGCAGGGACTTTTAAGGGTTCTCTATTGCGTTTAAGTTTGTGTTTGTACTGTGATTCTTTAAGGTATCACATGTCCCCGAGCTGGTAGATTAGTTACTTCCCAGGGAGTTATTGCTACGGAAGGAGACCCGCACGGAGACGAAGCTTTGAGTTTTACCAAGGATCTTTGTTTGCAAAGAGAGGTAAGTGGTATGGCAGAAATAATGTTTACACTTAATGTTTTTCAAGGTTAGCACCAAAAAACTTAACAACCAAATAAAGTTACATGAGGAGCTTCCAGAATTGTTTCATTTAAATGTCATCGACCGTTATTAATATTTGTTCATTTTTCTTTTGCCCAATGTGTATTAGGTTGAAGTACAAGTTGAAGCTATAGACAAGGCCGGCAATTTTATCGGCTGGTTATTTGTGGACAACACAAATCTCTCTGTTGCCTTGGTCGAGGTAAAAAAAAAAAAAAAAAAACCTTACACATCTACCTTACATTTAACCTAGAGTAAGAATTTCTCTTGTCCAGTCTCTTCAGCTCGGTCTAGTGTCCTCATTTGCCCCGACGAAGGGTAACGATTGACATGATCAACTCGGACGATAAAACCAAATTACCCTTTTATAATGGTTGTGAAGGTGTTGAATATAAGTTTAATCGATGTCTGTTGTTTGCAGGCTGGTCTTTCTCAAGTACACTTCACAGCTGAGCGCTCCAGTTACTATCCTCAGCTCATTCAAGCTGAGGAAAAGGCAAAATCGCAGAAACTTAAGGTATAATCCTTTGTTATCGCTTTAGATAATGTTGCCTTCTAGTGTAAATGATATGGGGCAAAACGCGGTGAAATTATGCATTAGTTTTTGAATTTTTTAATAAGGTTGTTTGGAATCTGAAAATAAAAAACCCGAAAGAGCAAAATCATTTAAAAATATAGTAAATTTTAAACTTGGTTGTGGGATTAAGAAAGATCTTGATTGCCTTGTCACGAGCTGGTTCTTCCCTTTTTCACACATTTCCCTCGGTGTTGACCGGCAACTTCTCCATGAACAAGGAATAACATGTGCCAGCACAGCCAAGCTTACGGACGACTTCATCACGGCACGAGAGTGTAAACTAGCACAAAGTGGGTCAAGTTTAGAGCAACAATGTGTATAAGTCTCGGCCTTAAAAACTTCGAACTTTCCTTGGAAACTGCAGAAAACTACGTCTCACTTAAATTCTCCATGTTTACGAAAGCAAATTATCCATCTAAGTGTGCATGTGCGATCATTTGACCGCTGTGTTGGGCGCATGTCACGTGAACTTAGTGATACCTTAACCTAGCGTAGGGGTCTTAGTAGGTCAGTGATAGAGCACAAAAGCTGAAGGTCTGGGATTCGCTTTACTGGAACTTTTGTTGTCCCATGCTCGTGAGAAGACGAATAATATCTTTCCTAACTGAACTAATGAATAGTCTCCAATGTGTGACTAGCATTCAAAACATTGCATCCCAAAACCTTTGAATGCAGTTAATTATTGGTGAGCCACAATAGCCATGAAAAGAAAAGAAAGAACTGATGGCGATTTGATTTAATTTTTTATGCCTCAACCAAATAACCAACCTCTCTCCATGATAATCTTCAGCCAAAGTAACAATTTTTTCATTTTTAGTTATGGACCAGTTATGAAGAACCTAAAAATGTCGTTGTTGTTGAGGAAACAGAGAGGAAGTGCAATTATAAGAAGGTTTGTGATATCACTGATGTTTGAGGTAATTATTGTAAAATACTGCCTCAGTAAAGATTGCGTTACTTGATGTGAATGTCTTTGATGTATTTCTTACAGGTCATTGTCACAGAAACATCTCAAAACCTCTCTTTTTGGGCACAACATGTTGATTCAGGTGAGCTGTAATAATGACTAGGAACGGACCAAGCCGTAACTTTTGGCGGTAAAGTTTGATCATATGAAATAAGCCAAATCGGGGTTTTCGAAAACCCCGACCTCTAAAAATATCTTAGAGTTTTGCGGCTTTGCGAACTGCCTAGATGTAGGGAAAGGCTGGATGCTACCATATGTTCCAGCACCACAGTTTATTTATTTTAAACTTACCCCCTTTGTTCATTTACCTCAGGTGGACAACTCGAGAAACTCATGGATGATCTTCATACTGAGCTCAGTTCTAACCCTCCCCTCCCTGGATCATATACAGCACGAAAAGGAGATTTATGTGCAGCTTTGTTTGTGGATAATAACTGGTATGTGACTGGCAAGTCAAACATTCTTTCCTACGCTACCTTTACCTTCCTTGTCAACATCCCATTTTTGTCAACTTGTGGGTAAATCCCGACAGGAAAGAAGAGGATTAATCTTTGTACCTCTAACATCTGAGTATTAATGTGAAATTCAGAAGATTGTGGACACCAGAAATCGTTTAAGTTTCAAGTTAAAAGCAACTCAGGGTCAGTCACTTAGGACGCTAACAGCAACGGTAATTAGTTCTTGGTTTTGAGGGTTTTTTTTCTTGTTTTGAGCTTTTAAATTGATTTTGGGTTCGTACACTACTGAGAGACGTAACAAAATCAAAGTGTTTTTCTGATGGTTTTCTGAGTTTCAGAAGGCTTTCTTAGAATTCCTCTATTGTTGTTTTTGACTGAGAATTTGACTTGGGATAAAACCATAAGCTCTGGTTGATATTTCCTTTTCTTATCATCACCTGTTTGACAATGTGTAGTTAGTGGAAGAAAGATATCAATTGGTCGCTCCAGCGACTGGAAGGGTTAAGTGCAAAGGTGGGCTTTCATCAATTCTTTTGGAGTTATAGCGGAGCTCGTAGAGCGTAGCCACATAATTATACAAAATAGTAGTAACCCATCAAGCCGAAAAAATTTGGATGTACGACCGTACGACCGTACAAGGTGCCACTTTTAACATGCATGGTCAACTGTACCGCGGGCACGCCAACGCCACGGATTTGTTCAGTAGTCCAGTGGTCAGTGCACTGGGCTCCGAGTCGGACGACCCGGGTTCTAGTCCTGGCTGGGGCAAGGCGTTGTGCCCATGAGACGTGCGGGAGAAAAAAATGCGAGCTCCGCTTTTAGGCTTGGCTAAATCTATATATTATAAGGATACAGTTCAGGCTTTCCCTTGTTTTAGGATGTAGAGTGCCGAGTGGCAGTGTGTGTGTTATTAAAACTAATCGTTTGCGTTTCTTCGTCCGTAGGTACAGAGCACGAGTCGAAAGCGTGGCATCTCCAAAAGAGATTCATGTGTTTTACATTGATTATGGAAATGTAAGTACATTCGCAGTAAGAAAAGAGGCTTGAAGTATTTCCTTTTGTTGTTACACAATTCTATACGGTTCTCATGGATTTAGTCATAACTGAGTAATAGTTACTGTGTACAGACAGTGTTGGTGGAGAAGTCCCCTGCGCTGAGATAGATTTTGTTTTCTGCTGCGCTTATTCTCGTCGTTGAAAGTTCGTGCACATTCAAAACATTTGTATGTTTTCATTTCTTACAGAGAGAAGTGTTACCGTTATCCAAGCTGTGCCCTCTACCTTCAGCGTTCCACAGGTAATTGTTGTTAATGGTAAACAATGGTTTGAATATATCACTTCCCAGAAGTACTATTATTGCGAAGGTTTGAGTAGTACTTCATGTAAGCTTGATCATAACAATAATTCTGCAAGAAATATAAAGGTTTAAATGTTACAAACTACTGCAACTTTTTCTCTTCAGTTTTCCTCCACAAGCACATGAATATAGTATGGCTTTTATTGAACTTCCAAAGGACGTAAGTAATTTTTTCCTTCCCTTTCTTAACGAATTTGGATTATGATCTCCTCTCAACTGATTACAAATGTGTCTTAATATTACTTCTAATGACACAATTATGCCAACTCAGCACAACAATTTTTTTAGTAGCTTTCCGTGGAAAGTGTTTTGTATCCTCCTTGCCTCTTTAATGGTTTTCCGCACAAAAAAAAAATAATAATAACGAGTAAGACAGCGAAATATTCCCTTCCTTCCACACTTGCAGGGTTTTTCAGGCAGTGTGACACTTTCGAGCTATTGTGCACCCAGTTTTTACTCTCGGGCAGTCGCTGGAAAACTCGGCCAATGTATAGTTTAACATTAAAAGGATCGTACGTGGTTCTGTTTGTCACATGCGCTTGACTTAACCTGATTACTTTTTCGTCATACGTCGTCCATTTCACAGTAGATTTATGATCTGTAAAGGATAAGCAAGAGTACCGAAATCAGATCAAAGGAAGGTGCTGTTTTTCTAATCTTTTTCTCGTTTCTGTTTGTCAGGTGGAACAAGTTGCTGATGCCTTGGATTCCTTTAGAAATCTGATCATTGTAAGTTTTGATTTTGATTTAGTAGAGTCCTGCCTTGCGTTTATAGACGTTTATAGGCAGCTTGAATATACTTTTTTAGAGATCTTACCTGATGCTCATTTGAATTTATTCTCTGCTCTGTTTGGTTAATGCAAAAACAAAGACACTTACCTGAATTTAACTGCAAAAAAATTGCTGAGACAGAATTGAAGCTTGCGCATCAGCGTTCTTAACTCACGTAGGGTAAAGTAATGTTTTATTATTATTACTATCATTATTTTTTTCTTTTAGAATCGACAGTTTATGCTAAATGTGGAGTACAAGTCCTCAGGCCAGGTAGGAAGTGCTGCTATTAATCACTTGCAAATAGCGCCTGGGAAACCAGGCAAATAAGCTATGGTAATACTTAGGGCGTGGTAGAGAAACGAGGGGGGGTTCATTAGTGCTCGTGACCTGCCTCGTTGTCATCAAGAAGTAACGTTTGCTAACATGGAGAGTATGGCTGACAAAGTGGTAGAAATACTTACCTCTCGTTATGCATTTCAATTTCCGGTGTCACAAGTGTATTGAGTTTGTTGTCAGCTTAGAGGGTTTTATTTCGGATTCCCTCGTTTTCCGCACCTCTTAGATATCCTTGATAATAATGATCAGAACAGCCAATCAAAGCATGAGCAATTATTACAGGGAGCCAGTGAGAACTCAAAGTGAAAAAAAAAAAAAAAGTGCCTGAGGTGCCATAAAACGCGAATGACCAAGTCACGATTGGTTTTAGTTGTGAAACTGATTTATTTAGAAAGTGGTGCGAGTTTCTCAGGCCATTCACTTAGCGAAGTCCGGAAATCACGGATTACTTTGGACACAGTTAAAAGTTTCTGTAATACATCGATCAAGGATGTCTTAAAATGCCGAAGTATGGCATTAGTGTAGGACCCATCTAAACTAAAATTCGGGCCCAGCAGTAGTAGAGCTGGCAACAAGTCTATAGCACACATTAGAAAACGTATTTTCCGTTGGTTTTTTGGTGTTAGGATTTCGTGACACTCGTGCAAGAGAATGGGGATGATGTCGCCAAGTCTCTTGTCACCGAAGGCCTGGTTACTGTTGAGAAGAGGAAGGAGAAACGACTGCAAAAACTGATGGAAGAGTATAACAGGGCACAAGATGGTGCGAGGAAAGCTAGGGTAGGTGTCTCGGAGACTTGCGAGCCTTGTAGCCCATTCGGCTGGCACTCTCCCTGCTTGCCATAGCTTATAGCGACTAGGGGTATGGTCTATCGTAGGCCGCCTTCATCAATTTCTTCTGGTTTCACTACAGTTTGTTTTGTGGGTGCCCGTTTATACTCCTGGCTTGAAATAGGCACTGCGAAGGTTGAGTGTCTTTCCCAAGGACACAGCACAATGAACCGGCTTACGCTCTGACCCAGACCTCTCGATCCCGATTGCAGCGCACTAACCCTCCAGGCTCCCCGCACCTTTCACAATCCAAATAAAGCATACGTAAATTTTTGCTGATAATTACAAATGTTCCCTTTTGAACGTACCTGTGAACGGTTTTCTCTCCCATTTTTGCTCTAGAGCCATTTGCAAAACGAAAATGATCCATTCAGTTGTTTTCGCGTTAGGCGTTTAGCGTTATTTCAGGATTAAACTTCAAACTTTTTAGGGGAATTGTCAACCTCGAGACTGAGAGTACATTAGAATAACCGGAAGAACAAGACGGTACGTGTGTTACAAACACGCGACGCACGTAGATAAGCTAAATTGATCTTATACCTGTTTAGTCGCCCTCAGTGTTAAACAATTAGAACATCATCAAAACCGCATAATATTGTTCCTGTTCAGAATTTAAGCGCATATTTAAGACTGGCGTTTTGTGTAACCAACCGTTTTGTATTTCATGTGCTGTGAGACAAATCTGACTGAAGCCAAAAATAAACATACAACTTTCTGTAAAGCTACATAATTTAAAAAAAAAAAAGTCTTGCATGCTTTGGTCAACCTGGCTGCGATCAATAGTATCTCTTTTCTTTCTCTCCTGTTGCTAGGTAAACCTGTGGCGTTATGGAGACTTCACTGATGACGACGCTAAGGAATTCGGGTATTCTACTTAAGGACAAACTGTCGCCCTTTCGTGAATAGAAAATTTTACCAATCACGGATTTGAACTAATTATCAATATGAGGATAACATTAACTTGCGCTGTCGAGAGCAATACAAACATTGATAAGAAAATGTCTACGCGTCTAGCGGCGAGAATTGTCTTTCGGCTTTTCAATAAGGTATATTCTAAATCCGGTCATAAGAATAGTGTGACATTCTGCAGAGGAATTATTTCCTTGTGAACCTGTTGCATTTCCAAGGTTAACTTTCTTTACTCGCCACACTTTCATGTCCGTGTCATGTCGTCTAGTCAGAATTTCTGTTTTAACTATGATCTCGTAATCATTCAATTTTCTTGTTTACACAAGTGAATTTGTGAGTGTAGAGAGAGAACTCACTCGAAAGATATAAAATAGAGGCAAACGAATGCACTGGTAGCGTTGTGTTTCTTTGGTTTACTATGGCTGTTTGTTCGGAGGAGAAAGCTTCATATCGCCAATTCCCCCCCACTCCCCTCCCATCTTTGAGACTGTACTTCGTTGTATAATGAAGAGTGAGTTTAGTGTTACCAACTGGTGATTGTTAGCCAAGCAAACTTTTTTGATTTAGGGTTAGACGGAGTAGGTAAGGGGTAGGGAAAAGAAGCTTCTCCTCCCTCCCTGTTATGTTTTTCATCCATCTCCCTCCCCCCTCGGCATAAATTTCTTTCTCTTGCAAACCGTCCTTTCCTTTCATAGATGGCCGCGAAATCTTCGAATTTTCATCCACAAAATATGTTTTAAAAAAACACACAAACAAAACAAAAGTAATCTACGCATCGGTAGTAATTCTTTTTCAAAAGTAGAAGTAGAGTTAGTAAAATAGTGAAATGTTTCCCCGAACTCGACTGAATCAGGTATTGTATTCAAATAACAGTAATCCATTTATACAACAATGCACATGTGCTAGGAACTTTTTCTTTGGGCCGGTTACTTGAACGCTTACACATCCAGACATGGTTGACTTGTAAATCCATGTAACAACCTCAACACATTGTAACAAGACAAAAACATCTATCCTTATCAGTGCATTTATTTAGCAAACATTGGATCAACAAACCTATCAACCTACAGAGGAATAAGGAGAGATAAGTTTCTAAAGAGGGGCATGATAAGATGATTTGGTTTAATCAAATGGAAACCACTTGGCTATTTAAAAGCACAATCGAGCTGTTGAACCCGAGACTGTCGAAGTACAAGAAAACACTGGACTGACAATATTGTTGGTATTTCAACTCGGAAAACCTAAACGTTTAGTCCGATAACTCGGTTGTTGCGGCTAAAACAAAGCGACGAAATACTCTCCATCCCAACTGAGGACAATCTGCTTGATGTCCATTTGTTTTATAAATTCTCGCTTAGCGAATTTGGTACCTTTCTTTCAGGTCATGAATACGGCATCTAAATATGCAGCTTTGATCGTCTTTAATTTCTTTGAAATCACATGAAAGGGTAACCTGAGGCAAAGGAAACGTTAAACCACACAAACAGACAAGAAATGTTACATTCTCTTATATACTACTGTTTGTAACAACCTAATTTATGAGATATGCCAAATGCTTCATCCATCGTTGATTTATAAAACTAAAATCTCGCTTCAGTAAGCTACACGAGCGCTTCAAGTAATAATTTTCACCCTAACATGACTAATTAAAAATGTTCTTTAAAATGCTGGACGTTTAGCTCATGACACCAAGTCACTTAAAGACATTTCCTTAAAAAGGTTGTCCAGAATGATGGCAGATTCTGAGCACGGTAGTGGAATTAAGGAAGGTTTTTTTTTTTCGTCTTGTCACGAACGTGGGACAAAAGAAAGAGAAAGATGTAAATAAAGATAAACTGTTTTAAATTTCGCTACCGAGCCCAAAACCTACCATCTCATTCTAGGTACACTCAAGACGCCTTCGATATTGCAGATCCTAGCAGTAAGCAAAGAGTCTGTTTCTTAAGGACCTCATACTGGCCTAGCCCACTGTAGAGTCCCTGTGGCTCAGTGGTAGAGGTCTGAACGACGGGGTTTGATTCCTTACGGGAACTCAGAATTTTTTCTTTGTCCCACGTTCGTTACAAGACGGGAAAAGATTTTTAAACAAACACACTCCAATATTGAATATGAAAGCGATCCTCGAAATAATGAACACTACTTAAACAGTGGTGAAAATAAGGCCTGAAAAAAAACTCAGGCATGTTCGGGATTTGAACCCATGACTTTTTGTGATGCCGGTGCAGCGCTCTACCAACTGAGCTGACGAGCCAACTGGGAGCTGGTCATTATGTTGGTTCCATATTATTGATAATATTTACAATAAGTTTATATATTCATGACGTTCTTAAAACTAGAGGGTGTTCTTCAGATAAAAAAAAACAAAACTCGATTTAGTAACATGGTATCACGGGCTTTGCGCACTGCTCCAACTCTTCGTGACAACATCATTTGTTATATACAGCAGGTGTCCGGGTTTCTTTGTCCACAGCCGCGGGTATACGCTGTATTTAGCCACTACATGCAAATTTAACACACGCTTTGAACATGTTGAGTGTGTTTCTTTTCGAGGCACTGCTGCAAATTATCATGACCAAACAATTTAGCACATTCAGCAGGTATTCGGCCTTCTTTATCCACTGCATTAAAATCTGCTCCATTATCCAGCAATAAGCAGACTACCTCCTTGTGACCAGAGCCTGCAGACACATGCAGCGGTGTATCGTCACCAGCATCGGACGCATTGACATCACTACCAGCATCAATCAAGACCTGCACGATTTCGGCCTTGCCAAGTGCCGCAGCAGTGTGTAAGGGAATGCCGCCTTCAGAATCCTTTGAATTAACACTCGCTCCGTGCTCCAGAAGCATACAAACCACGGACACGTCACTGAAGGCAGAAGCCAGATGGAGGGGAGTGCTTCCTTCACTGTCTCTGGCATCTAGATCAGCTCCTTTTCTAACCAGTTGAAGCGCACAGTGTTGGCGATTAAACACTGTGCAAATGTGAAGCGGAGTGCATCCTTTGTCGTCTTTAGCCTCAAGATTGCTGTAAACAAAATTTTTAGAAAGGAGGATAAAATAAAATCTTCAGATTTAAAATAACTAAACGCTCCCGAATGGCACTTCACTCAACTTAAGATCACGTAAGTTTAAATCGTAACCTTTTATCTTTCGCTCACGCACTGGTGCTCCTTCCGCTAAGTAAACGATATGACCTGGAAGAGCAGGACTTATCCAATATGATACAAAAGAGCCATGGTATTGGAAAAAAAATACTGTATTAAACCGTGTCACTTCAAAAGACCCAAAACGAAAATATTTTAAAATCGAACAATTCAAAACCGGCGGCATACCTTTTGTAATCAGTAACAACTGAAACAGCTTTACTGCTCCCTGAAAAGCAACCCACGTGCAAAGGTGTGCTTCCTTTATAATCCACGGCTCCAGGATCAGCCCCATGCTTCAACAAGCCTTTTGTTATAACCAGGTTATTCGCTTGTACTGCCAGATGCAGGGGGGTATTACCGAGCTCATCAACAGCGTTTACTTGACTTCCATGCTTTAGGACTTTTTCAATACAATTAGCACTGCAGAAACTGAAAGTACTCATAAAGTGTAAACATGTCCTTCCCCGCAGATTGGAAGCGTTGAAGTCGCCACCGTATTCAATAAACACGTCGACAACTTTTTCTATTCTGTAGCCTGTCACAGCAATATGTAAAGGTGTGTTCCCTTGGTTATCTCTGCGATGAATATCAGCACCCGCTTTCAACAGAAGCTTCATGGTATCCACTGGAGACAAGTTTTCTGAAAAAGCAGCACGATGAAGGGGAGTGCAACCGTTTACATTCACGGCATTAACATCTCCGCCGTTCTTTATAATTCGCTTAAGAAGTCTTGGCAAGTTTATGGCGAAATGTAATGGTGTGTTTCCATCTATATCCGCTACCTGAACGTTGCTTCCTTGCTTCAACAGAACTTCGGCTACTTTCTTAAAGCCGACGGCAACAGCAATTAGAAAAGGGGTCTGCCCTTTATTGTTAACCGCCATGATATCTGCGCCCCTCTCAATAAGTCGTTGCACAATCTCTAGGGTACCTCTTGCTGCCGCCCTGTGAAGAGCAGTGTCCCCATTCTTGTCCTTTGCTTTTAAGTCTAGTCCTTGATCCAAAATACGATTCAAAGAAGTGACATTCCCCGATGTTGCAGCAAAATGTAAAACTGTTCGACCGGTTACCTTATCAACAGCATGCAGGTCGCAACCACTCTCAAGGAACACTTCTATTAAGACCTTGTCCAAGAAATTACTTTCCTCTGTTGCTCCCAAAATTGTTTGCCCATTAAGAGGTGTAGAATTCACGTCGCCTTCATGACGAATAAGAAATTCGACGATCTCTCTGCAACCGTACTTTGCTGCTAGAAAGAGAGCAGTTCTTCCTTTCTTGTCTACAGCAGCAACGTCACTTCCATTCTGCACCAAACTTTCACCACTGCCAAGTTGACCTCCCGCAGCAGCAAAATGCAAGGGCGTCCAACCCCTCTTGTCAGCTGAGTTAACATCTGCTCCACGCCCAATCAATAACTCAACAGAACTTGCGTGACCTTCGTAAGCAGCAGCATGAAGAGGCGTCCGATCTTCCTTGTCCAGGGATGTCACGTCTGCTTCTTGTTCAAGGAGCCACTCGATCACAGCTGTGTTACCATCTTTCGCAGCAAAATGTAACTGAGTCTCTCCGTTTATATCTCGTAAATTTAATTCAGCTCCATGGTTCACTAGAAGCTCACATATTTCCCTCGTGGCCATTTGTGGTAAATAATAAAGAGGAGATCTTCCATACTCATCAGTAGACTTAACGCTGCAACCACGATCCAAAAGGATTCTGATAATGTTGGTCAGTTCTACAGTTTCTGGATCCAAGAACCGCATACTTTCTAGAGCATGAAAAAGAAGAGACTTGCCGTGTTTGTCCATTGTATGGACATTACTTCCATGATGTAATAAAAGCTCGATCATGGGTAAACAGCCATGACCTACTGCTTCAAATAGGACTGTACAACCCGACGAGTCTTTTGCCTCCAAATCCACACCGTGTTCCAACAACAGTTTGGCAGCATCCAAACTATTTGAACTTACGGCTGCATGTAAGGGCGTCCGTTTGTCTCTGTTAGATTTCTCTTTGGAACACGCACCGTACTGAAGCAATGTCCTAACAAGTCGACTATTATTGCGCTGAGCCGCATGATGAAGTGGAGAAAAATTCAAGTTAGCACCATGAACATTTGCTTCACAACCATGTTCCAGAAAAAGCTCAGCTACTTTATCTAAATTCGCAGAACAAGCTATCTGAAGGGGCGTTTCAGACCTGCCATTCTTGATGTTGATGTCAGCACCGTACTTAATAAGGAGCTTCACAATTTCCATCGCACGAGTAGGTTCTGCGTACTGAAGAAGGATAGAAAGCGCAGTATCCCCTCTTACATTCCTAGCATTGACATCCTCACCTCTCTCCAAAAGATGAGTAATAGAATGGTATTCTTCTATTGAGAGGGCCATTGTTAGTGGAGTTTCGTCAATTTCCGACTTGTCAAAGGTAACGCCGCTATCAGAAAGCAGTTGAGCGAGATCTGCATCTTTGGCAGCAAGGTCAGCAAGATAGTCAAGATCAACGCTGTCTCTCCAACAAGCGGACGTGTTAGCACCACGTTTGATCAGAAGCTTTGCTACTTCGATTTGACCCGCATACAAGGCGCGATACAATGGCGAAATGCACTCCTCTGGACAATACCAGTATTTATCTATCTCACCTTCTTCGTCATCTTCACCCTCATCGTCACTATTGTCACTTTTAATTTCTGTTGAGTTTTCAAGTTGTGCTGCAGTGCCGCCATTTATGTTAGCTCCTTTATCTAACAGGAAAACCACTGCGTCGTAGTGGCCACCAGCAGCTGCTACAGACAAGGGTGTGTCACCATATCTATTTGCTTCATCAATGGCAGAGAATCCTTTTTCCACAAGAAGTTGCAATACATCTGTCAGCCCTGTTGCGGCAACCTCCATGAACACATCATCCTCCCGGTAACCATCTGGGAAACCTTCGTTTGTGGATCTAACTTTTAAATCGCAATCTCTGCTGATCAAAACTTTTGCAGCATCCCCACGCTCACTGTAGACAGCGTCAAACAAAGGAGAGTGACCAGCATCGTCACGTGCATTGATATCGACACCTTGATCTAAAAGATAGGTTATTGTGTCAGATTGGCCCTTTTCAGCAGCTGCATGTAATACGGTTTTGGAATAGTAATTTCTTGCGTGAATGTCAGCTCCTTGCTCCACAAGAAGACGAACTACTTCAAGGCTGGTTGCCAGGTGAAGAACTGTTTCCCCTTCATTTGTCTTACTTAATACACTGGGATTGCTTTGAAGAACGAGTTTAACTACATCTACGTGTCCACCTTCAACGGCATAGTGAATGGGAAGCCTTCCTGCCTCATCGCTAACAACACTGAAATCACAACCATTTTTCAGCAGCAACTGGATGGTCTCAAGGTGGCCATTTTGTAATGCTAACGTAAGAGGAGTCATACAAAAGCAATTGGCTTTCTTTACAGAAGCACCATGCTCCAAAAGAAGACGGACAGCCTCTGTGTGACCGTTTTCAGCCGCTAGGTGAATTGCTGAAGACTTATGATGATTTACCTTGGAAGCATTACATCCGAACTCAATTAATCGTAGTATATTTTCTGATTTACCGCCCATCGCAGCGTGATGTAATGCAGTGAAACCCATATCATCTTCGTATTCTAATGATGCTCCTCTTTCAACAAGGAACTCTACAACATCTACCACGTTAAACCTGGCTGCCAACATAAGGGGTGTTTCTTTGAGAGCGAGATAGTCAGGCATCCTAAAATTGACATCCTCCCCACAGTCAAGCACTCTTCTTACATGCTCAACTTGTCCCCTTTTAGCAGCCAAATGTAAAAGTGATTGGCCTTGGAAATGCTTGGTAACTTTTTCCACGAACTCGCTGATCTGTCGATGCTCTTTCGAGTCACGCTGTCTTAAAACGGTGTAAATGGATTTGCCAGCGTAGCGTGACGCATTCCAGCCAATCTTAATGCTAAACGCAATAGCACTGTCAAGTTTATCTGGACTATAATTCAAGATTGCACTAACTGTATCGACGTCTCCCCTTATGCAGGCTGACTGGAGGCAGCTCAGGCCACTGTCTTTGTCAGGAGTACTCAGGTAATTAAAAGCCAAACTCTTCAAGGGCAACTAGAAAAAAAAAATATGGATTATGTTGTAAAGTACTTCCATTTCAGTCACAGTTCACAAGAAACTGGCACAAAAAGAACAACAACAAGAACAACATCAGCATCAACCAGGGTCCAGGAGGGACGCATATCGTCGATTTGACAGGCAGTCAAATCCGCAATTTCAGTAAATTTTGAGGGTAAATTAGACGGCTGTAGGAGCGTTCGCCGAAGTCGAGTGTTTAGGCCACGCACCCACAGAAAATAAAATATCTGAAATACCTGAAATATCACAGGCAACTGCTATATACCATCTGTACAGCGGATTCTTCAATTGACATGATAAGAAATGCGACTGAAATGTATTTTAGATTAGAGGAAATAGGGTTTGTTACTATGTGGAAAAGAAGTAATTTTGTGCGAAAAAAGGAAAATGAAAATTGGCAAATCGTAATGACCATTCTTTTGCTTGTTGCTTACGAAAAGATGACAACCAAATGTATTTTACGCTCAACATGTAAGACATATTTGAGTTGTGAATCGTATGGACTTTGTAACAGTTTTGAGCTTCCCAAATGAAATAATCCCTCATTAAAGTTTCTCTCAATGTAGAATATGTGTTTTGTTATTCAATTGCAAATAAACTCATAGTTACAAAACCCTCATATCATTGAAATTACCAACTTCCTGCATACCAGTTAACTTTTATTCTCAGGTAATATGCAATTAGAGAGTGAACTGGCAGAAAAGGGAAAAGCTAAAGCCATAACTTCAAACAAATCTGTCCTTTCCTCCTTTCTAGTTACCAGAGAAAGAATTTCAACAAAGCAAAAAGAAGACTTATTTTCATTCATGAATGGTATTTCATCTTTTTGTGACAAATTAACACAACTTGCCCAATCTTTTTCTCTTTTTATTGGCTTCTTTAGCTTTTTGTCACAATATTTTTTGTCCTAAATGATGAGAAACTGAAAATAGTCTGTTTTCCTCTTCTCTTTTCTTGTTGAAGACACCTGATACCCATAGCGGGTCCTAGATTTGTACTCTGCAAACTAATTTCAACAACTGAGCACTTGTGTTTTCATATTTTCAGTTTATTCAGTGATCTGAATGATTGCTTCCTTTAGCATATGCATATTACAAAATGAGCCTTATCCCTTTAAACTCTAGGAGTCCTTAGCATCTAATTTTGCTTTAGTTATAACTGCTTAATCATTTGTTAAAATCATAAAAATAATGGAAATTATCCCCAACCTTGGAGGCTTTAATCATTGAAAGAATTCTTGCTTTAGTATCATGGGAAATGTAGAGGAAAGAGGAAACAGTAAGCAAATGTTCATACAGATGTTAGGATGTAAAAGGTGAATGAATATGTTAAAATAGTATTATGTTGCACAATGGGCAAAATATTATTATATTATATTATTATATTATATTAAGATTTGCACACTAATAAGAGGTCACATTTTTAAGCTAAAAATTTGATTTAGTTTTCAATGAAAAAAAATTTTCTGATAAACTAGGTCAGAGGTGACAAGGAAAAAACTTTTCAACTTAGAGCAGTGAAACAAAATGGCACCTTACACAAGTCATTTGGCTTAGAAAGAGGAAATACATCTATCATAATAGATATCATTATCTCCCATTAAAAGGCAAAAAGCTCAATTTAAGTTAACTATCAGTTAAAAAAAAAGGTTAAAAACAAAACGTTTGCTGCATCTTGTTATTTATGTTTAACCCCCTGAAAGAACTGTTGTAGATACTAGGACAATTATTCACTACAGTGTCTTTAACCCTTTAACTCCCATGAGTGACCAAGACAGAATTTCTCTTTACAGTATCAATACAATATCAATCAGACAAGCAATGAGAACAAAGGAAAATATTAATTTAGGGATAATTAGTTGATCCACTACTAAGTTATCCAAACTAACATTATAAGAATTGTATGGTTGTATGAGCCTCATCCCTTTAAACTCAAGGAGTCCAAGACAGACCATTGTATGGTCCACTACAATTCAGTAACTCCTGATATTTAAATAATTGTTAACTATTTAACAAATACATTCCACATTGCTGTACATCTTTTCAGTAAGAAAAGAACAACTTGATTATGTGCTGTATCAAGGAGGCCCTCTAAGCCATCCATGATGACATTCAACATTGCTTCAAAATGTGACAACAACATGGTGTTCCCATGCACCAACAGCAAACAAAAAACTGACTGAAAAGGGGAATGTTTTGTGACAGAGAAAATCCATTTTTAATTTCAACAAAGGGAAATTTTTCCCATCTAACTTTTTTCAACAAAGAATTGATGTGGTAACCAGCACAGCCTCACCCTTTTTTGATCTTTCTGGCCTTATCATCCCCATAAACCACAGAAACATCAATAATATTCAACCCTTGTCATGCATGGTCAGTCCCTTGTTACCTATTGTCTTATTAAAGTCTGTTGCAAAAGTTGTAGATTGCTGCAAATGATGGGAAGGTATGAAAGCTAGGGCACAGATCGACAATGAAACACAAACACAAAGCCTAGAAGCATGATGTTGGTCAGAGTAAACCAAGTAAGGATGAGTTTCTATATATCTGTTGCAAACTCTGAGACTTAAACTTCAACTCACGCCTCTACAAACTTATGTGTGCTTCATCCTCTGTTAGCAAGAAAAAGCTTGCCAGCACTGGCACAATTCAGAAATAATTGAAACCATAAATTTAGTGTGATAGCCACATATGTATGATAGTGAAAGAGCAACTATGGCATTTGTCCCTGACCAAATAGCAGACAGGAGTGTTGGTAAACAAGCGACAAGGTGACACCTAAAACTCCCATGAAAGGCCTCATTAAATGGAAAAGAATAATTAATTAAAATCATGATAACTGGAGGGTACCAACTTCCTAATACAATCCAAAAAGCAGCTAAAAATGACAGGGAGCTGAATTAAGTTAGATGAATTAAATTTGCATAGCAGATGTACAGTATGGCTAACATACACACTCGCTGAACACATTACTTAGCAAAATAAAGAATCATTGAAATTTTTAACAATCTTTGAAGATCAAATGTTGTAAACTGATTGGTCATTTTAGGAGTGACATTTTGGCTACAAGAGAAAGTTGGTTAGTTAGTGTGTATTGATTAGTCAGTTTTCATGCATCAGCAATATTTAGTTGCACATCCTACACCCCTTAAATAAGTACATTACCCACAAACCCATCACTGTACTATGTCAGTTGCTAACCAATGTCAAGACAGTGACGAATAGTAGAACAAACAAGGGGCAGTTTATAAGATAAAGTGCTATGACTGCCTACCCTCTGACATTGTAGAGACTAACAGCAACCTCACAACAACACTGACAAAAGAGTGATAGAAATAATTATATCAACAATCCATTCGTTGAACATCAACAACTTATAAGCCATGCAATTTACTAGGACTCTGCACCATGCCTAACCTACAGTGTACTGCAATAACTATTTCAACCACTGACTCTGAAAAGCTGGTTCACTAACTGATAACTGAGAACAGAATTTCCTCCAGTCAGCTTTCAAAACCTACCAGCACCATTCAAACGACTCATTCACGACATTTACACCAAAAATGAAACAGGAAAAATGAAACAGGAAAAATGATCTCAACCGGACGATCACACTACTTGATCAAACTTAACAGTTTTGTGCCCTTTTGATTTTAAGTTACAGTACTATAATTCTGCATGAACATGTTACGTTCTTGCACAGCAAAAATGCAAAAAAATGGCGGGAAAGACTCGAGGTCACAGGCCGATAGAAATGCTAGAGCTTTCTAAAGAAGCTTTCTCATCTTCTGTTCTTTTTTACCTTTCATTATATTAGCAACCGTGTATGTATTTTTCATATCCATCCCTTCGTAAGGTGTCGATTCTAGCAGGCAATTGTCTAACGACAGCAAATCATTGAAAACCTACCACTCTCTTTCCGATGGATCTGCTCATTGCTTTGCGTGCTGCCAAAAACAAACTTAGGTCCAATGCTGATGGAGGAGGAACTACCGAACCATAGTTTCGAACCTACGTGGACTTCGTGATACAGCTGACCACGGACAATAGACTGCAGTTTCGTTCAAGAACGTGTCAATGATGTATATACGTCATGTAGTGGAATACATTCCGTAACGTCCGCTTGTCCGATAAGTGAAGACGATGAATCAGGACTACGGACTACGGACTACGGACTACGGACTACGGATTACGGACTAAGTATAAGGCGGCCACTGAGTATTTTTATTTTCCGCTGCATATTTCTTATCAAATGACGGTCTGTTATGCGATGGATACACTTTTACTACCTTTCTACACAGAGTTGAGATATTTCTCTGTCAAGCTTTTCGAAAAAAAGTTAACGATAATGATAATGATAACGACAATGATAAGGAATTTATATAGCGCTAAAACTACAAACAATATCCAGAAGCGCTTTACATAAGTTAAAGTTCTATACTAATAAAAATTTAAATATTCAAAGGCAATAAACATTAGAACTATTGAAACAAACTAAAAGCTTTCCTAAATAAAAATATTTTAAGTTGCTTTTTAAAAATGGCGAGGCTACTACTTGTTCTTACAGTTAATGGCAGCGAATTCCATAAAACAGGTGCAGCATGAGCAAAGGCCCGATCCCCAAGTTAAGAGCAGTTGGCTTTTGAAACGAACAGAAGAGATTGAGCAGACGAGCGAAGAGTATGATTAGTAGCTGGTTTCAGGGACAAAAGATCTTTAATGTAGGGAGGACTTTGGTTGTGTAACGACTTGTAAACAAAGAGGAGCAATTTAAACAGAACTCTGAACGTTACTGGGAGCCAATGTAGGTCGATACGTGCAGGTGCGATATGATCAAATTTCGGAATCTGAAAAATCACTCTAGCCACAGCATTCTGAACTCTCTGTAAGTGATCGAGTTGATATTTAGGTAGACCGAAGAGAAGTGCGTTACAGTAATCAGGGTGCGAGGATATAAAGGCGTGGGCTACTGTCTTAGTCGATTGAACAGTAAGGAATTTTCTGATCTGTCTTATGTTGTATAATCCGCGAAAAGCCTTGCTACAGATCTTGCCTATATGAACGTTCATTCGCATATGGGCATCGAACCAGGACTCAAGGTTCTGGACGCTTTCTAAAGGTTTAATGAGGGTGTCACCAATAATAATAGTTTCAATAGATGTTTTTACAAGTTGTTGGTGGGTGCCAATATAGAAACTCAGTTTTTGCGTCGTTGTGAACGATTAGCAATAAACCAAGAGCGAACATCAGCAATGCACATCTCAATCGCAGAGACAGCGTTAATTTCGGAATGGATAGAGCAAGGTCGGAAGGAGAGGTAAATCTGGAAATGACGGGAAGGTATGAAAGCTAGGGCACAGATCGACGATGAAACACAAATACAAAGCCTTGAAGTATGATGTTGGTAAGAAAAAACCAAGTAAGGATAAAATGGCTTGAAATCGCTAATTTACATGATTTAGGACGAGAACCATAAAAACAACACTTCAGGCAAGGAAAACCCCTCCCAGGCTATGAAACAAAGTATTTTGGAATTCTTAAACTAATGCGAATTTGTTCGTACCCCGACCTTTTTTCCATCACCAGCACTCACTTTCACATTGAAATTTCTGGTGTAGAAATTGAAATTCAAGATTACACTAACTGTATTGACATCTCCTCTTAAGCAGGCTGACTGAGGCAGCACAGTACTCAGGTAATTAATGGTAAAAGCCAAACTCTCACATCTGGCACGATTAGAACAACAATAACAACAGTATGCGGCACCAAAAGGGTCCAGAAGAGAGGTATGTCATCAATTTTGACAAGCTGACAACAGAATCCACATTTTCAGTAAGTTTCAAAGTTGGGGGCTTCAAACGCAATTTAGACAGCTGTAGGAGCAAACGCCGAAGGCATGAGACTCTAGTGGACCAATCATTATTTTATTACAATAAATCAAACCTCTTATAAAGAAAGCCTGAGGCTCACTGATTGCGTAAAACCGCGATTTTGGTTAGACCTCGTGTAAATTACCGGCCCTGAGAGTCTACAGTGAAGATGCATTTCAACCAGTGCATTTCAAAGCGGTCTTCCCCATCCCTATCCTATTACGTTCGCATTCGTCAAATACCCCGCGGTTCTAATTTCGCTTGTGCTCTGGACTATGATCTAAAAGGAATTATGAAGTCTGTAAGCAAACTAACCTCATTCTTTATTTACCTTTCAAGACATTTAATTCTACACGTCAGATTTTATATGCGTAGTATAGCCTGCGTGAGAGCAAAGTGCGATCTTTGGAATCTGAGAATAACAATTGCTACCGAGGAAATGTGATAAATCTGGATAAAGACAAAGACCAGGAAACTGCTTCTTTAATCATAGGAGTGGAGTCAAATAACGAGAAAACAACAAACTTTGGTGGAAATTAAAATTCAAAATAGCCTTAGTATCAAAAAAACGTAGAGAGAGAAAAAACGTCGAGAGAGAGGTACGAGACAACTATTTTTACCTCATGGAACTATCATGAAAATGTATAAAAAGCTGAGCTGTAAAAATAAGTGCTATATCTATAGGAACCTGTGAAATTTTTCATTGTTTGTTTTTTGTTTTGTTTTGTTTTGTTTTTTTCACTGTGATTTTCCTCATTTGTACTTTCTTTGACTTCTCTGTTTCCTTTGTTCTACTACACACAACGAACACGAGCCAAACTACGTCATCCATCAGGCAGAAGAGGGCTTTATATAAAACCTTTGTCTCAAAATATCACCATTGTGCATGTTGCCTTATTCGAAGTCTTTCTTAAAAAATAAAATACTTACAATTTCTGTCATTACTAAATAGTTATTGCTGAACAATATGATTTGTTAAAAAAAAATACCTTCATAAATTATTCTAAATTTCATAATATTTTACCCTTCCTATAAGAAATATAACGAGTGCAAAAAATGTCAATTCGAGGCTTCGAAGCTTCAACATCCCAGCCTACCCCTGTGCAACCCATGGGCATTTTACTGTCGTCTGTCCCCGCGAGTGGGAAATTTGAACCTTGCCTGGGTTGGGTGAGGAATTTGAACCGCAACTAACAAGTCTTTCCAGCGGAATAAACGAGTTTTATCTTTAAATATGGCGGCAAAGTTCACTTCGCGGGCAAATGGCTCAGAAGACTGAAAAAGTATACAGAAAGTCACGGTGGCTAATTTTTCCTTTTTCAAAAAAGTAGACTATTAAATCCCGCACTAAGGTAGGGCATTTGAACAAAGTTTTGGCCTTTGAACGAGCCAATCTTCAAAAGTTCAAATGCCCGGGGGTAGGGAGGAAGATTCTGAATCTTCGAATTGAGCATTACCGCAATCTTCAGTCCACGGAAGTGCTCAAGCATATGGAAATTGTGGACAAAAGCTTAGTAACTAGATATGTAAATATCTTTAAAAAAAATGCTACCTTCACTATTAGTAACACCTCAAAAAATCGTAAGATAGTTTTTCTAATTGTGATCGATTATTTACAAATTATAAATTATTATGTCTTAGCATAACTTAACTTAGGTTACGAAGGCCGACGCTCAAAACGGCAGCTTTTTTACTCTTTACGGTGGCCAATTGACGATTTCAACTCAGTTGTTAACACCAAATTACCTACTATACTCTCCCACCAACGCAGCACCAAAGTTTCTTTAGAAACTTACCCCTTTATTAACTTAGGGTACGCTAACCTTAAGGAGCTCTTTAAAATACAATTACTTAATCTCTTAAAAAACTCTACTCTCTCATTAAAAAATATTTGAGGTATTCAACTATTAGTTTGAAAATAGTTTCTATTTCAATTGATGTAAGTCTTGCTACAATCACCCTTCCATTCCCTGAATTTACTGTCTAAAACCCCAGTCACACCAAAGCTTAATAAACATGATTGATTTAAAATTGTCTTAAATTGTTTTCTTGATAAAAGCGGCTTAGACTGATATCGGTCGACTTCAAATACACAGGTTAGCTCTCACTTGAATACTAAGGAGAACTCAGTTTTTCATTTCTTTGTTCCTGATTTTCATTCAGTCAAACCCAGTTTTACTAAACATGTTATGTTGGTGTGGTATAAGTCTTACATTCTATTTAAATTGATTATATAAATTCATTTCGTATATTCTGATATCACTTCTATCAATAATAAGAATTATTTTATAACATAATAAGATGACAGAAAAGGCAGAAACAGCCTAGATGCCTCAGTTCATTATAATGCTCGGCTGTGATGCTTAAATTTTGTAATTTACCGTCGAGTAATTTAGTCAATCCTTGAAACTGGTAATTTTCCCACACCAAGATCAATACTTTGTTTGGTGGCGTTGATGCGTTCATAGAGTTCAGAATCTTCGGAAGAGTTTCCTCTCTCATTTGACATATATTGGTAGTCGCAGTGACCATTCGGAAACTAATAATAAAAGGAAGTAAATAAATAATACGAATCAAGGTATTTGTATACTCACTCACTAGGGATACTTGTTCAGGTGAGAGTGATCAACATGACAGCCATTAAACGGAGATACCCAGTTTCAAGCTCAACTTTTCTTAGAGACATCTGCACGCAAGTTAGATATGGCAAACTACGCCTGTGAACTTTACGCGCATTTTTTCCCTTATTTCATCTACACTAAGTCCTCCCATAAAGATTACGAAAACGATTTCGCATTTCTAAAACGATTCTAAAACGATTTCACATTCCTTTTTTTTTTTTTCCTAACGCGCTGTTCATTGTGTAAAGAAGTGAAAGCGGAGTCTTCCGAAAATGTCGACGTCTAATGTCGCTTTAATCTGAGTTTAAGGGTGTTTTGGCGTGGAAGATAGACGAAACGCAGCAAAAATATATGCGTTGCTTTCATATGAAAACTCAGTAATATGGATAGTTGAGAGCAACATGAAAACGTTGGCGTGGGAGAAAATATTTTGTTTCGTTTCGCGTGCGACATAAAGAAAAAAACACAGTTTAAAAAACGCATAAGTTTGGTCTGGGCCTAATAATTAAAAAGGTGCTTTCATTAGGCCAAAAACACACTACTCCCCAAAATTGGTTTCCATCAAATTTAAATTGCATTGTATAATTCCTTACCAAGGGTCCTCCAATTGCAGTCCACAAAGAACTTTTTCGGGCACCAGCCCTTTAAAGAAAGGGAAAAACAGTTCATATCACTGAATGAGACTACAATATCTTTGTGAAAAGCTGACGAGAGAAACTACCAGAAGGCATGACCAAAATGGAATGGGCACAAGCAAAAGATACAGAAAGTACATTACACCATTTCCTACATTTTCTAATTATTTCAAATCTAGCGACATCAGTTGGCAAGGTGAGCTTCACCCATGAAACAGATGATTAGGCTGCCAGAAATCTGTTCCTTTCTATCTTTTTTCCTTTTTAATTTCTTTCTTTTTTTATTACTTTTTTTTCTCACGATATGGAACGATGGTTCTAGATGAGAAAAGATTAAGCAAATATATACACATACCGTTTTCGTTTGCGTAGATAGGCGATAAACACGCACGCGAGGCTTAACCCACCAACTGTTCCACAGACAATAGCAACAACCTTGAGCACTTTATATGTAGATAAGGTGGGATCAGGTTTTTCGGTAACTGAAAATCAAAGAATTCATGTTTAAAGGGTAATCGGCGAAGAAATTGATACTATGGCCAGGCCTTATGGGGCGCCGAACCAGTCAATATTCCCTCTGTATTTCTGTAACCCAGTTTAATTTTAATACCTTCAACTCGACTTTTTATATGGTCAACTCGACTTTTTATGTGTTCAATTTTTTATTATTTATATGGTCAATTCGACTCTTTATACGGTCAACTCGACTTTTTATATGATCAACGTGGAAATCGAATTGACCTTATAAAAAGTAAACTGGGTCATAGAAATACTGAGGGGATATTTACTGGTTCGGCGCCCTATAAATTTCGGTTATCCCTTGCACTTTTTCGGACTTTTGAACACAAATTCTGTAACAGTAACCTAGTATACCTCTACTTTGGTCATTGTAGACGAGTGATTGAAACATACGTTAAAACACTGAAGGTTACAACTGGTAAGCGCAACCTTCGTGCCTTTTGTAACCATCTTGATGCATAAAAATTTTCTTAAGGAACAAAAACAACAACCAAACATAAGAATGGAATGTACGCATCACTAATAAAACTTTCTTCACCCATGTAGCTAACTTGTATATGTCGCAATAACATCATCTCTGGAGCGCACAAGTTTAATCCCACTCGAGGCCTAAGTGAAATTTTTCACACCTCTTTTCTGCAAAATCTTTATATTTCTGCAAATACAGTTGATATGTGTGAAGATCGATTCGTTACTAAACAACTACTCATCAAAGAGGAGGCGGCGAAGCGGCGAGGTAAATTACTACTGCTACCCACCGACACTGAGGTGAATAGTTGTTTTGGGATATACTAAAACAGTGAGATGGTATAGTATATTTATTCCAGCAACGATTACAATATTTTCGGGCACAAATCCGGCGCGTTGCTCGGAGGTGAATAGCAAAGTATATTCAGAGTTTGGTTAGCCAATCAGAGCGAGGCTTCAACACTATCCACCGTTTTAATATATACCGGTAATAATTTAAATTTCACAAACCTTTTGTATTGACCTCATCGCTTGGCATTGAATTGATGATGCACAACTCATTGCTTGCCCATTTACAACCTACAGCCGTACAAATAGCAACCATTGCTGAGTAATTCCTGTGTGGTTGAAGACCGTTCAATTTTACTTCCAGTGTATCCGAGCCATTGGATCCTTCCTGTAACTCCTTCAGAGATTTTTTGACTGTCTCAGTAGTGTTACCATAAGAAACCAAAAACTTGCGAGGTATACCATTCCAAGTGTTGACCGGCGGGACCTGTGTAAAAAGCAAAGTTAAAATGATAAACAAAATTAGGATAACCAGGTTCATGTAATAAAGTACAGTCGAATCTGTATTATTCCCCACGGGGTATAGCGGGATGAAAACTAAATACATATATGAACTTCGTAATATAGAGTCTCTGTGGCTCAGTGGTAGAGCATCGGAGCGCGGAATCGGAAAGGTTCGATCCCCCTTAGGGACTCAGAATTTTTTCTTTGTCCTACGCTCGTGACAAGACGGAAAACACCTTTATCTAAAACTATACAGTACTGCTAATTCTCTCTACGCATCAGATCTCTGAAGATAAAGATTTCACAAAGGAAGAGGATCAAAAATGAGGAACTTGGCGATATGGGTCTGTCAACAACATGAAAGTAAGGGTGATGAAAACTGAAAACCCTGTTGAGGATAAAGGTACTAGATTGCCAACAGTCCCTACGTTATTCCCATGATCTATTATACAATCAAGTCAACTTTGCAAGGTAAACAATAAAGAAAACGTTCTAGCTTCTTGTTTTTCGCCAATTTCTTATGACCTGTGCAACAAAATACACTGGATTGGAGGGACTGCTAAAAGTCGATCCAAAATGAGCATTCACACGAATTATATTTGGCTCTTATTTTGTGTAGAAGACACAGTAGACATATTACAATAGAGAATGGGTTATAACCATTTCACTTCCGGCAGTGACCAAGATATACTTTCTTCTTACAACATCAATAGAATATCAAGCAGACAAGTGAAATGAATATTGAAAAATATCAATTAGGGGATTATCATCTGATCCAATACCAAATTCTCCATACGAAAATCACAAGCAATGTACAACAGACAGTATGGTGAATCACTAAAGAGATCTTGGCAGTGGAAGGGTTAATGAGGCATTGTTCTATTGTGATCTGTTCTGTGTCTTCTACAACATTAAGGAACCTTAAATTCTAATTCTAACATCCATAACCTGTGAAGCTGTTTAATATGTAAAATAGAACAAAGTTAATTAAATTCAGTAGCTTTAATTTAACCTTTTATTTTCCAAAAAGTTCTCCAATTTTTTAAACAGATTACAGAAAGAAAACATAGTTGTTTACCTTAAACTCAATAGTCACACTATGTGACAACCTATTGTTTGCCTGACAGCTTGTTGGAGCCTCACTTGGAACTACAACATAAGCAAACATTATGATAGTGTTGGAAAAAAACTATTTAGTCAAAACATTTCCTGTTCAGCATATGTACATGCATGTAGTTAGCATACAATGTTTCACTGTAAACATCTATAATGCTTGTTGGGCTGTTAGTAACAGTAAGTGTTTCAGTAAGAACTCAATGTCATCTGCTAAACTAACCAAATTCACTACTGAAACCATTATTGCATTTTTGTCCCTCAGGTTTACATGGGTTTTAATAAAAGTCAGTTGCCAGAAATCAACCACCACCTCAACTTCCACCATCAACAGCTACTTAGTTGAGGTGGTAAAAGCAATTGAAATGCCTGATTTACCCCCCCATTCCAGCTCAGGCTGATAATTAGTAGTAGATTTATTGGCCACTGTAAAGAGTTTCTAAGGCTCACGTTTGAAGCATCAGCCCTTTTATGTAACACTTTGAATGTCAGCTTTAGAAATTCTTTAATCAACTTAGTTGATAAAACCAAATTATCTTTTTATTCCACCCCATCGATGCAGCACCCCAGTTTCTTTAGAAACTTACCCCCTTTATTCAGGCTGGTAATAGCTTGTTTTAACTTTGAATTCTTAATGTCTCCCTATACTGGTAAGCTAGTAAGACTATTGTTTACCATTCTTCTGATTGTCTGTTGTGATTATGTTCCTTTTGATATAACAAAACTTGATGGAAAAACACTTAAACCCTTTAACTCCCAGATCAAATTTGTAATTCTCCTTACTATCAACCATACAATTCTTAGGATGTTGGTTCAGAGAATTCAGTGTTGGATCAACTAATTATTCCCAAATTGATATTTTTCGTTATTCTCATCATTCATCTGGTTAATATGGTATTGATATGGTAAGGAAAAATTCACAAGTTTCACAATCAAGAACCAGAAAAGAGTTAAATTTCAATGTAGAAAAAATAAATGTATATTTGGAATTAAATAAAAAATACACACACAATCCTTTCTTACTTCCTTCTTTGGACTTCACTTGAGCAATCACAGGAGGACCTTTTGTGTCCAGATCAGCTGCCATGCTGCAGGTTATTTGGAAACTATATCTTGCAAAGTGTACAGCGTTGTCACTGAAGGAAGTGTTATCTCTAACTACTTTAGAGTATCTGGTTCCCTTTCAAAACAAAATTACACAGTCAAACTAATGCAGCTATAGTTAACCAATGTCATATAAAAATCAATATAAATAATAACTCAAGATCATATTCAATGAGTTTAAGATTTGAATTTACTTTCCTGCACTATATATACACTACATATACTTAAACAGTGGAAGGCACACTCTGATTGGTTACTCAAACTCCAAAGATCCTTCACCATTCACCCCTCGAGTAACTCACAAGGGATTTGTGTTAATGCTCCTCAAAAGGTTGATTCAAATCATGATGGGAGAGCAATTTGCTGTTAATTTTACTAAGGAGGAAAACTATTATAGCTCTGAAAAGCCAATATTTCTTTTAAATTTGATGGTAAGTTGTTTGTAAATGTTCCTCAAAGCTTGCTGGTTTCCTCTAGCTTTGGTCTAAGAAAACTGCTAGTTTCTCAAAACTGGGGAATATCCAAGAATAAATTCAATGTGATATTCTTCAATTTTCAAACCTCATTTTCACTATGACATAAGTCTTTGTTTGAAATTTCATTCAAGATGAGAGTGTTTTGTGCTTGTTTCAGAAGAAGGGACATGATTTTCTTGTTCATAAAAAAGTTCATTTTACAGTTGTATGCTTGGTTGCCAAGTGTTTGAATAGGAGTGAGGCTAGGGGTGACCTTGTTGTGATATAAACTTTGCTGCTTTTCAAATGTAGATGACTTTTTTTTATCATACTAACTAGATACTGTTCTCTATCACAACATGGTCAACTTCAGCCTCACTCCAAATCAAAGGCTTGGCAACTAAGTACACAACCGTAAAATGGCCCATTGTACCAGAGAACACTGAAAAGAGATTTATCACATGCATTTAACAGTAACCAGTTGGAGAGTATTTTTTCCCAGGTGTTGCAAAAATATTTGAGGGATAATAAACACAGAAGACTTCATTTGGGGTGAAATATCGTTGTATATTAGTCCTTGGAAATTGTCTGTTCCTCAAAGCTCACTGAGTTTTCCTCAAGCTTCATTCACAGAAAAAAGTTAGCATCTTGGAACAGATTATGTCCACAGACAAATATCCGTGAATATTTTTGTGCCAAATGGAGGATATTGTAAATGTATAATTCCAAACCAAGTAGAGGCTATTCTTTACATTACAATATAGTTCAATAATCTTTAACCATAATTCTCCTGAAGGACTTAATGACCTATGAAAATCTCCTGTAAATTTTAGAATTGTATACAATGCTAAATACCTGGCCTGTTAGTATCCGAGTGAAATTGTAAGTGATGTGGTAATCCAAAGGAACTTTGCTCTTCACCAGGCGTGGGTGATCCCATGTTAGTGTAAAAGAGTCCCTTGTTGACACAGCTTTCACATTCTCCAGAGGGGGACACATCTCTTTGGTTAAGAAAATCACAATAAAAGCATTTCATCATCATACTTGTATCACTTTATTGTGGGTATCTTCTTTATTAATTAACATTGATTTAAAGAACTATTAATCTCTTGTGCTGAGATAATGTTTCATACCACAGCTGATTTAAAAATAGATAATTTCAAACAAAACTCACCATGATGTTTTAAATTCCAGTGCTTGGGATGTGTAGTTTCTACTGTTCCAAACTGATTTTTAGCGATTACTTTGGCACAGAAAATGTCACACCTGATTCCTTTATTCTTGCAAGGAACATCAAAATTCTCTATAACGTCCTCTCCCACTTGACATGATAATGTTTCATTGAGATACCTAGGTATTTGCTTACAATATGCTTGACTGTCAAACACACAGCTCCAAGTAGTAATATTATAGTGCATACTGACAAAAAGTTCATAAGTCACATTTACTTCCTGAGCACTCCATTGCACACTCAACACTTGCGGCACTGGGAGTCCATAAACATCCACAAGCTTCACCAGTTTTTGGGTGATCTCTTTTGGTTTCACTGTAAGGATTATAACATATCAACCCTTTAACTTCTATGACAGACCAGCATCTAATTTCTTCCTACAATATCAACCCTGAATCAAGCATTAACCCTTTTACTCCCGAGATCTAATTAGTAATTCTCCTTTCTATCTGCCATACAATTCTTATGAAGTTAGTTCAGGGAATTTGCTATTGGATCAACTAATAATCCCATAATTGATATTCTTCCCTATTCTCATCACCTACCTGCTTGACATTGTATTGATATTGTAAGGAGAAATTCTGTCTTGGTCACTTGTGGGAGTGAAAGGGTTAAGGTCACAAGAATAAAGAAAAAATACATTTAATGATCACCAACTAAAGAAGTTCCTGATTTTTCAATTAATTCTTCTTGTCAGTACCTTAGGATGTGTATAGAACATTATGGAAAAAATGCACCCTGATGTTAGGTTGTGCAGGGTTAAAAATGACTTAAAACTAAATAAATTAAGTATAGACCTAAATTATAAATCTCTTTGTTATTATAAGCTCTAACTGAAAAGAACTAAAAGTAGAAAAACCAAAAATTAAAAGTTTTATGTTACTGCCAGTAAATTCAATTTATACTTCATAAAAAATCTTTTACAGCCCTTTATTGCCACATTATGACCAATCATACCATTCAAATTTGTAATCAGCTAGTACCAAAGTGAATGTCATTTGACAATTTGTCACCAAAGGGCAAATAAAATACTTTTATCAAAGTCCTGTCAATTTTTACCATGTAACCCATGTGTGTATATTAATCTATTGGGGTTGCAAGACTAGTATGAAGTGTCATGAGTTATAGCACAATGGTTGTGAGCATTCAGTCTCATTAAATAAATATAATTGCAAAGTGAAGTATAGTTGTACAGTACAAATTCATATTTTATAGTACATACCTCCTATTATGACTCTGACTTGATGAAACGTAATAATAGGAAGCTTTGAAGAATTACTGAACACTCCACAAATATAAACTCCAGTGTCTGCGAACTGGGTGTGATTTTTCCTCAGTTGTAAAGTGCTGTTATCAATCGTGCGGGTGAAACAGCTTGGTATCAATGTATTGTTATGTTTCCATGTGAAAAAGTGTTTCGATGTAGTCTTCTTGAGTGTCCAATTGACAGTACAGTTCAGCTCAAGAGCGTAACTGTTGGCAGTGTAAATTACATCTTGGAAATCTTTCAACTGAAAGGAGACTTCATCTGAAACAAATGCAAAAGTATGCCACGTGCAAGACATTGGACCCTGCGCTTTCACTAATTAAGCTAAAATGAATCACTTTCTAGTCAAACTGTGGAACTTTGATACAGCGCAATTACTAATTTTCTAAAAATACCATAGATCAAGATGAGCTGAATCAAAGAACTGTGTTACATCTGTGAAATGAAATTTATTGATAACACATGGTTATCATGCCAAAACTTCCTTTAGGACTCAATGTGACATTCAGTTATTTATCCCTCCTTGTTTTAGTAGGTGAGTTCTGACATTTCCTCCCAGCTGAGGATCATATTGTTTCTAGACCAACGAAACGTCCACTGATCCCGTCTGAAAAAGCTAGTACGTAATTATGATTTTAAATTATTAATTAAATAACATTGTTGATACAACCCTGCAGTCTTCACATGTCAATTTTACTATGATGTATTTTCCCTTCGAAAAAGATGCAATCAAAGTGATCTTATCTACCAAGGCCGCATAAGAGCTCAAAAATGGTAACTAATTTATCTGAAGGTGTAACAGCAAAAAGTTAATCTTTTCGCTGGCACAATTAAAATATGCTCACATGCCCAACTGGCGACATTGGACTATTGTACGATCGCATGATTTACGAATGATTCGGAAGACGAAAATAATGCGTTTTCAAACATAACTATAATAAAATCGACTGTACGAGTTGGGAATTACACACATTAAGAAAATGAAAGTAAGATCAATTAATATGTATCGGCATGCGAATGAAAATCGCTTTTCTATATTAAAGCTAACAATTTACCTCATTAAAGTTGAGATGAAATGGATCTAATAAACATGCAGTCGTTAGCGTTTATTTTTTTCTGTCGGTAGAATTTTGTACGACTGCAAATGACTGGTCATTCATTTCCCTGGGGCAAAAGTTGATGACTAAGGGAAATTACACATCAACTGAGCTGTTCATTTGATTAGACTCCGTAGGCATCGTATAAAGTTCGACCGTACCCGAAAATCATTTCCGTGTGCGTGATTAGAGACGCTAGTTCCAAACAAACACAGCAAACTTACCTCCCTCCTTTGTCTCTAAACAATTTACATTTCGAATTGCTCCAATAAGTAAGAACAAAAAAAGGCTTGTCAGGACTCTCATTAGCATATCATGCTCACAACATACTCTGCTTCCATTGAATTTTCGCCGCCATGTTTGTACGACACAAGAACCAATCGGAGCGACGAAAATTCTTAGAAAACCAAAACTTCCGGTCTTCCAAGAAGGTGAATGTGCAAGATCGGCGTTTTTAGCCGTTTTCAGAAGAAACACTGGCATGTCTGCCTTCCTTGGAACTACTCATTTGGTAACTTTTATACTTTTCATAAAGTGTGTTCCAGGTAAGTCTTAGATGCTGTCAGTGTACTAAGAAAGTTCATTGATACACCATGCATGTACTGCTAGGGTAAGCTCGTGACTTCTCGACAGTACCACGAGATCGCATTGTGAATGTTATCAAATTACCGTACTTAAATTTCAGTCGTAGTCGAAAGGTCAGTTCTCTTGAAATTGCGTGTTTTTTCTTACGTTAGATATACGCGGCAAGTGTCATTGTAGTGTTAGTGGAAATAAACCTTTCGGCGTTTCCATGGTTGTTAACGTATTATCCGTACTAACTAGTTTCGAAACACATAACATATGCACCTGAGTGTGGAGTTTCGATTTCGGTCGATGGATACTGAAGCTGAATTCCTTCGAGTATGGAAGTCATTTCGATTCAAGGTGATTTTAGTTTTGTAGTTTTTAGTGCATTGGTTAAATTACTCAACGGTAATTAAAAAAAAAAAGGCAAATGGCGCTTTGGAACAACACTGAACAAAAACACAATTTGCTATTAATAGTATATATGAAATGGTTTTGATACGAGGAGTCATTAAATTTTCCCGTTAGGGACAGTGATGAATCTTTTTCGGCATGTGCATTTTATGAACGTCAGCCCGCATCATATCTTCCATCATAATATACATTTACAATTAACGGTAAAATTTCCGCATAGCCCCATACTATTGTAAAACAAATCTGGTTTCCCAATGGCAATGTATTGTTTTTGTCATTGTTTTCTCAATCCAAGAATTGAATGCATAATGTAGTATGGGGCTGTGCGGAAATTTTACCTTATTGCAAAGCTAAGACCTTCACATCTGTTTATCTCTACATGCACTGCCCCCTTACATCAAGATAAGGCTAGTAAATGAAATACTCATTAATAATAGGCAGCATGTGAGAAAAAAAAGCCAAGCATCATGAGAATTGACTGCAATATGAATAAACTGATGCATCTTGGGTGGGTCTGCTTGTAAATTCCTACGTTAACTCTTCCCATTTAAGCTTCTGTGAACTAGACAAAAATCATCAAGATGATCTTCTGGAATCACAAAGGTAGTCTGAGCAATTTTCATATACATGTCAAAAGTAATCTGGGATTGCTTTGGTTTATGCCTTCATACCCCTTAACATATACAATTTTTCCAAAGAAGTGTATCAAAGTACTTTCTTAACCAAGCAGATTCAAAACTTAAACCATGCAATCATGCATATATCAACAGTCAGTTTTCCCAAGCTTTGAGCACTTTTCTTGTTTTCTTGTTGTTTATGTCTTATTTTACCTGATTAAACCCTTGATTATCAGTTCACTATGATGTGATTTTCCTTGTTGCTTTGATTGGCTGTTTTGATTGCTATCAATCAGTGTTTTGCTTTTATGACAGTCAAGTTTTAAAAATGCCCCCTTATGAAAATAATTATATTTGAAATTCGTAATGTTCATAAATCTTTGGTCAATAACTCTTCTACAAAAGGCAATTGACTATTTAAGCCCAAAAGTAAATTTCAATCGGCTGATAGAGTATTTTCTTATTATTGATCCAATGTATATGTATGTGTGTGTGTGTATACATACATGCATATCTATATGTGTGTGTGTGTGTGTGTAGATAAGCATTTTTACTTCAAGTTCTTTGATGTGGAAAGTCTTCATTCTACTCCTTTAAACTCCTTCACATTCCTCACTGAGCCCCCTAAAAGGAAGCCAATTGTTAGTTGTATGGGTAAAACTATACATATATTTTAAGTATAGTGCTGTGATATAAGAATGCAAGACAAACACCACGAATCGGCAGAATGCTTCCTTTTTGATGAGGTCCTTAAATTAATGGCAATTAATGTACAATCTTACTTAAAAAATCACACCATGATCTACACAGTCATCCCTAATGACTAATTTTTTATGACCTGACTTTTCAGGAAATTTCACAATACTGAGACCTGAGAAACCAGTGCTTCATGCTTTTGGTTGGCCAAATCCTACTTGTGTAACAGCTTCTGTAAAAACCATAGACATGGATGAAATAGTCAGCTATGCAGATTTGTTTCTTGGAGAATGCTGTCCAGATGATTCATTTAATCCCAGTGGGAAATGTTCTTCAAATATGACAGGTCTTATTCAAGGTGGCAGATGCCTTCATAATGAAGATGATTCACGTTCATTGACTGACAAAGTTCTTAACTGCACTGTTTGTAACAACTCGCAAATGTGTGAATTTTTTAAGTGGTTGTCAAAAAAGAAAACGGTCTGTGTATATTTCAAGGTGACCACTCTAAATGGCTCTGTTTGTCCTTCTTGTTTTTGCAGGAGCTATCTTGATATTCGTAAGTACGCTGATTTTCTTTTCTGTTCTTTACCTGATATACTGTATTTCCTCAAATAAGCACTCAGCTCTAATAAGTGCACTCCCTAGAAGAAGCATCCACCTCCTAGGTCATGACACCAAATTAGTGCCCCCCCCCCCCATTTCCTCCTTTTCTTAACTGAAATAGTAGCAGTACATGGAAAACCTCTTTAATATATTTCTAACCTATTAAGATTGACTTCGCCCAAATCAGTACAGGATAGTAATTTCCTTACAAGTGCCCCCTTTGATTAAGCACCTTCCTTCCTGTTCAGCAGAAAAATTTTAAATGAGTACCCAGGTGCTAATATTCAAGGTTTCTTTAAATTTAAACAGTCAGCTTCGTAGTTTAAAATTAATGCATGCACACCCAGTGTATAATTACAATAGTCCATTTTACAGTTGTATGCTTGATTGCCAGGCCTTTGAACAGGAGTGAGGCTAAGGGTGACCTTGTTATGATACAAACCTTGCTGCTTTTGAAATGCAAATTAATTTGTTATCATGCTAACTAGATTCTGGTCTCTAACACAACAAGGTCACCTTCAGCCTCACTCCAAATCAAAGGCTTGGCAACTAAGTACACAACTGTAAAATGCCCTATTGGAATGCTTTTTTCTGCTATATTGAATTCTGTTTTTAATGTGAAGAATTCTTAAAAATGTCAAATTAGCCCTCTTTGTTGAACATTCATATGATAAGGCAACTGAAACGTCTTAACTCTTTAACAGAAGTGATTTAAATGAAACTTCTCCTTGCAATTCCAATCAGTTATCTTGTAAACGGGTTTTTTAGAATGAGACCTGCATATTTTCATGTCTAATTTACAAGGAAAGGTGTAGCAGTAAGAAGGGAGAATTATTAAGTGGATCTTGGGAGTTAAAAGGTTAAATTATTCCCCTGTGGGAGGGAGGTGCCCCTGCCAATGTTCAGCATGCTGGACTCTTGATTCAAACTTGAAATTCAATATGCTGTAAACGAGTCTATTGCTCATTGTGGTGGTAAGCAATAATAAACTGTTTCATTGTTTGTCTCATGATGTAATCACTTGTGATGAAGATTGCGACCTTTTGACTGCTTACTGGTGGTCTTCATCAAGCAATGGAGTTGGATACTCATGCATTACTATTTACATCATGGCGATCTGATGTGATTGACAGATTTTAATCCCCAATGTTCCAGTGAGTTCTGGTTTTCCAAGAGGTCTGACTCTAAGTTGTTTTCTTGCTGGTTTAATGTTGTACCAGTCTCCTGTTGTGTTTCTTGATTGTTGGTATCCATGCTTCAGGAATTTTGATTCCATTATCCCTGTTGATGTTATCAGGGTGAAGTCTTCTGTGGATAGCTACCTTGACTCTTCTGGTGTACCATTGTGAATCTCAATCAATAAACTTTACTTTGTTCCAAAGCAGGTGGAGGCCAGTCATGTTAGCATTCTCAGAAATGGCAGAGGTCTGGGTACAGATTAAACATATATCTCTCTCAAGTTCTTTCATCCTCTCTTGCATAGGTCTTCCCATTTCACTAATGTAGATTAATTGCTGCATTCACAGAAAATTCTGTAAACCACACTGTCCTGTCTAGCTGGATTGACACTGTCCTCTGGTCTTACCAAATTTGATCTAAGTGTCGTGTGGGGCTTGAATACTGTGGGGATGCCTTGTTGTTGCAGGCATTATGTCCAAAGGGCTCTGATACACCTTTTACGTAGGGCAAAACCACTGTGGACTTGAACTGCATCACAGGCTCTCTGCATGGGGAAGAGTTTCTTGTTTTTGTAACCTTCTGTACAAAGGAGAAGGGATAACCATTGGAAATTAGAATTGATGACAAAATTTAATGTTTCTTTTCCTTGGAGATGTTAGGTTAGCTAAGATGTCAGTGCTGATTGGGACTGGACCATACAAGCTCCTTAAGAAAGATCCAAAAGTACATGAGAGGAGACTCCACTCAGATAACATCAACAGGGATAATGGAATCAAAATTCCTGAAGCATGGATACCAATGATCAAGAAACAACAGGAGACTGCTACAACAGCAAACTGCCAAGGGAATAACTTGGAGTCTGCAGACCTCTTCAAAAACCAGAACTCACTGGAACAAAATCGAAATCTCATATCGCATTAGAATGCTGTGATACAAATGGTAACGCGTGAGCAGTTGACCCCATCGCCCGATGAATACTAGCAGAAAGCAGTTGAAATGTTGTGATCTACATCTTAACTGACCACATCCTGAGACAAATGATCAAACCGTTTATTATACATTTGTTATAAATCACAATAATCACAACCTGGCTTCATGGTAAAATACTATCATATTAGTGTCAATGTGATACTGAACGGATTGAACAATGCGCTACATGATCTTCTCGCATATTACTTAATTGTTTTGTTCTCCCTTCAATTTGTAGTAGTTATCCCTCCAGTTAGGAGTCTACAACTTCTTCCAGTCTCACGGAGGAAACTAACAGTTCTCTGGGAAAGGCCAGAAGGAATACATAGTGAAACACTCACCTATAAAGTGATTCTTCGTGACCACTTGGGGAAATGCCAAGGGAACATGGAGGTACATTATCAGACTTGCTTTCAGCAATTTAAGATGAATGCCAGTGATACCTGCCTAATACCCTTTAACTCCAATGAGTGACCAAGACAGAATTTCTCCTTACAACATAAACACAATATTATATGAAGCAGAAAAGTTAAAGGAGACTTAAAGAGGAACATCAATTAGAAGATTCTTAGTTGATCCAATCTCAAATCCTCCAAACTAGCATGATAAGAATTTTACGGCATACATTATTAAGGAGAATTACTAATTGGATCTTTGGAGTGAAAGGATTAACAGATTAAGTCCTTGTAAGCTTTAAGTTTGTAAAAGTGAATGGGTCTATTATCTGCAATATCAGGCATGTGCCTTTCCCTTTCCCTTTTTTCATTTGATATTTCATACAATGAACAGGCAATAACTTTTCACCTGACTTCATTCTTCTCCAATGTTTTTTACAAGCTTACAAACATGTCTTAACAATAGTTTGATTGTTTACATCCATGTTACAAGACCAGATCAACTTTTACATACAGACATGTAACTCTTACACCCCATGATGGCCCTCCGGGATCTCCCTGCACTTACACCCCAGGATGATTACTATTAACTTTTCACAGGGCAAAAGTATGTAGCTTTTTGAGTGAAATGTGTCCTTTTACATACTCAAGAGTTAGTTATTTGCCTATTTATTTCATTGTTATTTTTTTCAAGCAGGAAGTGATGGACAATGTTCAAGGCAATAAGACAAAAAATGCATTTAGCTTTACTAATCTAATGCCATGGTCCAGCTATTCAGTCATTGTATGTCCTTCCATGAGGACAATAAATGTAAACAAGACAACTTGCACCTGCGGTGATTACCAGCATCAACCTGAAGGGCCAGTCTTCAACCAAACATTACCTGAAGGTAAAATATACGTTGTCTGTGTCATAGGTACATTTTATTTTAGGAAATTTATTAATAGAACTGGTAAAAATTATCCTTAGTTGCTGTTGTGATGTTATTTCAAATTAATTATCAGTTGAAATTGAAGGCAAATAACCTTATAAATAAGAGTAATTGTATGCTATTTTTTAAATTAATTTCAAATTACAAAGTTCACCTTCAGACAAAGTTTTCTACTCCTCGGCCAAAAGAAAACTATTATTAAATATCCTAAACTGTATTATTATTATTAATAATGATAATTAAGGTCTGCTTGGTGAGGACTCAGCCAGGGTATGTAAACAGCGCTAATCTGAGATACTAAGAACAGGAGTACAGTGAAAACAGGAGTACACAGTAAAAACCTGCATATAAGAACCTAGTACATGTAAATGGTTGCTATGAAATTTAAGGCCACCTTAGGTTCTTGATCAGGTGTGGGTGTGGTATTGTACATGCTGTCTGCCAGACTTTAAGTGTCCTGCTTTGCATGATTGGTTAACTAATATACACACAGTTAGATATGTTGCACATCTGTGGATCTATTGACTGAACACTATTGTCAGTGGTCTTATATAACACTGCCAGTGTCCTGGCTAATTTCTGTTACCCATTTTGAATACCAGTGGTATGTAATGTACTGCTTATTGTAAATTATATTTGAAAAACTCCATATTCCAAAAATAAGAACCTATATTGAGATTTTAGCCTAGAATGACTCTTATGGGAAGGCTGCTTATCTGGGAAATTTAAGCCTAACAGTTTGGTGCATATTTGGTTCTTAACCCTTTCACTCCCAAGATCTCATTAGTAATTCTCCTTACTGTCTGTCATACAATTCATATGATGTTACCCTTGCGAAATGGCTTTTGGAATTCCTAGGAATTCCTAGGAATTCCTAGGAATAAAGGTGTGAATTTTCACGGTAAATTCGGACTGGGAATTCCTAGGAATTCCTAGGAATTCCCAACCATAACAACTCTGGTTCTAAAACCTTGAAATTCCTAGAAATTCCCAGAAATTCCCAGAAATTCCAAGTTTATAGCCAACAGGACTTGGAATTCCTAGGAATTCCTAGGAATTCCTAGGAATTCTAACTCAGAGAACCAATGACTTTCCCTGAAAAGCTGTAAATCTAAAAAATTCCTAGGAATTTCTGGGAATTTTTGGGAATTTTTAGGAATGTTTAAGAATTACTGGGAATTTTAAGCAAAAATTTGAGGCTAATGATATATAATAAATACTTTAAATTAAAAAAACCCAGCTAAAATTCAAGTATTCAATGAAATTTATTTAGAAGCTTAATTAAGGCTTACATGTAAAATATTTTTGATTAATTAACATCAATGTGTGGTAATATTAGGATGGAATTTGATTTATTTTTCTTTTCTTGAAAACTTCATACGGATTAATCCTCAATTACAGCTATTCATATAAAATAGTTCTAATCAATCAATTTGGTTTGACACAAATTGTGAATAAAATCTGTTGATTCTTTTCCATAAAATACAATATCTTAAGTTATATTTGAAAACCAAGCACTCTTGGGAGTGAAGGGGCTAATTACAGACAAATAAAATTGATTTTTTGATTAAAATCTTGTTGTAACTGTAACAATAAATTAGAATGAAGTTATCCTAAACTGCAAACTTAGCTGCTGTTTGTACTGTTTGTATTTTTTTTCCTGGGCTCACAATGAGTTGGCCTTGAATGAGGTTGTCAACAAGAACCTTGACCATTTTGTATCTGGATTCCTTGACATCTGAATTTGAAAAAAAATAATATATTAAAATATGTATATTTAAAGCTCAGACCAGGCTTTTAAGATGGCTATGAGGAAAAGGGCATTCATTGAATTCTCAATTTGAGAAATCTCTGTTATATTGAGTGACTTTTATATTGGAGTTAGTACATCTCTCTCAAGGATTTTACTAAAAAAGGGCTGAATACATTATTTTGCTTTTACCAAGGAGGGCTTCTTTATGTACTAAGGTTTGTTTAATAACAGTTCCTATTATGAATCTTGAATGTTCCCAAACGTGACTAGAGGAATCTTGAAACCTTACTGATAGGTTTATTTCATTGTAAAGCATAAGCTTAAGAAACTGCGGCATGCAAGTGACCGATTCGATTCTCAGAATTATTCTAGTTTCAGTTGCGCCGAGCGTTATGTAAGCTTAATTCAACCCGCTACATCTATTCTTTTATAAGATTTTGATCACGTAACGAATATCGCAATTTTTACTCACCACAAGCTTTCAAAATCGTAGCTTTACAGATGGCCACTCGACCCTTGTTTGTACCAGTCAATACGTCAACTGTTGTCCCTTCTTTTAACTCCACGGCGCCAACGACTTTCTTTTCTTTTACAACACTCACCCCATTCTCGTTTTCCCATTGAACCACAATAAAAGCTATCTTTAGAAATGTTATATTAAGCAAAGCAGTTGAGAAAAGCGATCAACCGATCCAAAGTACATTCAAAGATGAGCGCCAAATGGAGTCTTCTTTGTTTCCGATCACGGGCATGATCACGTGGATCCTTTAGGACTTGTAATTGGCTAGCAAAGTGAATCCGCTGGCTTGCCGATTGCAGTGTTAAGAGAAGCGCCTAACTTTATTCTGACTTCTCCGACCGGTTCTCTGCTTCTAGAAGATGGATAGCTTGGTGATATAAATAAAGATGTGAGCTCACTCTATGTAGAAATAATCGAAAAGAATCGATCGTATTACAAATGCACGATTTGTGGCCGAAAGTTGTCGAGGAAACAAAGACTCGAAACTCACTTGAGTTGTGTTAATGGCCAAGGTGAGAAATAACACAAGCCAATCACTGTTTTGAATGCGACTACAAATCGTCTTTTACCCTCATATTTATAAAAGAAGGATACCACATTCGGAAGTATAAGAGATACATAGATGATCCCAGTGTACCAGTACCTAAATCTACAAAGCTTGACCGTAGCAAGCGTTCAGCAACACGTTCCAACACCGCCATCTCGATTCCTCAGTCAGTCGTTTCCACTGAACTTAAAGCAGTATTGACAACAGAGTAGAGTGCGTCTTACAAAGGAGAAACATTTGTACAAGAGACAGGAGTAGCTATATGCGATTACAGAGGTGCGTTGGAACTCTGGTCCACAAATAGTTATGCACTGCCCGAAGTATAAAACAATCTTGTTGATAGCTGACAGACAGAGAAGAACAACAAGTAAACTTAAGAGCTGTTATTATTGAAGTGTGACTATCACTTTTCATTTTTATATAAAGAAGGACTTGTAATTTGCACCAAGAATAAAAAGATGTAATATTTTTTTGGGAGATCCAGTGATTGGGACATTTAAGAAATTAAGTTATGAAAGGAAACTTGGTTGGTACTTCTCACTACTAACAAGTCTTGTTGACAAATATTTTCAGATCAGAGTTTCAAATAAAGTAAATTGAAGACGTCATATAAAAAGGTGTTTTTCCTCTAAGGGAACATTGACTACCTCTGTCTTGTCTGCATGCCAAATGTTTGCAAAGTGTGTGGATGATCCACAAGTATTGGAACTCTTACAAAACATTTTTGTAAGAGTTCCAATACTTGTGGATCATCCACACACTTTGCAAACATTTGGCATGCAGACAAGACAGAGGTAGTCAATGTTCCCCTTTTCTTACAAAAATGTTTTGTAAGAATAAAAACAGCAAAACAAATTACAGCAATTAGTCATGAAAATAGAGCAAAAAACTGAAAAAAAAGGCAGCAACAACAATCATGAAAAAAGAAAGATTAATTAGGTGTTGATTTTGTTTGTCTAAGGCATGAAATTTCTACTAAAAGTGTTGTCAACAAAAAGTCTCTGACAGCATTTGAGGCAACTGAGCTTGACTGTTCCAAGGTTTTCTAACAAAGGCAACCAGTAATGTAGGTTTGGGAAGTAAGATAACAATGTAATTATTGTTAATTATTGTGGAAGTTGGCAATTTCCATTTAACATAACTGACAGCTGGTTCATGAGAAAATCCATATTAATGTAAAGATTTACTAAAACTTAGTTTGAGTTATAAATTTCATGATCTTTAAGTTATAAACATGTACATGTATGTATATCTCTTGGTAAGTTTTGTATAGCATACCTTTTATTGAGCCAAAGTTTTAAGCCTCTGAAATTACTCTTTTTTCTTAAAACCTCACATTCAAGGTATTGAGAATTTCTTAGAATTTATGTGGACCTCAGGGTATTAAAATTGCCTCAAATTCAATTCCCAGAAATTCCCAAGAGTTCCACACTTCTTAAATTATAGGTAGTTTGTAAAGCTGAGAATTCCTAGGAATTCCTAGGGATTCCAAGTCCTCACAAAACTGGAGTCTTCCTTTCCCAGAAATTCCCAGTAATTCCAAGCTTTTTAAATCAGAGTTAATTTGCATAGTTGGGAATTTTTGAGAATTCCTAGGAATTCCTAGGAATTCCTAGGAATTTTTAGGAATTCCTAGGAATTCCCAGAAATTCCCAGAAAACTGGGAATTCGGTTTGCAAGGGTCATTTGCATAATTGGGAATTTTTGAGAATTCCTAGGAATTCCCAGAAAACTGGGAATTCAGTTCGCAAGGGTAGTTTGGAGAATTTGGAATTGGATCAATCAATAATCCCCTAATTCATTTGATATTTTTCTTTATTCTCATCACTTGCCTTCTTGATATTGTGTTGATAGTGTAAGGAGAAATTCTATCTTGGTCACTAGTGGGACTTAAAAGGGTTAAAAGAGGGTATTTACTGTGCTATAAAAATGGTGCAGGGCATCCTTAGCCAGAAGTATGGCTGTGTATTTCTATGCACACTGATTTGGATATAGTGATAATGGTCAAAAATAATTATGATATTGATAATCAGTGATACTCAGATATGGTTCTTTCTAAAAATTAATGATGATGGTGATGTTAATGTTAAATATAAATGATGAAAGTATGATCAGGTTTAGAGGACATATTTGATTTACTAGCAGTATTCTTCATCTCCTAGAACCAACTGAACGTCCAGATATACGGCCTTGCGAGGCACAATGCAGTGAGACAAACTTTACTGTCACTCTAAAATGGAAGGTAAAAATTAACATTACTACAATCAGATCACTGGAAACACTTAGAAATATTCCTGGAGGAATCTTAACTACTCTCAATGACAGTATTGATTATTTATTATTTAAAATGATTTACTCTTATTGAAAAAATTTTTGGCAGCTGGCAGCACAGATTAAGACCCAAAATATCTACAAAAACCTCCATTTGCAGTCCATGTAGGATGTAATATTTATGTAGTACCCACCAAACATTTTCACTCATGCAGTTGGTTTCATAGCATCATGTCACTGACTACATAATTATATTACAGCCCAAGTAATAAAAAGGGGAAATAAAAGGTGATATTACCCAATTTTCAGACCTTGTGTCCAGCTTGATTGTAATGTAAGTCCTCCTCTAAAAGTTGACTCAAGTTAGAATGATATTTGCTGACATTGCCACAGGAGAATTAAGAGAATGACTTGTTTGCTCAATCAGTTGCTCTGTAAAACTCAACATCCATTTTTGATGTTGGTAAACAATTTGTTCATACAGTGCCACCAAAGATTTTTAAAGGATGATGGCAACAGCGATTTATTAGTATCATTTTTACTTGATGTTCTTGCATTTGTATTTTCTTCTTGAACAGTAAATGTTCATGAGCTGTTATTGCTCAGCTGAATACTTTTACTTCTTGAAACAGTTCATGTCAAAAGACTGATTTCCATGCAAGCACATGCAATGAATATATGATTTATTTCTTTCTTTTATCTTAATCCCTTTGATAGGCAAACAACTTGCTAATATGGAATGGAATCCCTAAGAAGTCTGTTATCAGGATATACAGAAGGAATTCTTCATCCCAAAGCATAGAACACATGCACCAAACAAAGTCCCTTACTGGGAGTCCTATAATAACAGTCCATTTTTCCCTTGAGCCTAATTACAATGGGTCATTACTGAGATATTCTGTGGGTAAGCTGAACAGCAAAGTGAAATACTCATATGAGGTGCAGTTTTGTTCAAATGGGGGTTGTGGCCCAAGTGCAATGGCAGCACTAAGCTGTGATTCTTGTGAATTGCTGGGACTTCCATCAGGTAATGGCATATTCAGTATTATATAGTCAACCTGGAGTATATTTAAGATACATGTAATCTCCTCCTGACAGCATCTCCATAGATGAGTCACAATTCTATGATTACTATGTGATTGTGAGGGGTAAATGTCTTATAAGTGCAAAAAAAATGGTGTTGTGAGTCTTCTCACATTTATTTAGTAGCCCCTTGGTGGAGAAAAGAATCATTTTCAATTTTTACATTAATTGAGTAGGGCTTTATGAATTTATAGTGAACTTGTAGTGACAATTATAGTGTCATCAATTGAGAGACATTAACTGGTATTTTGAGGAACCAAGGAGTTTCTTTAAGACTTTTGGTGTTTTCATGAATTAGGCTCTTTTTCTGGGAATGCTGTTATTGGCTAATTAAAGTTGTGTGTGCATTTCCTTTTTTCTAAATTCATTTAGTCATTGATTATATATGGTTAATCTATTTACCTTAATCAGCCTTAGGTTGAATTTAGACGTTATTGGACTTAATTGTTTCTCTGATATTCTGATGTATTTTAGACTTGAAGTAATTTAAATGCTGGATAAATTAACGATTAAAAGTGCTCTACCAACCAAGATCTTTGAGAATTTATAATAAGGTCAATGGCAAGTCAATACTGTTAGGTGCATTGATTTCAACTTAAAGCTTGTAAAAGATTTTCTTTGGTCAGCTTGTGTATGATGTGTTTAGTTCTAGAAAATCCAACCACAAAAGCACTTAATAAGAATGAAGACAATAGTGACTACACTGTGACCTTGTGGGCAACAGTTGGTGTCGTCTCAATTTGCAGTTTTGTTGCTGTAGTTGTTATAGTATGGACTGCAAAGAGGAAAAGCAACAGGTATGTTTTTGTGCCAATATTTTCGCTACATGGGATTTTGCAGTGGAAGTAGTGTCATGACCATGGGTCACTTACCCAAAAAAATGCCTATCAACTCTTCAACCTCCAAGATCTGATTGTTAATTCTCCCCCACTAGCTGCTACATCAAGATCAAAAGAAAAAAACTTTGAACCTACCTGATGATTTTAAAATTATTCCCATCATATTAATGTTTGCTAGATAATGTATGGATTTGTAGGGTGAAGGTAGCTTTTAATCACTTTTGGAAGTTAAAGTGTTAAATTACATGCATGAAACAAGCAATGAATATTCCATCTATATACTTTGTCATCATTGCTTGTGTTGGCTCTGAGCACTGAATGACACAATATTATAATATTATGTGACTTTAACTATTGTTGCTTCCCTTGATGGCATTGGTTAATTTGGTATGTGAAAGAGGCTCAGAAATATATTAGAAGTCCTTCTGTTAAAGTGATAGAGGGGTGAGTTTCTGAAGAAAATGTGGTGCTGTATTGGTGGGAGAGTATAGCAAGATAATTTTGGTTTTATCAACTGTATTGTTAATGTAAATTGGCCACCATAAAGAGTTTCAAAGCTGATGTTTGGAGCGTTAGACCTTGTTAGCTTTGAAACTCTTTACGTTGTGAACCCTGTAACCCCTAAGAGTGACTAGCATCTAATTTCACCTTACAATATCAATCCTGAATTACACATTAAGGTTAGGAGAATAAGGAAAATGATCACCAGCTAAAAGAAGCTCTTGATTTTTTTGAACAAATTCTCCTTGTGGACCCCTTAGGAAATGTATAGGGAACACTATGGAGAATATGCAAACAGATGTTGGGGTTGAAAGGGTCAAAATAATAGTCAACCTGTTATCTTTTGTGAAACACCAATGTAGCCCCTTCTTTGGAGTTCTCATTTGTTTTTCATGCTGTCACTCTTGTAAGACCTAGAAAGTCTACCTCAAGGATTCAACCCTGGCTTGGGTACTACTAAGTGCTTAGGGAGTTCGCTTTTGGGTAAATAACTAACTAAAGATAATTTGACTTTATCAACTGAGTTGATCATGAAATTGACTAACACTCAAATCATTGGCTTTAGAAACTCTCTACAATGGCCAAGTTAAATTGATCAACTCAGTTAATAAAATTGAATTATCCTGTAATATCCCCCATTCATGAAGCACCAAAATTTTTGTAGAAACTTACCCACTTTTTTAACTTGTAAATACCAGTAATTCTCTTTATTATGCCTCTGACAATCTGACTTGAGTGTCAATGGCTACAAGCAGACTGTTAAGGAATTGTGTTTCTAAATTAATTCCCTAACCTGCTCAGTGAACATATGATTTTTTTAAAATTTAAAACTCTTAAACTTTCTTGCTTTCTTTGTGGAAATGTCACAAAATTTCCATCACTATTTAGTACTACATGTTGGCAGTAAATACACAAGATCTCAATTGCGTTACATTATCATAATCATCATTATCATAATCAAAATCATTACTGTTATTTTAAATGCTACTAATATTGTATTTATTATTTTAGATCTTGTGATGGTTTTGGGTAATTTTTTATTTTTTCAGGCACGGGAATTTACAGCTACGGGATAGAGTAGGATCCTTGGTAGGTCTCACCAGGATATCTTACACAACACTTAGCTAATGCCTCAGCCATTCAACAATCAAATGGTAAAATTATCAGGCGGTTGGTGTCACTCCATCAATCGATGAATAAGTCAATTCATCAACCAATTACCAGTTAATAAGTCAATCAACCAACCAGTCTGTCAATCAATCAATTAGTCGATCAATCAGTCAGTGAGCTGGCTAGTCAATCAATCAGTCAACCAATTAATTACTCGTTTATTCAGTCACTCAGGCAGTAAGTAAATAGGTCAATCTGTCAGTCAATCCTTCATTCACTCAATCAAGCAATTAATCCATCAGTCTGGTAGTCAATCAATGCTTGCATACATAAAATGAAGAATTCTTGTGTTCTGAAGTACACAATAGTTTATTTTACAGATGCTAGTGAAATTATCAAACCCATTTTTAAATCTGTGTTTATTGGTTAATTTCCTTTGTGTTTGCAGCCCAACAATATCTACGAAGGGTCTGACTGTACGGACAAGGCGTCGGATAGTGAACCCTACAGTGTGCTGTTATCGTCAGAAACCCAGCTGCTAAACGGAACTGAACAGGATACAGAGCAAGTCTAGGTCGGCCCGCAGCCTCCTTGGCGATTTTCCCAACGAAGAGTGCGAAAAAATCTGCAAGCAAGTTGATTTTGTTAGCTAAAAAGGTAGCCATAGACATAGCGTCGAGAGAGACAGCGAAATATCATGTATAACCCATAAGCAGATCTATCTAACTCACATTATGGTCACTAAAGATGTAACGATGTTCCTGTGGGATTTACTCTTTCGACTGGTGTTGTTGTATTCGCGCTCTAGGTAAAGCTGCATGACAAAAGACCCTCACCGCTGTTGGCATGGTGCCTTCGCAGTCACATGACCTCAACTGTTATCAACGGAAGCTCTCTACCCGCAAACATTTGATACTTTATCGTGCATGTGCAGCATCTGTATCACAGTATCAAATGCCACCTTTATCTCAAGCATTGTTATCCACGTTCAGCATGCAGAGTAGGCGGTCTTGAGAGCAAAACAATCGGAATCTTGCCTGTTATTTTTAAGTTCCAAATTGCCGTAGAGTTTTATAATATTTCATTTATCCAAGCTTTTTTTAAGGCGCTTCTGAGGCCTTTTTTGTCAAAGCTCTTTAGCAAACAAAAATGAACTTCCATTTAAGTAGATAGGATATTTATTGTCTGACGATAGATCAGGCTCCAATATAGTGGAAAACGAGAAATTCAGTTCTATTTAAATTGGGTTGAGTTGCAATGTGCTGTCACCCTCCCATGTTTTATTGTGAGAAATATAGTCTAATGTAGCCCGCCATCGTCGAAGTCGGTTCACTTCACGAAGGAGATTAATTAATTTAAAGTAAGATTTGTTCTACTATTCCTTACGCGTACACGCAGATTACTGACGATAGGTTGTTCCACATAGTCTGCAACGGAGCTCCTGAGCTGGGTGGGAAACTGCTTGGACACGGTTTTTCCACCTTTATACTCCATCAGATTGGCACGCCGCGAAAATGGCAGGGCCCTCATTCGAAGTATAAAAAAATCATATTAAGGAGTTGATCATAAGACAGGGTTTCATTGAATGTAGCTAGAAAATCAGTTCTTCAACTCTTCGTAAATTCACAGTATTTTAGTTTTAGGTCAGTACTAACTTGTAGCGCGACTTTTCCCTTTTGGCTAGGTTTTTGTACAGAGTAAGTCTTTATTTAATAGTTTTATGATGTGAAAGAGTTGTTCCTATTTATGTTTTTACAGGTCATTTATTTGAAACTATGCATCCAGTGTGAAATTAGAATTCAACTGATGTTGAGTTAACTTGTTTTACGTTACTTAGGACTTAATTTTCCACACGCTTAAGTTGTTGGTGCTTATCGTGTATCGTATATTTTTACGATGATCGCTACGTTTTGACTGCATACTGCAAGTCTTATTTAAGCGGTGAGTTCGGTAGAGACGGTTACCAGCATGGATGCGCGTCACCTTGAAGACGTTATGCTCGGCTGTTACTGGCACATTTTGAATAAGTGTTCCCATGACAGTCCACCGTCGCCCAGCTGTCACCGTGTCATGGGGGTACTTTCCTCGAAATGCGCGCGCTAATCACAGCGATGAGACACCAGCAAATCACAGCTAAGTAGAACGGTCCACGAGGTGACACGTATCTAGTGGACCTCATCACCGGAAGAAGGATAGTGGAAACGTTGCTATCTACATTAAAGATAAACTAGCTACGGGATTATTTAATTACAAGAAACGTTTCGATAGTGATGCAATGGGAAGCTTTACAAATTACATCGTGCAATTTGTGACGCGTGTCATAAAAAATTGTAGTTACTGTAGCTATAGTTCAGCTCCTAATTGAAAAATGATGTTTGTGACAGTTAGCTTATACTTCCCACAATTTTGACTACGCAAGCACCTAGTACACCCCCAGTGATGGTTTTCTAACAACAATAACTCATGTATGTTCTTTCAGTTTTTTCGAGAGCAAAAGGTTTATATCTTGTACACCTGAAGTGTAGCAGGGAATAATTTGATTTTAGGCGGATTGTAAGGTAACACATGGGTGAAAGACTGGCATTGACGGTCGTTCATCAATAGAATTTGCTTTCACTAATCAATTTGTGATTTTGGAGTACTCTATTTTGAGAAGATGTATATTCAGGCTGAAATTTTACTTAATAGAGGACCTCATTAAATGTATTTTTGTACAAGTTATTGCTTTTGTTGTCTGTAGTGTTGAGATAGTAAGTCATCTACCGCGAAAACTCATCAGAAAGTCAATTTCGTATTTGATCTGTGTGGAGTTCTTTTTTCATTTTTAACTGCAAATTTTTTACTTATTTTTTTTATTTTTTCCCAGCTTTCTCGAAGAGAAGAAAAGGAAACCAACTTACCCACTCTTAAAGAAGAGAACAATCGGAGTGCTCAAATTTCCTTCAAGACTACCTTGCCTTTATCTTGCCAGTAGTAATCACTAACATATTTTTGAGCATGTTAATATTTATACTAGGTCTCAATGGGGCTAACCGGTACCGTTAGCCGTAGGATTGCCGCAAAATGGCCAAAAAATTCCTTAAATTTGACTAATTTTAACCGTTAGCCGTAAAAAAAAGTGAACCGCAAGCTCTAAAACTTTTATGTATTTTATCTTAATTGTGTCCAATGCGATTACGATAGTTAACATTTTTATCCCGATATAACCGAAAACAAAAAAATTTTTGGCTTAGGTCTCCTAAGAGTCATATTCTGCGACTGGAAATGTTTTCTTTCGCGCGGACAGACAGCCGGACTACTTTTCAGATCTTTAGTTTCTTCAAATCATTCAGCATGTGAAGGATGGCTGTCCTAAAGGGCATAACTAGTTTATATCGAGGTGGGGAGGAGAAGCCAATCGGAAGATATGAGGGAACGATTACCTTCGAGTAAAGTTTTTGAGGGATTCCCTCCTTTTTGTTAGAAAAGAGGGGTGCATCTTTTAGATTTCGCTCACCAATGGTTGTCGCTCTGACAGTTTTTCGTGAGCATGTAAATTAGGTTAGGCACTGATGGTTGATGTTGTGTCACAGTGAATGACGGCAGTCCTCGATCAAGAGACTGTACAAAATTGTTTTGGATACTGGGGTAATCGAGTGAAGGAAGGAGAAAAAAACAGAAGGATGAAGAGATCCGGCGAGTGGAATCTACCCGCATCAACATCAATTCTCGCTTGGTAACGCTCACTACTAAAAATGAAGAAAGTTGGTTTTGAATGTTTTTATTCCCAAGCAAATAGTACCCACATATAAAAGAAGAAAATCTTCAGCCTCTCCTCTTTCCACCGAAATTATGTCGGAACTCCACAATAACCTGGCACTCGTAAGTCATAGCTCTAAAAGCAAAGCTGTTCGGTGATTTTTCCGGCACCGAAAAAGTGAAAAAATATCTGGAAGTATTGTGATCAATATGAAAATCACCCTTACAACTGTTTCCACCTTGGCTGATCAACATGAAAATTAAAAAAATTCCACCTAGCTAGAAAAATTAATTAACTATTTTCATTAACCCTACCAAAAGTTTTAGTTAACCTTTTTTTCTTTCTACATCAAATACCTTTCGAAAGAGAGCTGAATACTACTAAAATGACTCTTTAACCCATTAAAACCAGCATAGCAAATAAAAGTTCATAATCGTTTGTCCATATCCGATGTGTTTCCTTCTGAGGCAGGACTCATGATGCACCCGATGCAGCTAATACACCAACAGGCTAACAATGGAGCTGACAGTCACTTTAGACGTCATCCCAGTGGCGGTCATCACCATGTCAGCACCGGTTCCAGAGATGACACCAGACTTTGCAGTAAACCAGGCGTGGAAGAAGCCAGTCCGGTTTTGGTAGACACGGACTCGGGGCCGTGAAACCGAGGAATCGAAAACTTTCGAGGTTTTGACTTGGAAATTAAAACTCTCGGTTGTAGCTGTATTGTAAACAAAGAATATCACCAATCCTTTTCCGCCAATGGGTACAGTGAATTCACGTCTGGCAAAGAGAACCCTAAGCAGGGCGTGACCTGATTGAACGATGTTTGGGGAGTCGCGCTCAAAGTTGAAGTTCTTTTTGGTCTTGCCTTGCAGTTTCAATTTAAATGGGACGGTGGGAGTAAAGAAAGACGCTGAGAAATGGGCACCACTTTTCCCCACTGAATGGACTGAACCTACATTCAAAACGTTGTTATCTCTGCTCAGGATTCCAAGTTTTAATGACGTTCCATGGATCTTATTTGCTGCCCTTACAATCAAGATGACGTGGGCGGAGTGACCTGTGAGTGTGAACCGGAAAAAAAGAGTTGTCTGTCACTATTTACCATTTAGATGTGTCTGGTAAATCTAGACTGCCGACTGCTTTTGTAATTACATCTGCGGAGTTGCTATCTAGAGCACATTTAATCCTTTGTTTGTTTGTTTGTTTTTATTTCAATTAACAACAACCATGATTTGACAACGATGAGCTTTTCAGTTAGAGGAAAATAACCTTATTGAAGCCCGTATGCCATCGGTACACACTATTCCCAAGCCAAGCAAGTGAAAGATGTTAATCAATATTAACACGATATACCTTAATGTACCCCATCAACCCAAGAATAACCTAAAGAATCATTTTCAGAAGTAAAGAAGTGTCAAAAGAGGAAGGAAAATAAATAATAGGGGAAAAATAATAAAATAATAGGGGGAAAGCACACAGTCTATTTTCGTGTACTGTCTCGACGGATATTCGATGATATATTTTGCAATGGCTTTCGCAGCTATAATCTTACTGTGCATGCTTCCAGTATCATCAATAGCAAACATCAAGGTTACTCTCTCCACTACACCGAGGAGATCATCAAAAACGTTCGCCTTGACTTCTTTCTTGATGGTTTCCAAGTACTTCTTTACTGCAGCTGCGCACAGAGCGCAGCGCTTCGTTCGAGAATGGGTCACTGCCTCCTCCTTCTCGATCTCAGTTGATGTTGCCTTCCTTTTCTCGAGCTCAATTGATGTAAACGAACCATGACCAAGCAGTTGCTGATTGAACCGAGTGTTACCGTGTTTGGACGCCAGCGTGATGTAATCTTAGATCTTTTTCGCTCTTGTTATCGATTGTGTATAATACCACTTCATGGCCTGAGCATCATACACGGATTTCTCAATTTGGTCTACGGTTGTCAAGAAGGAGCTTTAGATGGTCTGCTTGGTTTTGAACCCGATGCTACTACAAAATAAAAAAACAATACCTTGAAAAAAACTTGCATCCAAACCGAATTTAACGTATGTCACGCCCATGGAAACACTCATTAACACTAAATGCTATTTAGGGCGATGGTCGAGTTTAAAATTTGAAAAAAGAAAAGAAAAAAAATTTCATTAACACCATCTAAAATTATTTTAAAGAAGCCGAGATAGAGAATTATACCCAACTTCTCTCAATTAAGTCTCTCTTAGTTTCGTTTTGACCAGTGCTCAGAGAACAACCGACTTTCATTGATTGCACAATTCTGAGATCAAGTTCTGGATTGAACTTAGAATAGATAATAAAATGGCAAAGAATGAAAGGGTTTATAGAGGAAAGGACAAACGAAAAAGAGGTGGCTGTACAATTGAGCTTTAAAGTCGCAAAAAAATTTGGAAAATTGAGAGCAGAATATAAGAGGTAAACATAGCAGACAAAATGGAGGAGATGTGTTAAAAAGGCGAATTACTTGCACAATAGAAATCGGTTGAATATAAAAAGAAATCTCGATAGGAAAATAGTGATGATATAGACGAAAAGGTAGTAAGGAGATTAGAGAGTATAAGGAGAAAAAAGTTGAACAGAGAATAAAAATATGTTCAGAAAGCTGATACGGCAAAAATTGGTAAATATTAAAAAAATAATAAAAAGGAGAAAAAAAATATAAGAAAGCCGAAGGGTGGTAGAGAGGTGGATGGTGTTAAAAAGACCAGAAATGAGATCAAAGATGATAGAATGAATAGAAATGATTGTAGAAGTAGATGAGGAAGTCAGCGAGCCCATAGAGAAACAAGAAATATGGCAAAAAGAATCTCAGGAGGTAGAGAGGTTAGATAAGGCAATGAGAGAGATGAGACTAGCGATTAGAGAGAGAGAGAAGAGATCAGTAGTCGAGACATCTGTACCTGGGGGATTGAGAACGATAGCAGAGAGATTACAGATGATTAAGAGAGACCATGAAGAGCTGGAAGAGGGACCATAGATGTTGAAGAAAATATAACCTCCAAACTGAGCACCAGACATGCTTGAAAGACCAAAGATGGAAGAGAGGGACTCCACTTGATAGTTTTGGGTTATAGCGAAGTTACATCTGAGGGAAAGAACTAAAGCCAGCCAGAAAAGGAGTTCTTTCCTTTGATGCGGAACAACAGCGGCATGTAAATTAATTGGCCTAATCAAAACACAGTTGTCAGTCTGTGACAATGAGTCTATCTTGTTGCGTTATATGTGTCGCTAATAAATGCAAAGTACACAAAAAGTGACAGGAAACAACGTTACGTGTCGTTAAGACAGTACACATTAGCTCGAAGATCTCTCCCCATATAATTAATTTTTGATTGAAAGTTATACAATATTTTTCACACCAACTTTAAAATGTGGTTTTGATGTCATCCACTGTCATCCTCAGTGGAATATTAAAGATTTATAGTTCAGGAATTCTCTGAACGGTGTTTGATTTTGTACTACTTTCGTCGTCTGGCATTATTTTTATTATCAAAATGCAGTTCCTACACCCAGTGAAGACGTTAATGACCATCTGTAACTCAAGGATATTACGGCTGAATATTTACGCTTCTGTCTCTTAGACTAGGTCATGCATAATGTCAAAAACCGTTGGGTTGATGAAATACTATTTAACACCGATAAGACGATTTTGCTATTGACAGAGCAACGCCGATCAGTCGAGTTTGTTTGTATGTTTACACTACCTCAGTTCGCTTCAATCGGGCCTGGTCAGCTTATGAAATTAAGTTTCGATGTTACGCACGCATCTATTAATTGTGACTTTATCAGGGAGCAGAGGCAGAGTCCAGTGAATTTCTGGTTTTTTTAACGAATTTGACCTAAAACGAAATGTAGAGGAAGCAAGCTATTTGTCTGAAATGGACACTGATAATTGGACTGCCTTTGCAACAAGCCACCTTAATAGTAGTGTTAAACCTTAAGAGTAAGTTTTGTCAAGTTTCCGACAAACTACAGATCAAGATACCGTAATGAATTAAGTACAAGAACTAAATTTGTTTTACACTGTCCAAAGCTTTAACAAATTTAGTTCGAAAGGCAGAAATTACACCAACTTAGCTTGTTTGTTTGTTTGAAGACACGCTTTCATTCAATGGAAAATATTCACGTAAAAGCAATGGTTGGAATGAAGTTATCGTCAAATTTCAAGTTGGCAACAAAAACGTTTTCATTTTTTTAAAGTTATCATTACATATTTGAGTCAAATTTATCTGTGTGGTCCTCTCTCGCCAATCAAAAAAGTGCGTTGCCACACATCAAATATTTCCAAGCTGGATTAAAACCACCTTCAGGGCATATTACAGAATAAGAGTACGTGACGAAAAGCTTAGGGTTTGTTTTCTTCCCTTTTTTTCTCTGAAAGAATCCAAGAAGTATTTGAGAAAGGATATAGTATTTCTTTAGCTTAAAGAGAACGGGTATTTTACTTCTATTTGGTATTTTCGAAGTGCCCACAATTAACACCTTGCTTCCCTCATGTCCCTTATCAATTTTACTGTCAGTTACTTTTGGGAGGATTGCGCGAGAAATTAAGAGTGTGTCCACGAGAGCACCAGGCAGTCGTGCTACATGCCATCTCACCGATTTTAATGAAACTTTGCCAGTTTTAAGGGTCTACCCCAAAACTCAAAAAGACAAACTGGTTTCTGTTTTTGTTTTTTCCGGGGGGAGATAGACCACCCCCCCCGGTTTTTCTTGGTTTTCACCAAGGAAATCGCTTCAAAATAGGTAAAATGTATGAAGCTCTTACTGCGATGGTATTCAACCAATTACTCTGAGGGTTTGCACATATATTTTTACATCCTTGGTTAATGTCCGCCGTAGGTATTAGCCAATTTTATTGACGGCTTGTCAATCAACAGAGGCAAATAAACGACTGTGTTTTTAGACTTTTCGATTCATCCAAATATTTGACAACTTTGAGGTCAAATATCTCCCCTTGCCAGAACGCTACAACACTGATCTTGATTCCCCTTTATAACCCATCATTTCATCTCTGAAAATCATCAAAAAAATCTTTGGGCGCTTTGGGCGCTGTCTCGAATGTCTTTTAAAATCTGCGCCTGTGACAAGTTGTTCTCAACTACACCTGTCACGCAATTCTTGCTCTGGGCGGTCACTTGACCAAATAAACCTATATTTTTTTAGCTCTTTATACACGATAACTGATGAAGAAAGGTAAAAAATGTGAAAAACTTTCGAGACTTTTTGTAGGAATGGAAAATTTCACGTTTTGAGAGATGCAAATAGGCGAAAAATCGATGGGAAAATCGTAGCGTTTCTTTCTTCTGTCGTTTATTACTTTGAAGATTTGCTAAAATCAGGAAATAGGGCTCTCGCACAATACAAAACATTTATTAGTCTATAATGTGGTTGTTGTCATTATTGCACAGTTCACAATAAGTAAACCGTAACAGGAGAGGAGATTTTAAAGTCACATGTCGCATGCTTGTCGACGTACAAGCTCCTGTGTGTTACAACTTCGGTTTTTCCCGAACGCAGATGACGGTAAACTCTACCCCCCCCCCCAATTTAATAGAAAATATCAATAGCCCCATTAAATTCATTAACTGCGCCACGTTTCCAGAAAATAAGACTGGAAAATGTATTTCCCACTTTCCACCATCAAGAAATTCCATGTAGAAATAGTATTTGTAGCGTGACCGCGTGACCTCATGAGAAGTAAAAATTCTTTATCTTTTTTTTTCAAAAGACACTTCTGAAAAGTTCTTAATCCTTCTGTTATCTTATTTGCCTGGTTTTTGACTGCAAACATCATCTGCTTTTATTATTATTTTCGCTGATTGTCATGGCCTTTCCTGCGTGCACGTGCGAGCCAGTTCATATACAGCACTCGTTCGAGTTTCTATGCGTGGTGTCGGGCTTAGGTGTGTAGGTCTGGCTAAAGGGTTTTTGCACGCTGCAACACGGGTTCCTATGTTTTCTCCTTTTTCTTTATTTGCTTTTTATTCTCTTCCTTGCATTATTACGTATGTATGTTTTTTTTCATTCCTTCAGCGCGTTCCCTCAGAACCCCTGTTATTTATAACTTATTTCTCAAGAGAACATGTTTTTATTTGCTATTTATTTCCATTAGAACATGAAACTAGGTCCTGATAAGTTTTTTTGTTTCGTGACTCCAGGAAACTGTGTTTGCGACAACATCAATTGAGAAATCAAAGGCAATTACGCCCGAGAAATTCGCTTTTAGCCTTTTACATGCAGAAGGCAAATCCATATAATGAAGCGTTTTAAGACCTGTGTAAACTACAGACATTATGTGATGTTGAGGGGCTAAATATTTACGCTAAATCTGTGACCCTCAAACGGATCACGTACTCGTACATGTAACGTCCGAAAAAATGTCACGCATGTATAACACGGTA